AGATCCTCTCTGTGTATCTGGGAATGGCAAAAACAGCCTTTCCCACTCCCTTGGAGGCCCTACGGAGGCTGAAAAGGCCCATTTCCCAACTCCCGGTGGGACAGGAAGTGACATTTTTTGCTGTCCCCAGCCTCCAGAACCTCTCTAGGAGTCTCTAGGAGCCTCTCTAGGAGTCTCTAGGAGCCTCTCTAGGAGTCTCTGGAGGCTGGGGACAGGAAAAAACGTCACTTCCTGTCCCACCGGGAGTGGGGAAATGGGCCCTTTGAGCCTCCGTAGGGCCTCCAAGGGAGTGGGAAAGGCTGTTTTCGCCGTTCCCAGATACACAGAGAGGATCTGGAGCCAGGTAAGAAAGAAAAACGGGCCTTCCCCACCCCGCCCCGAGGCCCTCCAGAGGCAGGAAACAGCCTGTTTCCCTACTTCTGGTGGGCCCAGAAGGCCCGAAAATCAGCTGGCCGGCACGCGCATGCGCCCCAGAGCTGAGCTGGCGTGCCCACTAATATGGCTCCGCGTGCCACCTGTGGCACGCGTGCCATAGGTTCGCCATCACAGGTATAGGCTCTCCTGCTTGAACAGGGAGCTGGACTAGAAGACCTCCAAGGTCGCTCCAGCTCTATTCTACTTATTATTTGCATCTCTTCCACTGCATGCAAATCCTGGACTGGTTTTATCATTAGTGGAGCAAAAGGGGAACAGAAAGCAACTGTCAATAATGGATTTTCTCCTCTTGTATTCCTCCTCAGACTGGGAGCTGTAATAACTCCTTTTGCCTATGTCTGTCAGATCTGCCATCTTCAGCTTCTATGCTTTGCAGGCATCCTATCATAAATGCTAGGGGGGAGGAAAGGGCAATGGAATGTGAAAGTAGAGATGAGAGGGAAGGGAGGAGTGACAGCCTTGACAGAAAACAGAGGTGTGAGAACTGGCATGTACCAGTCTTCAACGACACCTGGTATCAACTTGCGAAGCATTCCTGACCTGCTCGAGTTGCCATCAGCAGGGGGATGGGGAATCAAGCCTCACAGCTGCAGCAAGGAACTTGCATTTCAGTCAAAACAGAACACATTCCAGCCAGCAACGTCAAAGTCATCTCCACGCAGATCCACAGTGGCCAGAAGGAGGGACTTCTACAACCCGCGAAATCAGTCGGAACCCTGACACCTGGCCTGGGAAAAGAATGTGAAATTACATCAAGCGGTGCCAAACATCTGAACTGTTCCCAGAACATCTAAACGGCACATCATTGGACAGAGATGGACTGCTGAAGTAGGGTGGGAGGGTCAGGGAAAGGGGAAAGGAGAAAATGTAACATTTTATACGGAAATCTTCAGATCTAGTCTCTTTCGCTACAACCACGTAACCTTAAAAGAACATATCACTTCAACCAAATGGAGTCGAGGGCCTTTCCTTCCTAAAGTCCTAAACTGCAGCAGGCCTGACACTGTCGGCCACTGTTGGAAATTGGCCATATCAGGAAAGATTCCAAAGTGGACTAGAATTATACTGTATTGATCTAGACTGGCTAACATAACCTTCAAAATTTGACTGATTCCCCTTCCCTCCTTCTTACAGAGATAGATAGAGTTAGTTTAAGTTATATTAATAACCAGAATTGTTCTGGCTCACAATTCATTTGATGTTCTCCTGAAGATTTCCACTACTGGTAATTATATCTCTAAGAAGAAGAAAAAGATAATCTGGAGAACTGTGTCATAAAATGAGAATGGGACACAATGAATCAATGAAGAGGAATCAAAATGAGATTCACAGTGTTTTGATTTCCAGCATTTCTATTCTTTTTAAGTTGTGTTTTTCACCACCATTTCAATTAGAACAATCAACATGCCATCCTGAATCATGGAGCAGGAGGCTCTCTAAATCAAACAAATAAATCAAAAACAGCAGAACCAGATAAAACAAAATCAAATCAGACCTCCAGGAAAAACTTGTGTTTTATAAAAGTTACACATTCAGTAATTACAGATATTATAAACAGATTGTTTACAGAGACTGCATAATGAACTCAAAGAAAATAACAAACCTGTCTGGAGAGCTGAGACTTCATATAAAAAACCCCCAGTTATTATTACTAAACCAAATACCCTAATTTTATATCTGTATATTCAAATTCTTTTTCTTAAGTGAAGACCTTTGCATGGACCCATTCTATTATTTTCAACCTATTCGTCTATCTTGCCAAAATCAGTTTGAAACTAATGCTTCAAGAATGTCATTCATTTATTGATACTCAAAAAAGATCAGTATAAACTTTAATCAGGGACCTACTGAAGAAGAAAAATGAGAGAGGCCAGTCCTGGGGGAACTTGTTCTTTTACAAATGTCTGGATAAATATCTAAGTATCTTTTATAATCTAAAAATAAGATGCACTTTTTTCAGAAGACCTTGGACACTACATAAGGTGTCCAACCAACCTGCTGAACTTCCTGCAGATGCTGAATGATATTGAAAACTGCCTCTCTTTGGGACTTGACTCCTAAACAAGGTCAATATTTTTTTAAAATTTTTATGATTCAATTTAATTAAATCTGGTAGTTTTAAGAATCGGTATTAAAGATAAAGGTAAAGGTTCCCCTCACACATATGTGCCGACTCTAGGAGACGGTGCTCATCTCCGTTTCAAAGCCGAAGAGCCAGCACTGTCCGAACATGTCTCCGTGGTCATGTGGCTGGCATGACTAAATGCCAAATGCGCATAGAACACTGTTACCTTCCCACCAAAAGTGGTCCCTATTTTTCTACTTGCATTTTTTACATGCTTTCGAACTGCTAGGTTGGCAGAAGCTGGGACAAGTAACGGGAGTTCACCCCATTACGCAGCACTAGGGATTCGACCATGAACTGCCGACCTTTCAATCGACAAGCTCAGAGTCTTAGCCACTGAGCCACTGCATCTCCTACAATCGGTATTAGGTAGTCCCATTTAATCAGAGGAGATCTAAAAAAACAAGTTGGGGCAGATCATCATGGAGAAAGTCTATCTATGTGATTAAGGGTCAACACTGACTTGATAGTACATCATTAATTGATCAATTTAATAATCAGGGAGCCATCTTCCGTGCCAATAGCAATTTAGAGACCATATTCAATCAAATTGCACTGCAGAAATCTGGCTCTGAGGTTCTAAAGACCTTGAGATTCCATGCATATTAAGGAATTCTGGTATTGCTACAACTTTTCATTCATTCAATGCATTTTTGGATCCTGACCTCTGATTTGTGTCACACAGAGTAAAATTTGAACTCTGCCTCTTCCTATACCTTATTTTTAAATAGTATGCTTTGTATAAAGTCACTGCAATTGGAAGGTTTTTCCATATCCCATTCATTTCTATGAAATCTCATCCTAAGCGTATTAATCATAATTACGTTTAAAAAGGCAACATTATGAACATTCATCCAGCATTCTCAACTTTATTGTCTTTAATCAGCATAAACATCTAAACTGACTCTTTGGACTTTAAATTCTTCTACAATTTTGAGGTAAGCTTATAAATTGATCACTTTTGTTTAGAGATCACATCCTTAGCTTCTAATACAGCAAATTAAAGGTAAATGGTACCCATATAGCCAATGTCTGATTGTGATGCTCATCTCCATTTCTTAGCCAAGGGAGCCAATATTGTCTGAAAACATTTCTGTAGTCATGTGACCAGCATGACTATACACCGAGGTGCATAGAACACTATTAACTTCCCACCTAAGTGGTATCTAGTAATCTATTCAAATTTGCACTCTTTCAAACTGCTAGATGAGCAGTAGCTGGGGCAAGAAATTCACCCCGTTGCATGGTGTTCGGGTCTTGAACGCAGACTGCCAGCCCTCCAGCTAACAAGCTCAGCATCTTTAACTGCTGAGCCATTCTGACCCCTTACAAGCAAATTAGATATTTCTAAAACTATTTTTATGAAACACTGAGGAAAAATATTATTTCTGCCTTTCTCTGGCACTTTATACATTGCTTGCAGGGGGAGGGGGAGAGGGAAGAAAGTCAAAGTAGGGTCAATCCTACCATCTGAAAGCTCAAGAGTAAACTGCACAATCAGCACCCCAGTGGACCCTTAGAAAATCTGGGTGTGGCTCTTAAAGCCTCTTGTAAGGTTGATCATCAGCCTTGACATTGCAAGGAAAATCGTTCAAAAAACAAGGGAATAAATATATAGTTGTTATATGTTGATAAGAGAAAGAAACTCAAATGTAGATTTTTTTTTTCCTGGACCCACCGTCTCAAAGGTTGAACACGGCTTATCATCCAAGACCATATACATGTAGTCTTCAATTTACGACCAAAATTGATGTTGCTAAGTGAGACATTTATTAAGAGAGTTTTGCCCCATTTTACAAGCTTTCTTGGCAGAGTTTAAGTGAATCATTCCAGTTGTTAAGTTAGTAACATGGTTGTCAAGTGAATCTGGCTTCCCTATTGGCTTGTCAAAAAGTTGCAAAAGCTGATCACATGATTTTGGGTCTCTGTAACCATCATAAGTATCAACCAGCTGCCAAGCATCCAAATGACCATCGGGATGCTACAACAGTCATGTGAAAAATGGACACAAGTCCCCCTTTTCAGTGCCGTTGTAACTTTGAACAGTTATTAAATGAACAGTTGTAAGTCAAGAACTACCTGCAACCAATAACCTCCTACCAACCAATACGCTCTCACAGAGTAGGCCTACTCATAGTACCATCATTAAAACAATGTCGTCTAGTAGTTCCAAGGGAGAGAGCCTTCTCTGTGGTGACACCTACTCTTTGGAACAAAATACCCCCTGGAATACGAATAATCCCAGATCTTCACACTTTCCGACGTGCCCTGAAGACCTTTCTGTTTCAACAAGCAGGGCTAGCATAAACATCTAAATTTTATGCCAAGGTCTTAGCAGATAGGTTGACTCAATTTATTTACTGTTTATAAATATAAAAAATTATATATATAATATATGTATATGAAATCTTATTCTGTTCACCGCCCTGAGTCCTTCGGGAGAAGGGCGGTATAGAAATTCAATAAATCATCATCATCATCATCATCTCAGGGAAGGAATATTACCAACTTTCTAACCTATGTGGTCATCTCTCTTTAAGGTCAAGTAACCAGAATATTCTCATTGAAGCACCTGTTTTTTCCATGCTGTTTCTGATATGGGCTATCAAGTCACAAGAATGAAAGGTCTCACCCCATTTTAAGCATTTATATAGTTAAATCCCATTGTGGCTCTCTTGTGGGAAGTAAGGTGACAACTCTGTGTAAAACATATTCCACATTCTAGGCATTTATATTGTTTCTCCCTTGTGTGGATTGTTTTATGGGAAGCAAAGGTGCTGGGATGATTAAATCTTTTCCCACACTCTAGGCATTGGTAGGGTTTTTCCCCCGTGTGAATTCTTTTGTGGTAAGTAAGGTAACTGCTTGTCCTGAAACTCTTTCCACAGTCCATGCACTTATATGGCTTCTCCCCTGTATGGATCCTTTTGTGGGATGTTAAAGAACTGTTTGTACTGAAGCTCTTTCCACACTCGGTACATTTATATGACTTCTCCCCAGTGTGGATGGTTTTATGAGAAGTAAGGGTATTGGAATGAGTGAAACTCTTTCCACATTCCATACATTTATAGGGTTTCTCTCCCGTGTGGATCCTTTTATGGGAAGTAAGATCTGTGCTCCTTGTGAAGCTCTTTCCACACTCCATACATTTATGTGGTTTTTCTCCTCTGTGAATATTTTTATGGGTTCTAAGGTTACTGGAGTGATTGAAGCTTTTCCCACACTCCATGCATTTATACGGTTTCTCTCCTGTGTGGATCCTTTTGTGAGAAGTAAGGCTATTGCATCGGCTGAAGCTCTTTCCACATTCCATGCACTGATAGGGCTTCTCCCTTTTGTGGATTGTTTCATGAGAAATAAGGCTTCTGGAGTGACTGTAGCTCTTTCCACATTCTAAGCATTTAAACGGCTTCTCCCCATTCTTTTGTGTGTGAGTTCTTTTATGGGAAATCAGTGTATCATTCCTTGTGAAACTTTTTCCACATTCCATACACTGATACAGTTTCTCCCCGGTGTGGATCCTTTTATGATAGATAAGGCTACTGCATTGGCTAAAACTCTTTCCACATTCCATGCATTTATATGGTTTCTCTTTCGTGTGGATCCTTTTATGGGAAATAAGTATGTCATTTCTCGTGAAGCTCTTTCCACACTCCGTGCATTTATATGGTTTTTCCCCTGTATGAATTCTTACATGGGCGGTAAGTTTATCATTCCTTGTGAAGCTCTTTCCACACACTATACATTTACATGGATTCTCATCAGTGTGTTTCCTTGGATGGGAAACAAGGTTACTGGAGTAGTTACAGTTGTTTTCATAGTCCTTACATTCAAATGCTTTCCCCCCCATCTCATCTCTCCAATGAGGAAGGCAGTTCTGATTATACCTGTTCCCCTCCTGTCTCCATTCACATGGGTTACTGAAATATTGTCCCATCCCCTCTCTATTAAGACCTTCTTGGGCCAGCAAGTCATAGATTTCCAGAGATAAAAGAGGAGGATTTTTTCCCTGTTGATCGTTTAGCCGGATTCCGTCTTCATTTTTTGGTTGCCATTGATTCTCTTCTCCCACTTCAACTTTTAGAATCTGTATGGGTGCCTCTTCTGATTCCTGATAAATCTCATTCTTCCGTTCATTGCCTGCTTAAGAGAGAAAGAAACAGGGGAGGAGGGAATCCAGTTAAGCCATCTACTGAAATCATTCCTTTTTTCTGGTTTATCTCTAGGTAGTACATTTAGTTTAATTAAAAGAAGGAGTAGGGAAGACACATGAACAGTCTTCCAGTATTTGAGGGGCTGCAAGAAAGAAGAGGGGGTCAACCTATTCTTCAAAGCACCTCAAGGCAGGACAAGAAGCAATGGATAGAAACTAATCAAGGAGAGAAGCAACCTAGAACTAAGGAGAAATTTCCCGATAGTGAGAACAATTAATTAGTGGAACAACTTGCCTCCTGAAGTTGTAGGTGCTCCAAAACTGGAGGTTTTTAAGAAGAAATTGGACAACCATTTTCTGATATGATATATAGGGTCTCCTGCCTAAGCAGGAGGATGGACTAGAACACCTGATGTCCCTTCCAACTGTTACTCTGTATTCTCCTAAGTATCTCACATTTTATTTTAATGGAGAGATCCATATTGTCAGGGGTGGGTTCCAAATTTTTTTACTACCGGTTCTGTGGGCATAGCTTATTTTGGGGAGTAGCAATTATTTAGGATTTAGCAGCGGTACTGGTCTACCAGGCTTTTAACTGCTTGCAGAGCTGTACCGATCTACCCATTTATTTTTGCAGGCACTGATCTACTCATGTATTTTTGCAGGCACTGGTCTACCCATTTATTTTTGCACCGATCTACTCATTTGTTTTCTTTTAACACTGATCAGCTGTAGTGCGGCCCTTTGAAGCCCCGCAGCTAAACAGTTTTTTTCCCTCTAGCCATCAGCTGGGACTCAGGAGGCAGCAATAGATTGGGGGTGGGGCCAAATAAAAGGTAAGAATAACGCGGGGGTGGGGGGGCAGAACCGGTTCGGTGACGTCATATCATCACCGCTACCGGCTGGGCGGAACCGGGCGGACCCGGGAGGAACCCACCACTGCATATTGTTAGTGAGCAAGAAACTATTTTCTTTATTCACTGGTTCTATGCTATGCATGATTCATTTCCTATTGATTTTTTCTTTAAATTCAATGTAATTTCAAGAATGGGTTTTAATTTTTGTTCACAACCCTCACAGTAGATTGGTATTTATTTTTGGGAATAAACTCCCAGGATCCCTTTCCTGGTAGAGATCCTTTTCTTGCCAGTAGAGATCCTTTTAAGCAAGATGTGATATCTGGCTTTTGATATGTATTGACAATATGTATTATTAGCTAAACTTCCACTTAAAGAATTTAACAGTCAGGATGATCTACTAGTTAGAGAATATCACGGAAGAAACAAAATATATTCTTCTAACTAACTGTGATATCGAACTATAGGTAGTCTTCGACTTAAAACCACAATTGAGCACAAAATTTCTGTTGCTAAAGGAGACATTTGTTAAGTGAGTTCTGCCCCATTTTACTACCTTTCTTGCCATAATTGTTAAGTGAATCACTACAGTTGTTAAGTTAGCAACATAGTTAAATAAATTTGGTTTTCCCATTGATTTTGCCTGTCAGGTTACATAAGGTGATCATATGACCCCAGGACACTGCAACAGTCATAAATATGAGTCAGTTGCCAAGCATCTGAATTTTGATCACATGACTGTGGGAACGCTGCGATGGTCTTAAGCAGTGGTGAAATCCAAATTTTTTTTACTACCGGTTCTGTGGGCGTGAGTTGGTGGGCGTGGTGTGTCTTGGTGGGTGTGGCAGGGGAAGGATACTGCAAAATCTCCATTCCCTCCCCACTCCTGCGGGAAGGATATTGCAAAATCTCCATTCCTACCCCACTCTGGAGCCAGCCAGAGGTGGTATTTGCCGGTTCTCCAAATTACTCAAAATTTCCGCTACTGAATCTCCAGAACCTGTCAGAATCTGCTGGATTTCACTCCTGGTCTTAAGTGTGAAAAACTGTCATAACTCACATTTTTCAGTGCCGTTATAACTTCAAACAGTCACTAAATGAACTGTTTTCATTTAGGACTACCTGTATTTGGACAAATTACAAAAAGAGATTATTTACCCAGAGAAGCCACATTCCTAGACATCTCCAGCATGACCTCCCCATGCAGAGCTTTCTGATCAGAATCTAGCAGACCCCACTCCTCCTCGGTGAAGCAGATGGACAACTCCTTGAAGGATATGGAACCCTGAAAGAGAAGCAAAAGTTTCTTACTAATAGGAAAGCTGGGAGAAATCAAATTCTCTCACGAGACCTGTGAAGCAGTGGCATTCATAAACCTTTTTCTGGCTGTTTTCAGAATTTGAGAGAGTAAAAGGAAAGGTTTCCTTCTCCATCCTCCCTTGACACCATCAGGGTCCGAAAGGTTGATTAACTTCATTGCATCTCCCATGATTCAGTGCCCGTGAAGGCCCAAATCACAGATTTGTTCTGGATACATCAGTTCCAGCTCTGCCTTCCATCCCTCAGAGCTGCTCCAGTTCTATCTTTTCATTCAAATTGATGGAATTAGCAGAGATGGCTAAATTGTCTGCTTTGATTAAAAAAAAGAACAACATTCATTTTGTTTCTACTTGGAAATTGCTTTTGGATTTTTGTGTTTTGGGGGGGAAATGAAACTTCCACCCCAAAGATTTTGCTGATTAGAAAGAATTGTTGTTATATAAATGTCTGATAGAGATAGGTAGATAGATAGATAGATAGATAGATAGATAGATAGATAGGTAGGTAGGTAGGTAGGTAGGTAGGTAGGTAGGTAGGTAGGTAGGTAGATAGATACCGTGTTTCCCTGAAAATAAGATCCTGTCTTATATTTTTTTGAACCCTGAAATAAGCGCTTGGCCTTATTGCCATATACTCAAAAGCCGATTGGGCCTATTATCAGGCGATGTCTTATTTTGATGGAAACAGGGTAGATATAGAGATAGCTAGATAGCTAGATAGATAAGCCATTTCTACAAGTTTTATATATATGAGAAGTCAATACTTTTCTTCCCCCCCTCTTTTACCGTACATTTTTTCTCTTCCTATTTCCTCCCTTGTTTTCCCTTTATTTTCTTCTTTTTGTATATCTGTACTTTATATTTTGATAAACTAATAAAATATTTGAACATATAAGCAAAGAACAAGCCACACGGACCTCTTGAGGTGTAAAGTGTCTCATGTTGGAACAGAGGTTGAAATGTAGGTGGGGGATGCTTCTTGCCTTAACCATATTTGCATTTTTTGGGGGCACAGGAAATTTTCTTCCTACCTGCGCTGAAAACCCAACATCTGCTTCTGCTTCATTGGAAAGATACGTTTCTCCTACCACCAGCTGGTATATGTCTCTGTTCTCTGCCCCTGAAAGATGGAGGAAATAGATACTTTTTTTAAAAAAATGCTGTATAAATTCAGGGAAAAACTATAAATAAATGCTATTGTGGAACACAGGACCATGAGCTGATTTTAAAAAATAAGGAATAAAAACCCTCTGAGTGCTCTTAAGAACTTCACTATTACAGAAGGGATCCCTCCCTTACCTGGTGACATGTCTCGATTCAGATCCTTTAGAGAAATTCCCCCAATTGAATTGTTCTGACAAGGATTTAACAGATCAATTCTTGTCTTAGGATGCTCAGCCATCAAATCCTGAACAGGCATCTCTATCGGCAACTGTGAAGAAGAGCAAAGAAAGATGTTAGAAGTACCACGTGGGAACACAGAAACACAGAACAACCCACTTTCAAAAATATTTGTGCGTGGAAAAATGCCCCAATAATTTCACACTGACATTATTCCCTCACTTGTAAACAATTAGATTTGCACCTCTCCTTGCTCCTTCTCCTCTGTCTGACTCAGGAGGAAGCCTTCAGCCAGAGCCACTGCCTGGGGACTGGTCTCAGCTCCACATTCCCGCACCCAATTCTCCATTTCCAGAGGCAGAATGGCCAGGAACTGCTCCAGGACTACCAAATCCAGCATCTGGGCTTTTGTATGTTTTTCTGGGTTCAGCCACTGATTGCAAAGATGGTGTAGGTGGCTGCAGATTCCTCGGGGACCCTCAGCATCCTGATAGCGGAGCTCCCTGAAGGGTTGACTCTTTGTGCAGAAAGTAATTGTTTTTTCACTCTGGATCCTCTGTCCTGCCTTTTTTTGTTCTATTGCAGTCCTCTCCTGAAGAGGATCACAAAGTGCCAGTCCTTCCCAAGCTGGTTTTCCTGGGTTCATGTTCCCTCTGGGCTCAACTGCACCCTCTAATGAGTGAAAGTCTTCAAAGCTACTTTTGTTCACAGAACCAGAATGTCATAAAAACTCCGATGAGAAATTTAACGGTGTCATTCATTCATCTTTGCTGCTCTATTCTTTTTGTCTCCATGCAAGAAAGACCTTCAGAGGATGAAGTTGCTTCTTATTCCCAACCTGCAATGGAAAATAATGCAAAGGAGCATCAGTTTTTTGAAGACTCACTTCCAAGGGTATGCCTAAGAGGTTGCCACAAAGAAGAGGGGAGTCAACCTATTCTCCAAAGCATCTGAAAGCAGGACAAGAAGCAATGGATGGAAATGAATCAAGGAAAGAAGCAACCTAAAACTAAGGAAAACTTTCATGACAAAACAAGTAATCAGTAGAACGATTGTACTCCAACACTGGAGGATTTTAAGGAGAGATTGGACAACCATTTGTCGGAAATGGTACTGGGCAGGAGTCCCCAACCCCCAGTCTATGGACTGGCACTTGTTCGCAGCATGCCAGAAACCAGCTGTGCAAAGAAATGAATCCCCATCCACAGGATGCAGGCAGCACATGGAACCATACACCCTCCAGTCCGTGGAAAAACCTCTCTCCATGGAACAGGTCCCTGGAGCCCAAAAGTTTGGGGACTGCTGGTATAGGGCTTCCTGCCTTAACAGTGGGTTGGACTAGAAGACCTCCAAGGTCCCCGCCAACTCTTTTCATCTTGTTGGGAATCTCCTGCCTTTCAAGCCTTCCCACTTCACGAAGGAGGGTATTTTTCACTCTGGTCGGAGGGGATTCTTTGGGCAGATCCAGCAGAGCAATTCCCCGGAGTCAGGATCTTCCCACTTTGGGGGGGGGAGGTGCCCCACAAATGGGGTCCCTCAGCCCTCCCCCCCAAAAGTCAGGGGATTTGCAGCCTTGCAGTTTGCTCCCTGGATCTGCAGTGGGAGGCCCTGAAGCGACTCCAGCAGGGAGGGGGCACAAACCGGAGTCACTCCAGCGTGTGAGAGAGCAGAGAGGGAGAGGCAGCCAGGTCAAGAGATTTCCCCTCAGAGATCCGCCCCTCCCCCCCCTCGCAATTGCGCACCCCTCACCCACCAGCGGCAGTCTCCTCTCAAAGCTCTGAGAGAAGAGAGGCGATCCTGCGTCCGGCTCCGCCCACGCCCAGGACAGGCAGCCGAGCCTCCCAACCGCCCGCTCGATAGGTGGACGGCTTCTTCGCAGAGGCGCGTGCCCACCGCGGCGGCGCCGGGATTGGTCCGAGAGGAGGACGGTTGGCCAATGGGAGCGCACCGCGGTTGAAAGCGGCTGCGGTTGCTGTGCAGACTGGGCTGTCCGTTACTCGCGCGAAGTTTTTTGTTTGTTTGTTTTTTTAACGCGGTGTCTGCGCTCCCCTCAGCTCCCTCAGACTGAGCAACGGATTCAGTCTGTGAAGGCGGCGCGGCAGAAGCGTCTACGGTTGCCGGGCTGCTGGAGGTTTTTTCCCTCCGTTATTGGGAATTTTTTCGAAGTTTTTTTTCCCATCTTGGCTCGTTTCTACTCTTGGCTGAGGGACCTGCGCTCCCCGCAGCTCCTTCAGACCGAGTGGCTTTCTAAACCCGCTCAAAGGCGGGAGGGCAGGACCCAAAGCCTCATTTGAAGAGTGATGCTAGAAATTTTATGGTGTTTGTGTGTCTACATTTTTCTTGACTGTACACCACCTTGAGTCCTACGGGAGAAAGGCGGTATAGAAATATAATTAATTAATTAATTGGGGAGCAGGAAGAAGGACTCCCCCTGGGAGAAATATAGGGGTCCCGAAGGGGCTTAGGAGGCAAAGGCTGTCAGAAGACTACTCACTGGCAACACAGAGGGAGAAGAAGGCGACCGAGTATAGGTCTTGAGGCTCCTTTGCTTTTCCCCTGTGAAGTCCTTCCCTCCTGAAAAGATATAAAAAGAGGCAATTAAATTTCCTGCCATAAAGAAGAGAGGGGTCAACCTAGTCTCCAAAGCACCTGAAGGCAGGACAAGAAGCAACGGATGGAAATTAATCAAGGACACAAGCAACCTAGAACTAAGGAGAAATGTCCTGACAAAACAATTAACCAGTGGAACACCTTGCCTCCAACAGTGGAAGTTTTTAAGAAGACACTGAAAGACCATTTGTCTGAAATGGGAGAAGGTCTCTTGCCCGAGCAGGGGGTTGGACCAGAAAACCTCCAAGGTTCCTTCCAACCCTTCTGTTCTGTTCTGTTCTGTTCTATTCTTCTGTTCTGTTCTATTCTATTCTATTCTATTCTATTTATTTCGTTCTATTCTATTCTATATCCCCATCCCAAATGGCATTCCCAGCTCTTTCTTTCTGCAGTGAGATCTCCCTACAGAACTCTGCAAGCTCACTTTCTGCCGAAACTAAGGAAAAATTGATTTATGTGAAGGTTGAAAAGATAAGGAAAAACTTTCCCCCCCTCTCCCAGCGATTTCTAAAAAAAAAAAAAGCGAGCTTAGGAGATAAGAATGGCTTCTACAGGTAGTCCTCGACTTACCACAATTGAGCCGAAAATTTATGTTATTAAGTGAGACATTTGTTAAGTGAATTATGCCCCCTTTTACCACTTGTCTTGCCTTAGTTGTTAAGTGAATCACTGCAGTTGATAAATTGGTAATCTGGTTAAGTGAATCTGACTTCCCCATTGACTTTGCTTGTCAGAAGGTCACAACAGTGTAGCATGTGACCTTGGGACACAGCAATGGTCATAAATGTGAACCAATTGCCAAACGTCTGAATTTTGATCACATGATTATGGAGATGCTGCAAAGGTGGTAACTGAAAAAATGGTCATAAGTCGCTTTTTTCGGTGGCGTTCTAACTTTGAATGATCACTATGTGAACACTAAGTCGAGGACCACTTGTATTTGGGGGAGTTATCTGCATCTTCCCACTCAGCAAAGGAGATAGTCCTCGACTTAGATCTTTTATTGTGCCCCCATGCAAAGAAAATGTGGAATATTCACTCCAAGCCTTTACGAGCAATAATGGATCAAATGTGGAGGGACGGGACCCAACCGTTGGGGTCTCAGAGTTTGGGCAAACACGAAGGCCAGCTATATGTTAGTGGCTTCCCCCGTTTCCCGGCTTTCTCGTCCAACAGCTCCCCTGCTTTTTCTGCAGTGATACGGTGGCAACTTTCGCTTTCCATCCGGAGGGAGCCGCATTCACTCCGGTTGCGTGCTTAGGAACAATCCTCCTGCGAGCCGACAGACTTCTCTCTAACATGCACGGCTGGAGTTCTGAGCAGGAAGACAGGAAGTGAGTGTCTGGACTCTCTAGGAAAAAGCCATCTTCCACTGACACTTCCGGGAAGGAAAGACTCGGGAACGCCTTGCTTTGGTGCACGGAGATTCGGTGTGGTTGGAAGCGCCTTCTTAACGCCCTGCGACGGTATCTGTGTTGCTTCACAAGAAGCAGATATTCCGATGAGACTGAGCTCCGCGGTTGGCATGCAGTTTTCAGCCTAGATCGCAGGGGCTGGGAAAACGGGTGGGTCGTACTTCCCCCATTGTGCTTACCCAGAGGCTGGCTGGTTGACGGTTTATGTATTCCTGAAGGTTGTAGCCTCTGGTTCTTCCCCTTTCAAGGGATGCGGGCAGGGAAACGGGCAATTTGTTGCATCTCAGGAGAGAGGACTGTCCTGAGCAAAGCATGCATTGTCTGCAGAAAGCATGAATTTATATATCAAGAGGTTTCAGTTGATCTCAGTTTCAACAAACGCTATGGGTTTGTTAACAAAGTATAGATCTTTTTGTAAAACTATGTAAAGTTGTTGAAGAGTCTGCTTTTAATTACTTTTTAAAAGACAACTTTGATCCTTTCATCCTGCATTGGATTTCAGGTGTAGAGCTGCTTTTGGGGGCTAGAATCAGTGGTGGGATTCAAATTTTTTTACTACCGGTTCTGTGGGCGTGGCTTGGTGGGCGTGGCAGGGGAACTGCAAAATCTCCATTCCCACCCACTCCATGGGAAGATCCATGGGAGGCAGAGAATTGATGGGGGCTGGGCCAGTCAGAGGTGGTATTTACCGGTTCTCCAAACTACTCCAAATTTCCGCTACCAGTTCTCCAGAACTGGTCAGAACCTGCTGAATATTACCTCTGGCTAAAATACTGTACTGTAAAAGATACAAAATTAACCAAGAAAAGCCCTTCGGAGATCAGTGTAGAGCCCTGCTGAGAGACTAACAGGATAACAGAGTTGGAACTTGGAAGGGACCTTGGAGGTCTTCTAATACAACTCCCTCCTCAAGCAAGAAACCCTATACCATTTAAGGCAAATGATTGTCCAATCTTTTCTTGGCTTTCAGGCTGATAAAACTATCTTGTACTCAAATCTCTCAAGTATTCTCAGAGCAAAGATTTGCTTGCAATGAGAAAATTCTGTTTAGGAGAAATAGAGCCCAGTCTCCCACCTGAAAAGCCCTTTGGTAGCAAATGTTCTCCCCAAACATTAACTCTAATTAAACATTATTAGAAAAAAAATTGAAAATTGTCGGGGTTAGGACAATTTTGTCATATATTAATATTCTTTTTTTTTCTTTTGATCACAGATTGGGAGCTTGATGTATGCTGTTTTATCTGCAAGCTTCCTGTTTCCATTGACACAAAAACTTGTCACCAAAGAAAGCTCAGTGATCTGTTTGGATTCCTCACTGGACCTTTTCAGACATTCTGATTTTATAGATGGAAGAAGGTTTAGAGACTTTTTACCCATTGGGAATTTCGATTGAGCATAGATGGAAAATGGAAAGAAAAAGATTAGAATGTGAGGGAATAGCAGTACACCCTCTCCTTCCGAGGGAGACCAGTCTGAACATTTGGGAAACATGCAAGCAGAAGATCCCAGATGAAGAAAAAATCAGCGCTGACATCCAGCGACAAATATTTAGAGAGTTCTGCTACCAGGAGACTAAGGGCCCCCGAGAAATATGCAGCCACCTTCATTATCTTTGCTCCCAGTGGCTGCAGCCAGAGAGAAATTCAAAGTCACAGATATTGGACATGGTGATCCTGGAGCAACTCCTGGCCATCCTGCCCCCAGAGATCAAGAACTGGGTCAAGGAATGTGGAGTGGAGACTAGTTCTCAGGCAGTGGCTCTGGCAGAAAGCTTTCTTCTGAGCCAAGTGGAGGAGAAGAAGCAGGAAGAGATGAAGGTCTGATTGGTTCCGAGGGAGTGATAATAAATATCTCAAAGTTTAAACATGCAGTTCCTCCAAACCATTTTAGAGCTGGCCATATACCATATTTTTCAGAGTATAAGACACGCCTTTTTCCCCCCCTAAAAGTGGGTGAAGATTTAGGTGTATCTTATAGAGCGAAAATGGGCGTTTTTGGCCTCCCAAAGCCTCCGTGCGTTGCATTTTTGCCCTCCCTGGCCCCCAGAAGCACTCTGCAGTAGTCTGCACAGCCCGTTTTCACCAAAAAACGGGCCCGTTTTTAGGCTCCCAAGCCCTCCACGCATCGCGTTTTCATCCTGCCCCGTCCCCAGAAGCACTCTGCAGGTCAAAAACAGGCATGTTTTTGGCAAAAACGGGCCATGTGGAGCATTGCAGAGTGCTTCTGGGGGCCTGGGAGGACGGAAATCCGACATGCGAAGGCCAAAAACTATTTCTTTCTTGTTTTCCTCCAGTAAATTTAGGTGCGTCTTATAGTCCAGTGCGTTTTATAGTCCGAAAAATACAATAGTAGTCTTGACTTAGGCCAGCCTTAAATTGGAGGGATCTTGCTCTTATTAGTAAAGCTAGATGGGAGTTTAAAAGCTCCTCAGTCCTTTCAGTTATTAATTGTATGTATAAGGAAGGAGTATAACTTCTTAAAGTGTTTGTTGCCTTTTCTGAAACATTTCCCAGGAGTTGGGAGAAACCCAAGCTCTTTTCCCACAGATGAATCAAGTAGAAGGGGAGGTGGGATGAAAGTTGGAAATACATTTTGTCTAATTTCTGTTAAACCCGTTCCCTTCTGATGTCTGCAGTTGCAAGTGAAGACGTCCTGTCTTAATTTGGTCACTGAATGCTCTGAAGCAAGAGGGAATCTGTTCAAACCTCGTAGGGATCTATTTTTAGGAGACATCTCACAAAAGGATCTAGTTCAGGACAGACCACCAGGTAAGAAATTTGTTCTAATGGCAAAAAGTTATCAAGAGCTCTCCAAACTACGGGTAATTCTCAATTTACAACCATTCGTTTAGTGATAGTTTGAAGTTGAAAAAAGTGACTGTTTTTCATACTTATGACCGTTGCAGCATCTCTGTGGTCTCGTGATTTAAATTCGGGAGCTTGGCAACTGGTTCGTATTTATGATGGTTGCAATGTCCTGGAATCATGCTTAAGTTTAAGTTTAATGCAATTTATATGCTGCCCTATCTCCAATGGACTCAGGGCGGCTCACAACAGTAAAATATACAATAACATTAATACACTATAAAATTAAAAAGTCCGAATTAAGCAATTTAAAATCAGTTTAAAAACTATTAAGAAAACCTCCCCTCATCAGTCCAGGCTACGAAATGTGATCACCTTTTGTGACTTCTCACAAAGAAAGTCAAAGGGGAAGTCAGATTCACTTAACTGTGGCAAGAAAGGTCATAAAATGGGATAAAATTCACTTAACAACTTTCTTGCTTAGCAATGGAAATTTTGGGCTCAATTGTGGTCGTAAGTCAAGGACTACCTGTACTTTCATTCATGAGCTTCTTTTGCAATCAAACTTTGCCTCTCTTGACACAAAATATTTAGCTTCCCCCAGAACATACCGTATTAAGTATATTCTTTAAAAATGTCCATTTCTTTTTATCTTTGTCCTCCCCACAGAGAACAAAATAATGATTCAGCTCCCATTGGAAAATCAAGCTTCTCTTTCTGGTGGAGTGGAAATGGGGGCTGTCCTTCCAGCTCAGGTACGAAGAAATTTTTCCCCTACTCAGAACTGCGTATGTGATTTAGTCAAGATGCATCCCTTCTACTGCTAAAACTGTATTTATAATCTAGAAACAGTCCTTTTCCTGACCAGTAACACTGTATGAATAAGCTTCACTTGGTCAGCTGCCATCCAACCACTTTCTGGAATAGAGCAGCTCTGATGGATGCGAGAAACAGCTCAGGATGGGGAAGATCTAGAATGATGTTTTATTCATGCATTCAGTACATCAAATCCTGTGGAAGCATTAATCAGCCTTTGTACAGTTAATCAGCCTTTATCTCCTATGTGATTTCAGCCAGTGGATGTGAGCCATGTCCACTTATTTCCTTAATTCTGAAACTTGCCAGAAAAAAAATCTTGTTTATTTTATTGCAAGTTTCTGCTCTGGGGATTTCTAAGAGGTCTTAAAAGATTTCTCAATCTGTCTCTTAATAAAGGATTTCTTTATTCCTCTTTCAGGATTCCATAGCCTTCAAGGAGGTGGTCATCTATTTCACCAAGGAGGAGTGGGCTCTGCTAGACCCTGATCAGAAAGCTCTCCATGAAGAAATCATGTTGGAGACTTGTAGGAATATGGCTTTTCTAAGTAAGAGCCTCTTTGCTTTCTGTTCAAATAGTTGGGTTAGGTATTTTTTAGTTGGACAGAATCCGTTTTTTGTAGTTCTCTGACCTTTCTGGTAGGCCAGATCAAGGAACAGATCCGGTGAGAATTTCACAAATTCTGGTTTATTATTGTGCAATGTAGTAACAGAAACTTGAAAGTTTTTCTTTATGCCCTCTCCTACTAAACAAAGTTAAGGCAGGGTTATTTTGCATTCCTATTTCACACTTGCTTCAATCTCAGTTAGATCCTTTAGTAGACATAATACGCAGATATATATGTTGCATATTGGGCTGAACGGAAGGTGGTGTATTGCAGGGGTCTTGACATCTGTCTGGAGGCTCACAGAATCTGAGTGGACCAAAACAGGTGCACACTCAACTCAAGAAAGATAGAATTGTGCCAATCTAAAAATCAGCAAGTTCTAGAATGATTGTCCCAAAACTGTTTTCCAAAAGGCAATTGGACTTCCTTGGTATTTTCTTGAAAACATTTCACTTCTCATCGAAGAAACCTCTTCAGTTCTGAAGAAGCTTCTTGGATGAGAAGCGAAACGTTTTCAAGGAAAAAAACAAGAAAATCTAGTTGCCTTTTGGAAAAGCACCTTTGGGACAACCATGACCCGGATGATTGAGAATCTCCATAGACACTTCTAGAATAATTCAAATTTTGATTATAGGTGGGATTGTGCTCCGCACAATAATACAATGACCTTCAATTTGACAGCAGTGGTAATGGATGGCGGCAGTGGTGGAATTCAAATTTTTTTACTACCAGTTCTGTGGGCATGGCCTAATGGATGTGGCAGGGGAAGGATACTGCAAAATCTCCATTGCCACCCCATTCCAGGGGAAGGATACTGCAAAATCTCCATTCCCACCCCACTGGGGCCAGCCAGAGGTGGTATTTGCCGGTTCTCTAAACTACTCAAAATTTCCGCTACCGGTTCTCCAGAACCTGTCAGAACCTGCTGAATAGCACCCCTGGATGGCGGCCACTTGCCATGTAGGTATTTGCCCAGCTTTAGTAGGTCTGCCTGTTGCAGCTTTTAGTGGAAATAAAGTTTCTGTGAATGGTTGTTCATTCTTGTCATTTCTTAGTTAGATTATTGTAGCTCACTCTACATGCAGCTGGCCTTGAAGACCAACCAAAAGCCTTAGATTCAGACATAGTGCTGTGTTATAATAACTATGCTAAGAAGCTGCACTGGATATCAGTTGCTTTCTAGTTACAATTCAAGGGTTTTGTTATAATTTATAAAGCTATGAACATGTCCCTAAGAGATTAAGTGCTAGAAAGAAGTACAGTAATATCTTGGTTTCAAATGATTTGAAACTCATTGAATTTGGTACTCAGTTCATTTTGATACAAAAAGTTTCTCCTGGTAGTCATTATTTGCTTGGTACTCAACACACAAGCTAGAACCTGTCAGTGTCAGATGTCTTGTGAATCATTACATTATTCCTTATGGGAACATTTTTGTTTGGTACTCATTTGGCTCCTGGAGCCAATTAATGATGAGTGCCAAGGTACCACTGTACTTCTTTACACAAGTAATAATAATTTAGAATATTCTGTTTTAGTTCATTCTTTTTCTCCCAAATAGGTAACGAACGGAAGAATAAACAAGAAACAGAGATAGAGCCATTGCGAGTCATCAAGGTTGAAGTGGGAGAAGAGATATTTCAAAATCAGTGCCCATCAAAAAATCAAGAGAAAATTCAAGTAAACATTCAGAGGCATAAAAATGCTTCTTCGTGTCCTAAAATCTATGACTTCCTGAGCTCAAAAGATATTAAAACAGAGAGAAGACGACAAAGTTTAGATTTTCAGAAAATATTTGAAGATCAATCAGATTTAAATAAACAACACGAATGGAAAGATCATGAGGAAAAGTACAAGAGGTTTTGCTCTTTTACTTTGCATCAACAAGAGTATATGGGAAAGCAACCATTTAAATGCAAGGTATGTAGGAAAAGCTTCAGCAGGTACAGTAAAATTATTGCACATGAAAGAATCCACACAGGGGAGAAGCCATTTAAATGTATGGAATGTGGTAAGAGTTTTACTCAGAGTAGTCACCTTACTTCCCATATAAGGATCCACACAGGGGAGAAGCCTTTTAAATGCTTGCAATGTGGAAAGAGCTTTACTCAAAATAGTCACCTTACTTACCATAAAAGGCTTCACTCAGGGGAGAAACCGTATAAATGCACCGAGTGTGGAAAGAGCTTTGCTGATTCCAGTTCCCTTCTTGTGCATAAAAGGATCCACACCGGAGAGAGACCTTACAAATGCACGGAATGTGGCAAGAGCTTCACCCTGAGTAGTCACCTTACTTCCCATAAAAGGATCCACACAGGAGAGAAACCATTTCAGTGTGTGGAATGTGGAAAGAGCTTTAGAACAAAGGGTTCTCTTAAATTTCATAAAAAGATCCATACAGCGGAAAGACCGTATATATGCATGGAATGCGGAAAGAGCTTCAAGCGGATTGCTGATCTAACTCGACATGACAGAACACATGAAAAGAAGTTCCATACAAATCTACCAGGCGTGGTAAAAGCTTCCATAACAGCAGATACCTTGCTTTGTGTGAAAGTAGAACAGCCATTTGAATGCAGACAGTGTGGGGATGAGCTTCCCGTTGATTATGTTGACTAATTATTAATAAAGGAGAGTATTTTTTAAATTTTAATAATTAATAAAGGAAACGACCATATTTTTCAGACTATAAGACACACCTTTCCCCCCCCCCCAAAAGAGGTGAAAATTTGGGTGCGTCCCGCCCAGCTTCTCAAATGGAGGTTTCAGAGGCTAAAAAAAACATCAGAAACGAAGCTTCAGAAAAAAAGCCTTCAAACAGAGCTTCAGAATAAAAGCATCAGAAACAGAGGCTTTTTTTCTGAAGCTCTGTTTCAGAGGCAGAAAAAAAAAACAAGGCACAGAGCTCACAACCAATAAACCTGTTGCTAAAATTCACCTCTCAGAACAGCTGATTGGGGGTATTCCAGGAGGCCAATCCTATACTCCAAAAAATAGGTAATTATAAGCAATGAAGTGTGTCAGCTCTTAGCAACCACAGATGGATTTTCTCCATTCGAGCCTGTCCTGAGGTTTGGATATTAATCACCACAAAGAATTCCTACAAAGGAAATGCTGTATAAATTCAGCATTCACTGAAAAAATTCAATGAAAACATTTCTCCTTTTTTTCTTTTTATGAACCTGTAATCCTTTTTTCGGGGTGGAGTCGAGGTGACTGAATGGACTGAGCATTTAACTGCCTGGATGCCCTTCCTGATGCCTACATGGAATTCACAGCAGATATTTTCTCTGTGCACCCTGATAGAGAAATAACTGCCACTACCTAGGATTGAACTCTCAGCCTTCTGAGAGGAGGTGAGCATCTTCGCCTCTAGGCCACCATGCTAGTGACATCATTTCTTTTACTTCCCATAAAAAGTTTCACACAGAAGAGATGTCTTAAATGTCTGGAATGTGGAAAAAGCTTCAGAAGAGTAATCTTAATGCCTGTAAGAAGGATCCACAGAGGGGAGAACCCATATAAATGGAGTTAATGTGGAAAGTGCTTCAGTATTAACAGATTACAGGCAGTCCTCAATTTATAACAATTTGTTTAGCGACTATCCGAAGTACCACAGCACTGAAAAAAGTGACTTAAAACCAGATCTCATACTTATAGCTATTACAGTAGCCACATGATCACATGATCAAAATTTGGGGGTAGGCAACTAGTATGTATTTATGATAGTTGCAGTGTTTTGGAGTCACGTGATTACTATTTATGACCTTCCCAGCTGGCCTCTGACAAGCAAAGTCAGTGGGGGAATCAGGATGAATGATGATATGATTCATTCAATAACTGCAGATTCGCTTAATAACTGTGACAAAAGTTGTAAAATCAGGCGCAACTCAACAACTGCTTTGCTTAGCAATAGAAATTCTGATCCTAATGGTGGTCATAAGTCAAGGACTTATCTGTATATATGAAAATAAAGGCCAAGAGGGAAGAAACCACACAAACAGTGGAGTGTGGATATAGCTTTGTTCATTGCAGTAACCTGATTTCCCATAAATGAACCCACATGGAAAAGAAATTCTGAAGTATGGAAAGTGCTTCAGATGAACTTTAATTTTACATGAACTCAAAAACAAACAAAAACCAGGAGGAGACTGCATACTACAAACATCTACTAACTACTATCTATTTAAAAAAATCTACTAACTTCTAACACCTTGGACTACACCTGATCTTTGATGGTGAGGCAGATAAGTTGACTTTAGAAATTGAATGGATCCAGAACACAGTTTAATTTTAATTTCCTTTTATTTATCGTTCATTTGTCAAAATTAAATGAAAGGGTCCTAAAGAATTAAAAATAACAACTTGGTGGATTTTACGGAATGGTGGTTGAATTTTGCTACAAATATTAAAGGTAGGTGGGATGGGAATGTTCAGTATTTCTGATTATATTTTTAAAGGTGTTACTTATTACTACTTCATTGGCAATTAGTGTTCTTTGAAACTAAGCAGATTCCATCCTGGTTATTGGTAATTTTTGATGGGCCTGGAAGAAATTCTCGTGTTGTCGGGAGAACGATTCCCAGGTTGCTAAGAAAAAAAATACGAATACAATCAATAATTGATGAGATCAACTTATCTTTAATTATGTTTTACATTGTTTCATTTGTAGTTATTTGTGTATTGCAGATTGATTTTTCTATAAAACGATGGTTACGTGTTCACAGTGTTTAAAATCTAATTCAGTCAGACTGCTTAGGAACTCAAGTTTTGTTCCCTAAAAGATTATGAAGAGGGAACCTATACATGGTGTAGGGCTCTATAGTTTTTCTTTTATTGTGTGTACTACCTTTCAAGCAGGAAATGCCACCATTTTCAGGAGGGGCTTTTCATTTTTTCATTGATACGCTATTAAATTCATGTTGATTCTTCGTGACCACATACTTTGTTTTTCGATTGGTGATCTGTCCCTAATGAAGTCTTTCAGATCTCATTTTTATGAGTAATTGATGTACAATTTTCTGCTTTTTGGGAGGGCAGTCTTTTCTTCCCCCCTCTTTTTTTTTTTTTTTTTTTGGATGATGGATTCTGATAGGTGCTAACAAAGCACTAAGCATTAAACTGACCTAGTTTGTGGTTGATATTGATATAGACCATAGTGAAAATCAAGTTACGATGAGATGTTCCCACTTGTTGAATGGCATGTACTTGGTAGTACAGTGGTTTAAGGCACCCTGTTATTAAGCTGGTTATTAAGACCAGCTGCCTGCAATTACTGCAGGGTTTGAATCTCGCCAAGGCTCAAGGTTGACTCAGCCTTCCATCCTTTCTAAGGTAGGTAAATTGAGGACCCAGTTGTGGGGGCAATAAGCTGACTTTGTATAAATATACAAAAGTATGAAGGCTATTGCTGAGCACATTGTAAGACGCCCTGAGTCTTCGGAGAAGGGCGGCATATAAATCAAATTGATATATATATATAAGAAAATATAAAGTGAGGAGCATTGAAACAAAAAAAAATCATAATTTGACATAGATGCTAATTGGACCAGATCTGTCTGTATCTAATCAGGAGAAAGATCTTGGCATGTGGAGATTCAACAGAGAATTATACCTTTTTGTGGTAGTTGTGAAAACAATGCCATTTACCTAGAGCCTGGAAGCATGCCTTCTCTGTCTTGGCAGATACAAAGCACTAAACCAGGGGTCGGCAACCTTAAACACTCAAAGAGCCACAAAGGTCCTAACTGGAAGCTCCCCGTTCAATTCTGGAGCCGACCGGAAGTCCAATTCCCCCACCATAGGGTCTCATCTTAGTACGGTGTCCTTTTTCCTCTTTCTGTCCTAACCGAAAGTCCATCAATTGTGGAGCCACAGCAGAGGGATGAAAGAGCCACATGCGGCTCCAGAGCTGCGGGTTGCTGACCCCTGCACTAAGCAGTGGGCTGACCTGGTCTGTGGTTGATAGTAAAGTGGAATTTTGAGATTGCCAATAATTTTATGCAATTCCAGAAACAATATAAGAAAGCTTGAAAATTTGCAGAAGAGTGCAAAATGATCCAGAGTCTTGAACATCTTCCTTAAGCTAGAATTTTGTGGGCTCTAGCTTTAAAAAGGGATCTTAGATGGGACATGATTGAGGTATATAACCGCTTGGCATTTTCTTTGCAGACTTTTCATGATCTTGCCCAATAACCTCATCAGTGTTCTGATATGGAGGAGGTTTATTAGTTTCTGGAGCAGGATGGTGCATGTATCCGGGCTAGGGGGTAAAGAAGGCCTATATTTCTTGAATGAGCAATATGTTTAATGTACATTAAAAAATACAAAGCAGCTATTCCATGCAGGCGGTGGTAGAAAAAAAATCACTGCAGCAAACTGTCTTTCTCTAATAGAAAGACAGCAGACGTGATTTTTTAAAAAAGTGAAATGGTGAAAAAAGTGAAAACTTGAAAAAGAAACCTTAAGAATGTGCTAAGGTTGAAACAATAAAAGCAATTGTGATGGCTTTGCGTAGCTTAGCAACTGAGTTGTTGGTCCTAATTGTAGTTGATAAATGATTGATAAATGAGAGCTACCTGTAATGAAACATTGCTAATTTCTTGCTATCGCATGGTAGGAATTGCGATTCAAACAGTTACAACCTATAGTAAAGGTAAAACTCCTTATGACATGGAATGCATGTACAGTTTCCTTGGTCAATATATAACTGCCGTTGCCAAATCTAGAATTTTTATTTTATTTTGTGTTCTAGCACCGGGATTTCTTGGTGCTCGAGAGGCCTAGGAGATCATCTAGTCTGACATGTACTTGGTTCAGAGTCCATTAGAGTATTTCTCCCAGATGACCATGCTGCCTCTGAAGACCTCCAATAAAGTCTCCACCACTTCATGTGTCAGCAGCCTGTTTTTACTGCTGACAATTTATATAGTTAGTATGATCTTCCTAATATTGAGCCTTAAATTCTTCCCTTCTAGCTTTAATTCAGTTCCAGGCAAAAGAGAATGCAGGTGGTCCTTGTTTAATGACCAGTTGCTCAGCAATTGTTTGAACTTGCAACAGCGTTGGATGAATTGGATGAAGCTCCAATTGTTACAGTATTCCCACAGTCATAGAATTGCAATTTGCGACATTCTCACCTGGCTTCCCCAAGCAAAGTCACTGGGGAAGTCAGCAAGAAATCGTCATGATCACATAAAGGTCCTCGTGTAATGACATAACTGGAGACTGCCAGAACTATTGTACCTATGCAGCGCGGTCCTATGATGTCATGCTTTACAGTTACATTGCTTAGCAAAAGAAATCCCAGTCCCAATTATTGTTAAGTGAGAACTACGTGCAAGTCCGTTATGGAACAGTCTTTAAAATATTTGAAGACAGCTATTGTACAGCCCCTAGGTCTTTTCACAAATACACACAGTTTTTAACCATTCTTCATAAAGCATTTGGTTCCCAGATCCCTCATTAATCATGATTCCTCCTCTGAAATTGCTATAGTTAGTCCCTGTTCTTTTGGAAGTGTGCTGACCAGAACTGGATACAAGACTCCAAATGAGGCATTACCAGGACAGAACAGAATTAAGAGTACATCCTGTGAGTTAGGCTCTCTTCTCCACTTACTGTATTTCAAAATAATGTTTGCCTTTTTAATGGTTGCATTGTGCTGCTAATTGTATTTATTTATGTTGAGATCAATAAAAACATTTCCCTTCGAAAGTAGAATGGTAGCACAGGTAGTCCTTGACTTACAATCTTTCATTTAGTAACCAAGTTAACAACACTGAAAAAGTTACACATTCATTTTTCACACTTACAATTGTTGCAGTGTCCCCATGGTTACATGATCAAAATTCAGATGCTTATCAACTGGTTCATATTTATTTTTATTTTTTTTAAAAAAGTTTTATTTTCTTTTAATACAAACATTTCATCATTCATTAAACTGTCTTGTCTAGCTACAAATTTTTTGTGTCGTAACAGTTTAAGCTTACCACCATATTCATTATTTATATCTCTCCTTATTTTAATACTAATACTTAATACTTAACATATCTATTATTGTGACATTTCTCTTCTTAGCTTATTTAACATTATAATACATTGCTTTCATATTTATTCTCTAACCATTGATAAAATAAATCCCATTTATTATAGTAATCAGATTCTTCCTTTCCTTTAATAGCAAGTGTTAATCTATTCATTTCTGCATATTCTTCTTAATCACATTTTCATCTGTAGGGATCTCTTCACACTTCCAATTTTGTGCAAATACAATTCTAGCTGAAGTTATTACATCAATAATCATATATACATTTTCTTCACTATACGTTTCTGGTAAAATCTCCAACAGGAATATCTCAGGTTTTAGGTCAATATGCTGCTGCATCGTCATCTCCAACCACATACGAATTCTTGCCCAATATTTTGTCAACTGGTTCATATTTATGATGGTCATAGTGTCCTGGGGTCATGTACTTTTATGACCTGACGAGGAAAGTCAATGGGGAACTCAGATTCACTCAACAACCGTGATACTAATTAACAACTGCTATGATTCACTTAACAACTGAGCCAAGAAAAGTTGAAAAAGGGGCATAACTCACTTAACAATGGTCTCGCTTAGCAACAAATTTTGGGCTCCATTGTGATCGTAAGTCGAGGACTATCTGTACAGTTTTTGGTTCTGATGGGCTTTCTCTATAAAAGAGCATCATCCAATTTTCATGCCGTTGCCACACCTGATTTTCCCAAGAAAAAGATATCCCAAGAAGGGTGCAGGTGAGGATAAGGATTTCCTGGAAAGGGCCCCAAAAGGAGCTTACACAAGTTTTACTCCCAAATTTTTATAATCTTTATAATGCTTTGGTAAGACCACACTTGGAATATTGTATCCATTTTTGGTCATATCAATATAAAAAAGATGTTGAAACTCTAGAAAGAGTCAGAGAAGAGCAATGAATATGATTAGAAGACTGGAGCCTAAAATATATGAAGAACGGTTGCAGGAATTGGGTTTGTCTGATCATGGAGGTTGGAATATTGCCCCAGGAAATATTTAATATGTGGAACAGTGACAGTGATTTAATTTACTATGGAGAGATAAATTTCTTCTATAGTATAAGTAAAAGATTACTTATGATCTTCCGGGTGCGCTTCAAGGTGTTGGTTACCACCTTTAAAGCGCTCCATGGCATAGGACCTGGGTATTTGCTGGACCGCCTTCTGCCGCCGATAGCCTCCCACCGACCAGTGCGCTCCCACAGAGAGGGACTCCTCAGGGTGCCGTCGGCCAGGCAATGTCGGCTGGCGACCCCCAGGGGGAGGGCCTTCTCTGTGGCAGCTCCTGCCCTCTGGAACGATTTGCCCCCGGAGATAAGAAGGATATCGGATCTCTGGGTCTTTCGCCGTGCCCTGAAAACTTTTCTTTTCCATCAAGCAGGGCTGGCGTGAACCCCGCCCCCTTTTTTAGTTTTTAATTGTTTAGTTTTAATCTGTTAATGGGTTTTAATTCGCATTGTTTTAATTCGGGCCAAAGTATATAATTCTTTTAATTAATTTTAAATTTTGTATTGTTATTTATTTTAGTTCTGGCTGTGCACCGCCCTGAGTCCACTAGGAGAAGGGCGGTATACAAATTGAATAAATAAATAAATAAATAAATAAAGTGATAAAATATAGCATACCCAAGATCTGGACAGACCTCAAATTGTTTTATGAAGTTCTGTTTTCTGGGCAAATCCATGGCTTTTTTTCTTGATTGTTTAATCAACATAAATAGGCAAAAATACTAATTTTCAAGCATTTCCCCAAAATACGTTTAATGAAAAAAAGGACTGGGGGTGACATGATAGCCAGGGTTCCAATATCTCAGGGGCTGCCCCAAAGAAGAGGGAGTCAAGCTATTCTCCAAAGCACCTGAGGGCAGAACAAGAAGCAATGGATGGAAACTAATCAAGGAGAGAAGCAACCTGGAATTAAAGAGAAACTTCCTGACAGTGAGGACAATCAGCCAGTGGAACAACTTGCTTCCAGAAGTTGTGAATGCTCCAGTACTGGAAGTTTTTAAGAAGAGATTGGACAACCATTTGTCTGAAGTGGTATATGGTTTCCTGCCTGAGCAGGGGGTTGGGCTACAAGACTTCCAAGATCCCTTCCAACTCTGTTATTCTATTCTATTCTATTCTATTCTATTCTGCATTCTATTCTATTCTATTCTATTCTATTCTATTCTATTCTGCATTCTATTTCCACTGTTCTGTTCTGTACTGTTCTGTTCTGCATTCTATTTCTATTCTATTCTACTCTACTCTACTCTATTCTGCATTCTATTTCCACTGTTCTGTTCTGTTCTGCATTCTATTCTATTCTGCATTCTATTCTATTCTATTCTGCATTCTATTCTATTCTATTCTGCATTCTATTTCCACTATTCTATTCTATACTGTTCTGTACTGTACTGTTCTGTTCTGCATTCTATTTCTATTCTACTCTACTCTATTCTATTCTGCATTCTATTCTATTCTATTCTATTCTATTCTATTCTATTCTATTCTATTCTGCATTCTATTTCTACTATTCTGTTCTGTTCTGCATTCTATTCTATTCTGCATTCTATTCTATTCTATTCTGCATTCTATTCTATTCTGCATTCTATTTCCACTATTCTATTCTATACTGTTCTGTACTGTTCTGTTCTGCATTCTATTTCTATTCTACCCTACTCTACTCTATTCTGCATTCTATTCTATTCTATTCTATTCTATTCTATTCTATTCTATTCTATTCTGCATTCTATTTCCACTATTCTATTCTATTCTATACTGTTCTGTACTGTTCTGTTCTGCATTCTATTCTATTCTACTCTACTCTACTCTACTCTACTCTACTCTACTCTACTCTACTCTACTCTACATCCCATCCGTTTGTTATTCTGTTGAATTCCGGCCCTCCGCAAAGCACCTCGGGGCACCAAGCGGGCACTTCCCCACCCCGATTTCCGCGGGCGTTGCAAACGGCCTTCGCTAGATGGCGCCCTCCTGCAAACTTCGGCCTCCAACAAGGGCATCCTCGTTCCCCAGTTCAGGCAAAGCCGAACAAAGAATTGCGCTCCGGGGAAGCATCTGGCCAAGACCTTCAAAGGGGGGGGGGGGGGGGGGGGCAGGAAGTGACCGTCCACGCACCCTACGCCCCCCCACACCCCGCCCGTGGCCTTTCTAGGAAGAGGCTCTCTCTGCTTTTAACTCTAGCCAGCGGAGAGCCAAGACGCGTGGGGGTGCAAGTCCTCGTGGGGACGGAGATCTCCCCGCCGGGCTACAGCTGAGCGGCTTAGCAAAGCCAGGAGAGAGGTTGAGAGGGAGCTAAATCCAAATTCTGCCTCCAGATCTTTCCCCCTGAGATCCAGAATCCTGCCGGGCGGGGTTGCAAACTTGAACTCAGGTGTTTCCCGGCCGAATCGCGGGTTCTGCTTCTTCCCTGCTGGCTTCAGGTAAGTGGGGTAAAAAAAGAGCCGTTGCCTTTCGGGTTTTTCCTGGCAGGAAAAGTTTCCTTAAAGGGCAACCTTTAATTTAATTTAATTAATTCAATTTATATGCCGCCCCTCTCCGAAGACTCAGGGCGGCTCACAATACATTTTAAAAAATCATTTAATAAAAATATTTAAAAATTAAAAACATTAAAAACTCATTCACGCCATTCATGGCCGGATCTCGCCAGATCGCAAGAGCGAGATCAACGGCCCCAGGCCTGCTGGAAAAGCCAGGTCTTCACCGCTTTTTGGAAGGCCAATAGGGTGAGGATGGTCCGGACCTCAGGAGGTAACTGGTTCCAGAGAGCTGGGGCAGCCACAGAGAAGGCCCTCCCCCGCGGGCCCGCCAGCCGGCATTGTTTTAGCTGACGGGATCCGGAGAAGACCAACTCTCTGGGATCTTACTGGTCTCTGGGAGCTATGCGGCTGAAGGCGATCTCTAAGATAAACTGGCCCTGAGCCATGTAGGGCTTTAAAGATAATAACCAACACCTTGAATTGTGCCCGGAGACCAATAGGGAGCCAGTGCAGCTCGCGGAGAATTGGTGTAATGTGGGTGTATCTAGGTGTACCCACGACAGGTCGTGCGGTTGCGTTCTGGACCAACTGTAGTCTCCGAACACTTTTCAAGGGTAGCCCCATGTAGAGCGCATTGCAATAATCCAACCGTGAGGTGACAAGGGCATGAGTGACTGTGAGGAGAGCCTCCTGATCCAAGTAGGGTCGCAATTGGTGCACCAGGCGAACCTGTGCAAAGGTCCCCCTAGCCACAGCTGTCAGGTGTTGCTCTAATCTTAGCTGTGAGTCTAGGAGGGCACCCAAATTGCGAGCCCGTTCTGAGGGGGACAATTTCTCCCCACCCCACAACCTTGCACCGGCCAAGCGACTCTCTCCTGATCCCTGTAGCAAAATGGGGGAGGGGGGCACATGGCGCAGAAGGGAAGGGAGGGAAAGGTTGGGAGGCCAAGGCAGTTCAATCCGGATAGAGCTGGGAAGGACCTTAGAGGTCTTCTAATCCAACCCTCTGCTCAAGCAGGAGACCCCCCCATGCCATTTCAGAACAAGTGGCCGTCCAGTCTCTTTCTTCAAAACCTCCAGTGATGAGGCACCCACAACTTCTGGTGGCAAGCTGTTCCTCTGGTTAATTGTCCTCACTGTGAGGAAGTTTCTCTTTTTAAGTCCTGATTGCTTCTCTCCTTGATTAGTTTCCATCCATTGTTTCTTGTCCTGCCTTCTGGTACTTTGGAAAATCGGTTGACCCGGGGGGGGGAAATCCAGCAGGTTCTGACAGGTTCTGGAGAACCGGTAGTGGAAATTTTGAGTAGTTTGGAGACCCGGCAAATACCACCTCTGGCTGGCCCCACAGTGGGGTGAGATTGGAGATTTTGCAGCATCCTTCCCCCAGGAGTGGGGAGGAAATGGGGATTTTGCAGTATCCTCCCCCTGCCATGCCCACCAAGCCACGCCCACCAAGCCACACAACTCCCACCAAGCCACGCCCATAGAACCGGTAGTAAAAAAAAATTGGATTTCGCCACTGGGTTGAACACCCCCCCCCCTTCTTTGTGGCAGCCCCTCAAATATTGGAACACTGCCACCATGTCTCCTCCATTGGTTTCCACCCATTGTTTCTTGTCCTGCCCTCTGGTGCTTCGGAAAATAAATCGATCCCCCTCGTCTATGTGGCGGCCCCTCTAAAGGGGCCTTGCCTGGTTCAGATTGGTTTTGCTCTTTCCCTGAAATTTGCAGGAGAAGCAGCAGCAGACAGATGACTTGGGACTCTTGAAGAGTTTTTCCTGGTGAGCTTCCTGGGAGGAAGCGTCAGGCTGCCTCTCTCCGTCCCATGGCCTCTTTTCCCAGTCTTGGGTGGGGTCCTGGCTCAGTGCTGGAGAACAAGAATAGCAGAATAACAGAGTTGGAAAGGACCTTGTAGGTCATCTAATCCAATCCCCGCCCCACCCCGCCCAAGCAGGAGACCCTACACCAGTGATGGCTAACCTTTTTGCCGTCACGTGCCAAAAGCAGGGGTCGTGGGGGGGGTCGTGTGTGTGTGTGCCCACATCCATAATTCAATGCGCCCCGCCCTCCCGCACATGTGCACGTGACCCCCCCCATACTTCTCCCTGCTTTTGGCACATGATGGCCCGGTGGGCCCATTTTTCCCCCTCCCCAGGCTCCAGAGGCTTTCTAGGAGCCTGGGGAGGGCAAAAACAGCCTTCCCCATCCCCCCAGAGACCTTCCGGAGGCCAGAAACAGTCAGTTTCCTGACTTCCGGTGGGACTGGAAGGCCTGAAAATCAATTGGCTGGTGCATGCATGCGCGCTGGAGCTGAGCTAGGGCAACACTCACGTGCCCACCAATATGACTCCACGTGCCACCTGTGGCACCCGTGCCATAGGTTCGCCATCACGGCCCTACACCATTTCTGAAGCAATGGATGGAAACTAGTCAAGGAGCGATCCAACCTAGAACTAAGGAGAAACTTCCTGACAGTGAGAACAATTAATCAATGAAATGACTTCCCTCCAGAAGTTGTGGTTCCTTCAACAGTGCAGGTTTTTAAGAAGAGATTGGACAACCATTTGTCTGAATTGGTATAGGGCCTCCTACTTGAACTTGATTGGACTAGAACAGGGGTTTGCAACAGGGGTGGGTTCTAAATTTTTTTACTACCGGTTCTGTGGGCGTGGCTTATTTTGTGGGCGTGGCTTGATGGTCATGTGACAATTATTTAAGATTTAGCAGAGGTACTGGTCTACCAGGCTTTTAACTGCTTGCAGAGCTGTACCGATCTACCCATTTATTTTTGCAGGCACTGATCTACTCATGTATTTTTGCAGGCACTGGTCTACCCATTTATTTTTGCAGGCACTGATCTACTCATGTATTTTTGCAGGCACTGGTCTACCCATTTATTTTTGCAGGCATTGATCTACTCATGTATTTTTGCAGGCACTGGTCTACCCATTTATTTTTGCAGGCACTGATCTACTCATGTATTTTTGCAGGCACTGGTCTACCCATTTATTTTTGCAGGCACTGATCTACTCATGTATTTTTGCTGGCACTGTTCTACTCATTTGTTTTCTTTTAACACTGATCAGCTGTAGGGCGGCCCTTTGAAGCCCTGCAGCAAGAGTTTAAACAGTTTTTTTCCCTCTAGCCATCAGCTGGGACTCAGGAGGCAGCAATAGATTGGGGGTGGGGCCAAATAAAAGGTAAGAATAACGCGGGGGGGTGCGGGGGGGCAGAACTGGTTCGGTGACATCATATCGTCACTGCTACCGACTCGGGAGAACCGGGCCGAACCGGGAGGAACCTACCACTGGTCTGCAACCCTAAATACTCAAAAGAGCCATTTGGACCCGTTTCCCACAGAAAAGAAAACACCGGAAGCCACAAAACCCTGCCTGTGCCTGACTATTTCTAGAGTGGCCACAAAACTAGCATATGTAGTTGAATTAAACGTTCTGTTTTCTTCTGAAACTTTTCTTTTCTTGGATTTATCCATGGTTGACCTACCAGGGGTTGAAAAGTTCAATAAATCACGTGCTGGCGGGTGTCACACATTGGCGGCTGTGACGCATATTTTGAGTGACAAGGAGCCACAGCAGAGGGGTGAAAGAGCCACATGCAGCTCCAGAGCCGCAGGTTGCTGACCCCTGGACTAGAAGACCTCCAAGGTCCCTTCCAACTCTTATTTTGAATCTGTCCTGCAGGCAAACTCCCATAAAACTTGAATGGTCTGTCCTTCCTAAATTATTTCTAGAGGATGCATCTAGCTTGCATCCTGGGAACCCCATGGGAAGGTCTATCCCAAGCTCAAGGCTTGCTTGAACCCCATTCCATCTGGGCCCCGAAATCAAAGCAACGGGCCGCCTATCCCTGTGGCATGTCCATCTCAGTAGACTATGGCTCCCTGAGGTGGATGAGTTCTTCTCAAAGCTTTTGGGAAGGTTGAGACAAAGACTTTGCAAGGATTCTTCGGAGAGTTGGACTGGAAGACCTCTAAGGTCCCTTCCAACTCGGTTATTCTATTATTCCATTGAGAGGAAACTGGGCTCCATCTGAAAAGGCCCCAAATTGCCAGTTTCCTGAAAGTCTGAGTGGGTTTTTTAAAAGAGATCTGGTACCGTGGAGAACTTTCAGATCCTTCTGAAGTGGTGTTTTTTTTCCCCTCTTTTCTTTTTCCTCTTAGGTTGGGTGCTAAAAGCATCTCCTGAAATTCTGAATATCCAAGGACCAGGATCTCACAACCTCCTCAAGATGTCTAAAGGGAGCTTTTCTTGCTGTTCTGGTCCCCAAAACAAGGTTGCTTTGGAAATCTAGGGGAGCACCTGGGTTTTTGTTTTTCGATATACATCTCTGCACAGAGAAAAAGTGACCTCACCCAACATGACAGGGGGAGGAGACACAAGAAGCCCCAGTGTCACTCTGATTGGGACTGCTGGGACATGCGGAGAGAAAAACCTCCTGAAAGGAGAAACCATCAATTGGATTGTACAGAATCCCTCCTTCAAGGGGTTCTCCTATCAGGACTCTGAGGGACCCCGAGAGCTTTGCAGCCGACTCTACCAAATTCATCGTGAATGGCTGAGACCGGAAAAAAACACAAAAGCTCAGATGTTGGACCTGGTGGTCTTGGAGCAGTTCCTGGCCGTCCTGCCTCCAGAGATGGAGACTTGGGTGCGGGAATGTGGCGCAGAGACCAGTTCCCAAGCTGTAGCCCTTGCAGAGGGCTTTCTCTTGAGCAGGGCAAATGACCGCAAACAGAGACAGCAGCAACAGCAGGTGAGAAATTTTATCCATGGTAAATTCTCTGGGGTGACGTAATTACAAACGCTACCGAATATGCTTTCTTTTACTGGCTAATAGCATCAGAAGACGGTTTTATTTAAATTTTTTGGTTTTGTCAAATTATTCTCTCCTCCTTCGTAAGAGTTTCCCAGTCCTTCTTCCAGAGAAGGCTAAGAAGTTGAGAACAGTAGAACAAAATAGATGTAACTCAGGGTTGAACTGTGAAGTCCGTGATGCACTCTTGAGCTTCATTACTTTCTTGTAGACGTTTCATTACTCAACTAGGTAACATCTTCAGTGCTAGAGGGGAGTGGGGGGTTTGCTCTCTGTTTATAAACAGTAGCTTGTCCTACCAATGGAGGTGTTGTTTTCTCTTTGGCAGTTCCCTGATTAGGCTACTGTTTACTGTTTGTTTGTCTGGTGTTAATCCCTGCTTCTCTGGGTATTGATTGCTGGCTCTACAGTTAAGAACAAGACAGCGAAGGTTGGAAACTGGACGATAGTTTGCTAAAACAGCTGGGTCCAGAGAAGGCTTCTTGAGGAGGGGCCTCACCACCGCCTCTTTCAAGGCAGGAGGCAAGAACCCCTCACTCAAGGAAGCATTTATAATCCTCTGGAGCCAGCCTCGTGTAACCTCCCGGGTAGCCAGCACCAACCAGGAGGGACACGAGACCAATAAATGGTGGAATAATAGAATGAGACTATAAGGATATACCTATTTCTAATAATGATAGATTTGAAGATACTTGATATGTACATAATGTAAATATGTAACCGCACAACACCTCAGATGTTATTGGAGATTTGATGTTTTCTTTTTTAAAAAAAAAAATTCTTTCTCTTTTTAAAATCAATAAAGTATATTTAAAAAAAAAAAAAGAACAAGACAGTAACGTGCTTTTTCTACTTTTCTTGTGGGTATTTCAGGTTCAGGAGCCCTCCCCGTTGGCTGCAGAACACGCTGAAGCATGGGGGGATCTGCTTTATACCTCTCAGGAGCTGAGCTTTCGGGAAACATCCCAGGAGCGTCCATCTCAGAACTTAGCAGGTAAATAGAGGAGTCCTTCTGATGCAATGGGAATGAACACGGTCTCCCTAAAAGTATTTTAACTTTCGTGAACAAATGGCTTTTGTGCCTAGTGTCTCTCCATAATGTTCTTTGAACCCTTTTTTTTTTATATCTCAGTCTCCAAGAATAGAACATTGATAACTCCTGTGGGACCATCTCTCTTTCGTGGTGTAGAAGCAGCGGCTGTGCTTCCAATTGAGGTAAACTAAAGCACTCCACTCGTTCCCCAAAATCTGTGATTTGTTTGCTGTCCAAAATGGCCCCAACCTCTTTTCCAGAGCAAATTCCTTCCATTTTATGAGTGTCAATCTAGCCAATTTGCCTGGCTACAAGGAAGTTCCTGGCAACCTGGGAACTTGCTTAGGGTTGCATATCATTTGTGAATTGATGGCATCTCGTACAGTGGTGGGTTTCAAAAACTTTTACTACTGGTTCTGTGGGTGTGGCTTGGTGGGCATGACATGGGAAGGATACTATAAAATCTCCATTCCCTCCCCACTCCAGGGGAAGGTTACTGCAAAATCTCCATTTCCTCTCGATCAGCTGGGACTCAGGAGGCAGAGAATAGATGGGGGCGGGGCCAGTTAGAATTTTTACTACGGGTTCTACGAACTACTCAAAATTTCCGCTACCGGTTCTCCAGAACTGGTCAGAACCTGCTGAAACCCATCTCTGATCTCATAACTGTCTTCTGGAAAAAACTAACTAACTAACTTTCTTTCTTTCTTTCTTTCTTTCTTTCTTTCTTTCTTTCTTTCTTTCTTTCTTTCTTTCTTTCTTTCTTTCTTTCTTTCCTTCCTTCCTTCCTTCCTTCCTTCCTTCTTTCTTGCCTTCCTTCCTTCCTCTTTCTTTCTTTCTCTTTCTTTCTCTGTCTTCCTTCCTTTACTCTTTTTCTCCTTCTCTCTCCCTCCCTCCCTCTTTCTTCCTTCCTTCCTTCCTTCCTTCCTTCCTTCCTTCCTTCCTTCCTTTCTTTCTTTCTTTCTTTCTTTATTTATTTATTTATTTATTTATTTATTTATTTATTTATTTATTTATTTATTTATTTATTTATTCATGCCATCCATCTTGTCTAGAGACAGTTGTCTCTAGCTACTGTTGGTCCCTGAGGGATAATATAAACTGTCAGTTAAAATATCAAACAGGAATCTCCCAACCCTTCGTTCAGCTATGATGGATAGAACCCCCAAGGTCTGTCCCATCACTTGATCTGGAAGGATATAGGGTGTGAACAGATTGTCATTCAGGGACTTCCTATGTCTAGGAAAAATCATATTTATCCTAAAGAAATGTTGGAATCAATCAATTAAAAGAGACCTTGAAAGCCCTACATGGCTCAGGGCCAGGCTATCTTCGAGACCGCTCTCAGAATCCTCAGGCGCAGCAAGTACAAACCACCAAGAACGACGTTGGATGTGTAATGCTGGTTTAATCTTGTCCATCCCGAAAACGCTGCAGTCGTAACGATGTAAAATTGGCGCTACATGCATACGACATGTAGCGCTTATATCCGTCCCATACCTGTCAGCTGTGAGGCAGAGCCCAGAACAACGCCCCGCCACCGGCGAATAGGCAGACCAGGAAGCGCTAACAAGAGGTTGCTAACAAGGGGTGCTAACAAGAGCCAGCTGCTGCGTTTCTGAAACCTCCCGAACAAGCGATAACCCGATCCCGTGGAGCCCTGACCCCGACGCGTCTACCCGCCCGCCTGCCGTAGCGCCTATGTGCATCCCCCCCCATGTGTGAATGTACGCCCATCCCAGCCGCGAATAGGGGGCGTGTCGGAGCTTGGTGCGGAGCATGGTGATAGCGAAGGCGGTCAGTGATGGCGCAGCCCCGTCCCGTCCTCATGACCGTGTTGCAGTGTCGAGCGGGATGGTGCCGAGCGGGATGGTGGGGCTCGACAACTGCCTTCTACTGCATAGCTCCCAGCAACCGGTAAGATCTCACAGAGTTGGTTTCCTCCAGGTCCCATCAGCTAAACAATGCCGGCTGGCAGGCCCACGGGGGAGGGCCTTCTCTGTGGCTGCCCCAGCTCTCTGGAACCAGTTACCTCCTGACATCCGGACTACCCCCACCCTATTGGCCTTCCGGAAAGCGGTGAAGACCTGGCTGTTCCGGCAGGCCTGGGGCCGTTGATCTCGCTCTTGCGATCTTGCGAGATCCGGCCATGAATGGTGTGCATGGGTTTTTAATGTTTTTAAAATGTTTTTATAATGTTTTTTAATAATTTTTCTGTTCATTGTTCGCATTATTTTTGCTGTACGCCGCCCAGAGTCCCTTGGGAGTTGGGCGGCATAGAAATGCGATAAATTAAATTAAATTAAAATCGTTCCTGGAGCTGTTGATTCACTGGGAATTCCTTCTTCCTGTTTCAGAATTCCCTGTCTTTCGATGATGTAGTTGTTTTCTTCTCAGTGGATGAGTGGGATCTGCTAGACTTCAACCAAAAAATCCTGTACAACGAAGTTATGCTGGAAAATGCCAGGAATATGGCCTACACAGGTAAAAGGTTCATCTTTGCTTTGGCTTCAATTCAGTGGGGAAGGTATTTTCTAGTAAAAAAATAAATAACCCATTTATTAGAGGAAATGTTGACCTGTTCATCCCAAAGGTGCTTTATTTTCAAAAAGCGGCTGGACTTTGTTTTTCCTTGAAGACATTTCACTTCTCATCCAAGAAGCTTCTACAGTTCTGACTGAAGAAAAACCAAGCACAGTTGCCTTTTCAAAAACTACCTTTGGGACAACCACAGCCTGGACGACAGAGAATCTCCATAGACATGTTGACGTGTTGGTTTCCGAGAGGGAAGAAATTGTTTTTAACTAGACTACACTTTTCATTGAGGACTAAAATTATCTTGCTGTCCTTAGAGAGAACGTCCTCTCATTCAGTGATATTTAGAAGCCCCAATAGACCCACAGGTTTTATCACAGGGAAACAGAATTACTACTAATTGGGCCCTACTCACTACTTTGCTTGGTTCTCTGGAGGTGATGTGGCCGTGCGCTACCATTTGCCTCAGGTCCTATCTGCTACCTCATGAGACCTGAGGTAAAATAACATTCTAGGATGGCAGAACTGCTTTTTCAAAGGAACGCAATCTCATTCAAGCGGTTTGGACCTCTGCTCTCATGTTCCTTTTCCAGTTACAGGTAGTCCTCGACATACAACAGTTCATTTAGTGACCGTTCAAAGTTACAGCTGGAAAAAAGTGATTTATGACCATTTCGCGCACTTACGATTGTTGCAGCATCCCCATGGTCACATGACCAAAATTCAGACGCTTGGCAACTGACTCGTATTTATGATCGTTGTGATCATGTGATCCCCTTTTGCGATCTTCTGACAAGCAAAGTCAACGGGACAGCAGAGTCACTGAACGACTGTGTTACTAGCTTAACAACTGAAGTGATTCACTTAATAACTATGGCAAGAAAGGTCGTAACTGCTTGCGTAAAATGGGGCAAGACTCACTTAACAACTGTCTCACTCAGCAACAGAAATTTTTGGCTCCACTGTGGTCGTAAGTCGAGGACAACGTGTACTTGTCTTTCAACAGCACAGCTTTCTCTTCTTTTAACATCAACTTTTTCTTGTGTATTATTTAATCTATGCAATTGCTTCCTTGGATCTGGATGTTACTCTATTATTTGACTCCATTTTACCTTCCTTGCTTTATCTTTTTCACTGGCAGAGGGTTGTAGGAGGCCGTAGCAGCCAAAAAAGGAGCTCGGGAGCCTGTTTTGGCTGACAGAGCGCTCAGGCCACCACAGGTGCCCCCGACAGGAGTGACATCAAGCTGGTCACACCCACCCTGGCCACGCCCCCGTCCCGCTCCCCCCCCCCGCCCCCCCGAGATCAAACACAACCTTCAATAAAGGTTGATACAGCCTTCAATAAAATCGAGTTTGACACCCCTGGTCTAGACCATCTAACCATTGAAGTGAAGCATCATTGATATTAAGACAAAATGGACCAATATATGCCCTCAGCTTATAGCCAGTCCCAATGTTATCTCAGTGGGACCCTGCAGTCGTACTGAGGGGAGGATATTTACAGGAGCCACGGTGGCGCAGTGGTTAGAATGCAGTACTACAGGCTACTTCTGCTGACTGTCAGCTGCCAGCAGTTTGGCAGTTCGGTTCTCACCGGTTCAAGGTTGACTCAGCCTTCCATCCTTCCAAGGTCAGTAAAATGAGGACCCAGATTGTTGGGGGGCAATAGGCTGACTGTAAACCACTTAGAGAGGGCTGAAAAAGCACTGTGAAGCGGTATATAAGTCTAAGTGCTATTGCTATATAGAGTCCCAGCAGACGTCGTGTGAGGTGCAAATCCAATTCAGGATTGTCCATTGCTGGTGTGGCAGTTCAAAGCCTGGCACCTTATTTGTGGGGTCATTTGTATGTCTTCCTACGTCTGGATGTTCAGCGACCCATTTGGTTTTCCATTGGGAATTGATGTCAAAGTTATGCCAGTGCCAGTGGGGGCTTCCCGGATTTGAGTCTTCTGCTTTAAAGGTGTAATATGTATTTCTGTTTCTTTTTGTCCCAAGGATTTGGTTGGCCAGAGAGTGCAAATTATAAACAGACATCTGTGGAACATTCACACACAGTCCGAAATGACATTGGGGAAGGGATGTTTGAAAATCTACGGGGACCCGAAACATCGGAATGCAACCAATTAAACAAGAGAAGAGCAAAATCTTGTACTCCTCAGTGGGCAGAAATCCATTTTTATCTTGGCCAGCAAGGACACAAGAAAGGAAGGAAGTGTCCCGCCTGCGGAAAAACACGTAGAGGAAATTTAGATTTCTGCGAATACTGCAGAACTCACAATAAAGCAAAACAATGTAAATTTGGGGAGTATGAACAAAATTACAATTCGCCCCTTCATCGTACCTTACATCAAACTACCCAAACCGGAGAAAAAAAATTTCCCTGCACGGAATGCGGGAAAACCTTCAGCAAGAGCAGTAATCTTAATGCCCATAAAAGGATCCACACAGGTGAGAAACTATATCAGTGCATGGAGTGTGGAAAGATGTTCAGGTGGAGCAGCGGACTCACCTACCATAAGAGGATCCATTCGGGAGAGAAACCCTATAAATGCACAGAGTGCGGAAAGAGCTTCAGTGGCCTGAGTTCCTTTACTTCCCACAAAAGGATGCATTCTGGGGAAAAACCCTACAAATGCGCCGAGTGCGGGAAGTGCTTCAGTGGTTTCAGTTCCTTCACTTCCCACAAAAGGATGCATTCTGGTGAGAAACCCTATAAATGCGCCGAGTGCGGGAAGTGCTTCAGTGGCCTGAGTTCCTTTACGTCCCATAAAAGGATCCACTCGGGGGAGAAGCCGTATAAATGCATGGAGTGTGGGAAGAGCTTCACTATAAGCAGTCACCTGATTTCCCATAAAAGGATCCACTCGGGCGAGAAACCTTATCAATGCACCGAATGTGGGAAGAGCTTCACTTTAAGCAGCCATCTTACTTCCCATAAAAGGACCCACTCAGGGGAGAAACCATATAAATGCACTGACTGCGGAAGGAAGTTCAGGTGGAGCTGTCACCTGACTTCCCATAAGAGGATCCATTCGGGAGAGAAACCCTATACGTGCACAGAGTGTGGAAAGAGCTTCATTGACCTGAGTTCCTTTACTGCCCATAAAAGGATCCATTCCGGCGAGAAACCGTATCAATGCGCAGAGTGTGGGAAGAATTTCAGGAGTGCTACTAATCTTAGTGAACACAAGAGGGTCCACTCGGGTGAAAAGCCATATAAATGCGCAGAGTGTGGGAAAAGCTTCAGGTGGAGCAGTTGCCTTACGTCCCATAAAAGGATCCACACAGGGGAGAAACCATACAAATGCACGGAGTGTGGAAAGGACTTCCGGAAGAGCTGTTCTCTCACTACTCATAAAAGGATCCACACAGGGGAGAAACCGTACAAATGCATGGAGTGTGGAAGGAGTTTCACTATGAATAGTAGCCTGACTTCTCATAAAAGAATTCACACCGGTGAAAAGCCGTATACCTGCGTGGAATGTGGAAAGACTTTCCGCAAGAGCGATAACCTTACGTCCCATAAAAGGGTACATATGAGATATAAACCATGTTAATGTTTTGGATTGAAGGGGATAGGCCCTCAGCCACAGCAGGCATCTTGTCTTCAGATTTACACCAAGAACTTGTATAACTGCAGGGAGTGTGGAAAAAGCTTCAAAATGTAGAAAGGGTTGATAAATTGCTCTAAACCAAAGATGTCAAACTCAAGGCGCCTGGGCTGGATCTGACCCGTGGGGTAGTGATGGGTTGCTCCCGGTTCGCACCGGTTCACAAGAACCGGTAGTAAAAATTTGTAGTAGTACGGAGAACCGGTAATAACATTGGCTGGCCACGCCCTCGAACCAGTCCCCGGACCGGTCGCCACTCGCTTACCCCGCCCACCTCATCAGAGGGTTGGGTTTTTTTTAACTTTTAAAAGCATTTTTTCTACAACCTCTTCGTCCGAAAAAAAATGCTTTTAAAATTAAAAAAGAAAAAGCCTCTGATGATTGCGCGGCTCAGCTGGGATCATCAGAGGCTCCTGAAAGCATTTTGTTCTGCAACCTCTTAAAGTTGTAGAAAAAAATGCTTTTAAAAGTAAAAAAAAAAAAGTTGGCCACGCCCACCCAGTCACATTACCCCCACCACCAAGCCACGCCCACAAAATAAGCCACGCCCACAGAACCGGTAGTAAAAGAAAATTAGAATGCGCCCCTGCCGTGGGGTGCTTACATCTGCCTCACGGGGCCGGCCTGGAAATAGCAAAGTATCAGCCTGCGGTGCCTCAGGCAGGCAAAACGTGTGTGGGGGGGTGCATCTGGCTCCTATGTACCCCGTTTTCAGCCTGGACGGCCTCCTGCAACACTTTGCTGGCCAAAATGGGCTGTGCGGGGGCCACATGCACCTCCTTGTGCCCCGTTTTGGCCAGCAAAGTGCTGCAACAGGCCATCCAGGATGAAAACACGCACTTTGCCATGGGCAGTCCCCCCCCCCATGCCCCGTTTTGGCTAGCAAAATGCTTCAGGAGGCCATTCAGGAAGAAAATGGGGTGCCTAGGGGCTGCCCACCCCCGGTGCCCAATTTTGGCTGACAGGGTGCTGCAGGAGGCGTCCGTCCCATCTCCTTCCCCTCACGGCCGGCCCGCAAAGGAGAACTACAATGCTGATCCAGCCCTCGAAGAAATCCAGTTTGACATCCCTGCTCTAAACAGAACGAATCTTAGAAACGTATGTTATATGGAAACCGATTATTTTATATGTGCTCACTTACTCGCCATAGAAGATTCCACACATGGGATAAGCACATGAATGACAGACTTTGAAAAAAATATAGTTTATTAATTAGAGACAAGAAAACACCAAGCATTTGCCCATGCCTTATGTGTTCCTTGTATATCTGGCATGGCATCTAATCAACTGTACAAAAGAAATACCTTTGTATGTTATATGGCGCATCAATACTTTTTTATTTCCTTAATTACCTGATGGGAAAATAAGTGGAGTGGTTTTTCATGAACTGAGTTAATAGAATACAGTATTGCAGGATTTGGTGGGAGGTACAGGTGACAGCAGCTACAGCTGTGGATGGTTTCTAATATGAACCCAGTATTTCTCTACAACGTTTTAAGGTGTGTGGATTTCAGCTATCGAATCTCCAGCCAGCACTGTTAGCCAACTCTTCACCGTAACCCTAACTTTGGACTTATCCATGTCCACATATTTGTTTGTCAGTATTTAAAATTCCTTCTCTTAAGATCCCAATAGGGCTTCTCCTTCTTTTTTCCTTTCTCAGTCCAATTACAGGTAGTCCTTGACTTATGACCACAATTGAACCCAAATTTTCTGTTGCTAAATGAGACAGTAAGTGAATTTTCCCCCATTTTATGACTTTTCTTGCCATAGTTCTTAAGTGAATCACTTCCGTTGTTAAGATAGTAACACGGTTGTTAAGTATATGTCTGAAGGTCGCAAAAGGGGATAGCTTGTCCCCAGGACCGTGCAACCATCATAAATATGAACCTGTTGCCAAGCATCTGAATTTTGATCACGGACTGTAGGAATGCTTCAATGGTTGTAAGTTTGAAAAAACGGCCATAAGTCACTTTTTTTAACGCCATTGTAACTTTCAACGGTTACTAAATGAATAGAAGAGAAGAGAAGAGAAGAGAATAGAATTTTTATTGGCCAAGTGTGATTGGATATGCTCTCAGGGTACATAAAAGAAAAGCTACGTTCATCAAGAATCATAAGGTACAACACTTAATGATAGTCATAGGGTACAAATAAGCAACCAGGAAACAATATCAATATTAATAGTTGCAAGTTGAGGACTACCTGTATCTAATTCCTTGCCCCAACTGTTGTCTCATTCCTCCTTTTTCCCCCTCTTCCCAGCATAGTTTTCAGTTCCTCCACTTCCCTTTTTATTCTTTGGTTGTTTCTGTTGGGAAAATGGAATTGTGTGTGCCTACATGAAGGGAGAGTGATTGTTATGCACAGATAAAGATCAATTACTTGTGTTCTTTATTGGGAATTAATTTATATATTACTTCAGTTAATATTTTGTCTCAAATATTGTCATGCACGCTAGGGAGTCGTGCGGTGGCCTAGAGGTGGAGCTCTCGCCTCACAATCAGGAGGCGGTGAGTTCGATCCTAGGTAGGGGGCAGATACTGTATTTCTCTCTCTGGGCACAATGAGAGTATTATCTCCTGGGGGAAAAAACTCCGCATTGGCGACAGGAAGAGCATCCGGCCAGTAAACACTCAGCTCCATTCAGTTGCCCAGACTCCATCCCGCATGGGATTATGGGGTCATTAAAAGAAGTTGATGAGCGTCATGAACGTTAGGAGATACACCGTATCATCTTCAGGATTGGATTCAGCTAGAAGTCAATTGGGGGTGAACACTTTTGGAGAGAGATATTCTTATATCAATTATTATATTCATTTCAGGTACAAGTAGTCCTCAACTTACAATGGCAGTTGGCACCGGAATTTCCATCGCTAAGCAATACAGTCTTAAAGCGAGGGTATGCAAGAGATACCTGTTTGGAAGGGAATTCCAAAGACTGGTCATAACCCCCATTTAGTGCCACTGTTAACTTCAAATAGTTGCTGGAACAAATGGTTGTAAGTCAAGGAATGCCCGTATTGTAATTATAATTGGATATGTACAGTAAGTAACTGTAGAGCTGTAGTCCCCAACCTTTGCTGCTTAGCAGCCCAGCTGGAGGAGGGGAACCTGGCCGCGCGAGCAGAGCTCTACTCACGCAAGAGAAGAAAAGCCTTTGGGGCACGGTTTCTGCTCCTTCAGACTTTTCCGCGCCAAAATTTCAATTTAAAATCTTTATTGTCAGTACACAACATATGTACAATGAGATTGGTTGAGCTCCCTCAGTGCACCCCCTAACACAGTGAAGATGGAAAATCCCTAACCCAATAAATCATATTAACAAAACACCCAGTCCTATTGCACCAGTGTGAACATGTTACACATTGCGCCGGCCCTGCAGTCCATCATACTACATAGTTACGATGTTATTTCTCAATCGGGAGTCTGACAGCCGACAGATTAAAAACTGTTCTTCAGCCTGTTTGCGCGGCTGGCTATTTTTTGCTAGGTTTTGCAAAGGGACAGAAAGCCTGAAGCCACGCAAGATCGCTTCCCCGAAAGCCTTCCGTGCATTTGCAAAAGCTTTTGGCGCGGAGAAAAAAAGCCTTTTTGGGGTGCAGTCTCATGCGCCTTGAGACTCACTGAGGCTGCCTGATGCTCCAGAAGGAATTGCGCAGCCTTGGTGAGTCAGCAAAGCTGAGCAGAGTGCGCCCATCCCACGTAGCCTCTGCTCTCGCCGCTCTGCTTTTGGAGCATTGGGAGCAGGTGGCTTGGTGGCCTAGCTGGGCCGGAGGGGGAGAGGGGAATCGGACTGCGCAAGTGACAGACCGGTGTGCACGCACACGCAACTCCACTTATGCGAGAGAAGCCTTTGGGGCACCACTCACACGAATGGGGCTGTGAAAGCTGGCGCCCGCTGTTCGCACAGCCTGGTTGTGAATAAGCTACAACCTGGTAGTGAAGTGCGGCCTACAGGTTGGGACCCCTACCATAGAGTCAGATTGGTATAGTGGTTAAAGATGCTAACCCTAAAACTCAGCCTGAAATTCTAGTTCTTTCCTAAATAGGAAAGCCAGGTGAATTATTTTGAGCCAGTCACACAGTCTCCGTCCTAGGGAAGAGACAATAGCAAAACAGTCTTGAACAAGGTTGCCCTGAACACTATCTGGATTTGAAGACTGACTGGAAAATGTGCGCACAGTGCTCAGAAGCCATTGGAAGAAAATGCAGTAGCTGTTCGTTTCTTTAAAGATCTCAAGTTAGCAATAAAATAATTTGTCCCAATTTGCAGTAGATACTAAACTGTTTAAGGTAACAAAAACCAAAGGCGATTTTGGAGGAGTCCATCTTGGGGAATTATTAACCCATTGGCACAAAAGAGTCCTCTAACATTACATTTAGACTTATGGTATCCGAACTGCTTGTAACCCACCAGGAGAAAGATCTCGGGGTTGTAATGGAGAAGCCTTTGATAGTGAGAAAGAAAGTCCATGATAGGGATGATTAAGAGATAAAAACAGCCAACTTTATGACATTATTCTCTTAACTTCTAGACATGGTACTTCCATGGGATTTGGAAAAAAAGCAACTAAGGGGGAACGGGAAGAAGATTTATAAAATCATGCATTGTATGGAGAAGACACACAAGGCTCTCACAAAATAGGTTGCAGGGATCATCCAGGGAAATTAATGGAAAGAGTCGAAACAGATAAAACATTTTTTCATGACATCCATAATGCTGCCAAGAAAATTACAGAAGATTTCTGTAATTCCAGTTACTTTTATTTGGTTGTTTGCTTTCTCTTACTATGGTGGTGGGTTTTTGTGCCAGTTGTACACTTTTATTCCATTCTTTCCTTTCTTCCTCACGAACCTGGAAAAATCTCAGTACTTTTAAAATTGTTTCTCTCATGTAATTTTTTTTCTCTCATATCTATCGGGGCACTTTTTTTTTAAAAAAAATTGTTTTATATGCCACCCTTCTCCGGAGACTCAGGGCGGCCTACAATGCGTTAAGCAATAGCCTTCATACTTTTGTATATTTATACAAAGTCAGCTTATTGCCCCCACAAACTGGGTCCTCAATTTACCTACCTTAGAAAGGATGGAAGGCTGAGTCAACCTTGAGCCTGGTGAGATTCAAACTTACAGTAATTGCAGACAGCTGGTGTTAATCATAATGCTATCAGTCTGCTGAGCCACCAGGCCCTTTTTCTTTTCCCAGGAATTTGTTTTCCTTCAGTCTTCATGGTCTTTTCCATCTTCTAAGTTTCTTTTTTTTTTTTAATTCAAATTTTATTCAAAAAAAAAAAATTTAAATACAAAACTCCAAAAAATTAAAGAAGAACCACAAAGATACAAAACAATCAAGACAAGTGCATTGAAAAAGAAAAAAAACCCCATACACATAAACTCCAAAAATTTTAAAGAAAAACAAAACAAGCAAGACATTTTTAAAAAGTGCATTAAAAAAAGGAAAGAACCTAACTCCTATACACATATTAGCCCCATTAGTTGAATACTGATTAATATGTTATTACAATATTAATCTTCTGAGTTTCTATGCGGAACCCTTACATTCCATAGATTTCCTGGTGGTCTCCCATCCCTGCTTAGCTTCCCATCTTCCCAGACTGTGAGATACAGACATGTACTTAAATAATACGCTTTGGGACTGAGGTCTCTGGAAAGAAACATAAAAGGGCCTGGAGTGAGGGGTTTGAGCCAGACACCCCCAAATCTTAACACCCCCCTCTAGGGGAGGGGAATTTGTGGTAATAAGCCAACTCAGGAATTCGGTCTCTGCACAAGTCCCCCCCCCCCCGAAAATGGTCCCCTTCTCGTGCTAATAAGAGAGCGGGGCGGACGCCAGGAGCAACGGAATACTGGCACACTCCAAACTTCACCAAGGATGTGAGCATGCGCAGGCTCCCTTTGCCAGTCCGCCCGCTGGTTGGCACGAAAAGGAAAGCAGGAAGCGGGTGCACCGGGCAAAGTCTTCCCCCCCGAAACACGATGTCCCCACAAAACCTTCCCCTTCCCCACCCACTTTCGTGCAGCCCCTGCGGCCTCCTCGAGGGCGGGGGGGGAATTTCTCCCGCGAAAGAGACGACCACCCACAAGGGCCGCCCCCCCCCATCCGACCACGAAGAAGGAAGCAGTCTACAAATCTGCAGGCAAGTGAGACAAACTCTTGGGGATGCTGGGAAAAACGGTGGGAAGAGAAGGTTTCTGCAATAAGGAAAAGAGGGGGGAATGATTTCAAGTTTGCATTATGCAAACTTGCATAATGCAATAAATAATTGCATAAACCCTGCACCACCAGGATCAGGTCCTCCAGGACCCTGGCCTTTTCTCAGATCCAGACTCAAACTCTCCTGTTGGTATAGGATTCCTTGCTTGAGTTGGGGGCTGGATTAGAAGACCTCCAAAGTCCCTTCCAGCTCTACTCTGATTCTGATTCTCCCTTTGTCCTCTCTTCCCCAACTTCATGGAGGCTCCTTGGTCTCCTAAGAAGAGATTGGGCCACCCTTTGTCTGAAATGGTACCATAGGGCTTCCTGCCTGAGCAGGGGGTTGGACTAGATGACTTTGAAGGTCCCTTCCAAGTTAACTCTGTTACTTGTGTTCTGTTATTCTCTCTCTGGGTTGCCCGTGCGTGTCTGAAATGCTTCCCCATGGCATGAATGGAAAGGTAAGTATGCTTAATGTATGCTGATCAGTGTACATTTAAAGTGACAGTAAAGTTATTCTATGTCTAAGAATGCTGCTGAGAGTCCTTGGTGATTCTCAATCATCCAGGTCCTGGTTATCCCAAAGGTGCTTTTTCAAGAGACAACTGGACTTTCTGGTTTTTCTTTGAAGACCTTTCACTTCTCATCCAAGAAGCTTTTTCAGTGTCTTTTTTCTTGGCTGAAGAAGTGTCTTGAATGAGAAGCGAAAGGTCTTCAGAGAAAAACCAGAAAGTCCAGTTGTCTCTTGAAAAAGCATCTTTGGGGTTTGCTTCTGATCTTTGGGGTGAGCGGGCACTGAGTGGATGGAGCTCTGGCTAGATGTAGGGGTGGGGGAGGACAAGTCCCAAAGATGCAATTGGACTTTCTTGGTTTTTGTTTTTGTTTTTCTTTGAAAATGCATCACTTCTCATCTAAAGAACTGAAGACGCTACTTGGATGAGAAGCAAAGTGTTTTCAAAGGAAAAAAAAAACCAAGAAAAAAAACCCAGTTACTTTTTGGAAAAAGCAGCTTTGGATAACAGTGACCTGGATGATTGAGAATCTCTGTAGACATTGAATTGAATTGAATTGATTTGGTCACGTGTGATTAGGCAGTCAAGGAATTTGGCATCTGGTACAAAAGCACCCCTTGTACATGCAAAGCATCATCATCATCATCATAACTGTACATTTTAAGAAGATACTTGGTTGATACCGCATAGCTCCCAACAACCGGTAAGATCCCACAGAGTCGGTCTCCTCCAGGTCCCATCAGCTAAACAATGTCGGCTGGCAGGCCCATGGGGGAGGGCCTTCTCTGGCTGCTCCGGCTCTCTGGAACCATTTACCCCCTGAGGTCCGGACTGCCCCACCCTACTGGCCTTCCGGAAAGCGGTGAAGACCTGGCTCTTCCAGCAGGCCTGGGACCGTTGATCTCGCTACGGTGATCTCGCGAGACCCGGCCACGAATTGGAGTGTATGGGTTTTAATGTTTTCTTTTTAAACTTTTGTATGGGATATTGTTCGCATTGTTTTATTCTTTGTTGTTAGCCATCCAGAGTCCCTTGGGAGTTGGGCGGCATAAAAATGCGACTAATAAATAAATAAATACCTAGGATGCTGGTAGCAACCCGTATCAACCATCAGTGCCAGTCAGTGATATTTGTGATACATTTTTAAATGTTCAGTTGACTGAGTTTCATCTTTAATGAATAACAACAACAACAACAACAATAATAATACAATAAGTTGAAGAGAAACAACGAGAAAAAATTAAATTAATCTACAAATTAAAGTGAAGCTATTGTGGAGGCAGAAATCAATGGTTATACCAATAGTAATAGGAGCCCTTGGAGCAATACCCAAAGGGCTGCCTAGATACATGGAAATTTTGAACTTATTAGACCTGAATATCCTAACTTTGCAAAAAAAAAAAAAAAAAAACCTACTTTACTCAGAACTGCCTATATACTCAGATGTTACCTTAACAACTCTTAGGTCCTTGGTTAGGACTTGAACTGTTTTTACCAGTCCCAGACTGTGAATCGAATTGAAGATTAAATCTTTAATAATAATAATAAAAGGGGGACTAAAGAAGATAAGAAGGATAAAATAATGATAGTACAGCCACACACTATGGGTTAATAGACATTAGGCAGCACTGAGAGAATTAAGTGTTCAGTAGAGTGATGGCACAAGGGAAAAAACTGTCCCTGTGTCTAGTTGTTTTGGCATATAATGCCCTGTAGTGCCATCCCAAGGGAAGGAGTTGAAACAATTTATGTCCAGGATGTGAGGGGTCTATATCAGGGGTGAAATCCAGCAGGTTCTGACAGATTCTAGAGAACTGATAGCGGAAATTTTGAGTAGTTCGGAGAACCAGCAAATACCACCTCTGACTGGCCCCAGAGTGAGGTGGGAATGGAGATTTTGCAATATCCTTCCCCTGCCACGCCCACCAAGCCACACCACGCCCACCAAGCCACACCCACAGAACCGGTAGTAAAAAAAAAAATTGGATTTCACCACTGGTCTGTATTAAGTGATGAAGGATAAGATACCTCTTTACAGCACAATCACAATCCCCTACATAGCTTTTCCAGCAGAGACCAGAAATGCTTCAGACTTTCAGTGGGAGGGAAATGGATTCACGTTGTCTTTACAAGAATTCTTCCCATAGAACCAGGGAGAATTGTTGTTGAAGGAGAACAAGATTCTCTGTAGTTCTATCAATTTGTTGTTGTTTTTTCTGTACAAGTAGTCCTTGACTTACAGCAGTTTGTTTAGTGGACTGTTCGAAGTTACAACGGCACTGGAAAAAAATGACTTTATGACCATTTTTTTCACACTTACAACTGTTGCAGCTTCCTTGTGGTCATGTGATCAAAATTCACTTGACTCACACTTATGACAGTTGCTGTGTCCTGGGGTCAGGCGATCCCTTTTTGCAACCTTCCGACAAGCAAAAAGTTAATGAGGAAGCCAGATTCACTTAACAACCGTGTGACTAACCTAACAACTGTGGGGATTCGTTTAACAACCGTGGCCAAAAAAGGTCGTAAAAACGGGGGCAGAATTCACATAACAACTTCTTGCTTAGTGATGGAAATTACGGACTCAATTGTGGCCGCACGTCGAGGACTACCTGTACCTCTCTGGAAATATCTTGTAATGCTCATGAGTTTCTTTATGCAGAGCAGGAACAGAGGAAGAGAGAAAACCGAGGACCTCTTGGTGCAGTTTTCACCCTGTCAAGAAAGGAACCTGGAAAATCAAGGAGAAACAAACAAAATTCTACCTCTATTGGAAAACGCAATCAAAATGGATTTGTGGTACCTACCAGAGGACAGAAGAGTTGCTGATGCGTCACAGCCTGAATGGAAAGACGAGCGAATTGGGCAGAAGAACCAAGATGAAGAAAATACCAGTTTGGCTGGTCAGTGGCAACGGTTGAGAAGCCTCTGTGGTAAGGAGGCCAACGGGCCACGAGAGGTTTGCAGCCAACTGCACTATCTTTGTCGTCAGTGGCTAAAGCCAGGAAGAAACACAAAAGCTCAGATGTTAGATCTCTTGGTCCTGGAGCAGTTCTTGGCTATCCTGCCCCTGGAGATGAAGAGCTGGATCCAGGAATGTAGAGCTGAGACCAGTTCCCAAGCGGTAGCCCTTGCAGAAGGTTTCCTTCTGAGCGAAGCAGAGCAGAAGGAGCAGGGACAACTGCAGGTGAGAAAGAGTCGGAGGATGCAAAACAGTTACTGAATTTTTAACCGTGTCCCTTCTGGGAACCTAATAACATCAGTAGGAGATTAATCTCTCCTGGGGGAGAAAGTTTCTTATTTTTATTTTATTATAAAAGGTTGATTGATGAATATTATCAATTTATTATTGACTGATAAAATAATGTATTGTTTTGTTTTATTATTTCTTACAACAACGATTAGGGGACTGGAGGCTAAAACATATAATGAATGGGTGCTGGAATTGGGTATGTATAGTTTAATGAAAAGAAGGACTAGGGATGACTTGATAGCAGTGTTCTAATACCTAAGAGGCAGCTACAAAGAGAAGGGAGTCAAACTATTCTCCAAAGCAGTGGTCACCAACTGGTGGTCTGTGGACCACTCGTGGTCCGCAGAACAATTATTTGCATTTTTTAATATTGCACTAAATCAGGATTCCTCAAATTATGGCCCCTGGGACAGATACGTGCAATGAACGTTTGTGTTGCTACAGAGAATCTCTCCCCCTTCGGGGTCTTTTTGTGTGGGTTGGAGGGGGACAGAAATTCCGACTTGGGGTCTGCTTCAGCCTCCTATTGCGGGGCTTTGCGCGAAGGCTGGAGGGAAGCGCCGCTGGTGGCAAAGAGCCGGAGGACCTTGTTCCAGTGGGACTGCCTCATGGCCTGGAACTGACTGACCATCTCAGCCCACTGAGCCTACAGTTGCCTGTACTTGGCCTTGCACTCCCGCAGGTCTTCCTTCTGCTTGGAAAGTCTATTTATTTATTTATTTATTTATTTATTTTTAAATTTATATACCGTCCTTCTCCCTGAGGACTCAGGGCGGTGTACAGCCAGAATTAAAAAACATGAAATACAAATATTAAAAAACAATTAAAATAAATATAAATTTGGCCCAAGATTAAAAATACAAACCAGTTAAAACATTTAAAATTTCTTCTTAAGCCAGCCCGGCTTGCTGGAAAAAGTGGGTTTTAAGGGCACGGCGGAAGGCCCTAAGGTCTTGGATTCTCCTTATCTCTGGGGGCAACTGATTCCGGAGGGTAGGTGTCCTCACAGAGAAGGCCCGCCCCCTGGGGGTCACCAGCCTACATTGATTGGCTGATGGCACCCCGAGGAGGCCCTCTCTGTGGGAGCGCACAGGTCGGTGGGAGGTCGTCGGTAGCAGCAGGCGGTCTCGAAGATAGCTAGGCCCTATGCCATGGAGTGCTTTAAAGATGATAACCAACACCTTGAAGCGCACCCGGAAGACCACTGGGAGCCAGTGCAGCTCGCGCAGGAGCGGTGTTACATGGGAGCACCATGCTACTCCTGTCACTACCCGCGCTGCTGCATTCTGGACCAGTTGGAGCCTCCGGGTGCCCTTCAAGGGGAGCCCCATGTAGAGAGCGTTGCAGTAGTCAAGGCGAGAGGTGACGAGGGCATGAGTGACTGTGCACAGGGAATCCCGATCAAGAAAGGGCCGCAACTGGCGAATCGGGCGAACCTGACAAAAGGTCCCCCTGGTTACAGCTATCAGATGTTCCTCCAAGGACAGCTGCATATCCAGGAGGACTCCCAGATTAGTCCTCAGTGAGGTGCTTTTACTGAGCCTCCTTCTTGGTCAGGTCCAATTTGAACTGAGCTGTTTTGCCAACTCTTTCTCATAGTGGCTGCTTAGCTCCAACAATTGCTTCCTGTTGGGGCCCTAAGGAGCCTGGGTGGGGAGGCGAGGAGTGGCTGGGAGGGGAGGAGTGAATAGAGGCTGGCGAGGTGCCTCTTGACGTGAGTGACATCGAGTTGGCCACGCCCACCCAGTCACATGACCACCTAGTCACGTCCACCCGGCTGGTCATTAAGCAAATCATATTAGTGGTCTGCGGGATTTAAAATTATGAATTTAGTAGTCCCTGAAGTCCGAAAGGTTGGTGACCCCTGCTTCAAAGCACCTGAAGACAGGACAAGAAGCAATGGATGGAAACTAATCAAGGAGAGAATCAACCTAGAACTAAGGAGAAATTTCCTGACAGTTGGAACGATTAATCAGTGGAACGACTTGCCTCCAGAAGTTGTGGGTGCTCCAACACTGGAATTATTTAAGAAGAGATTGGACAAATATTTGTTTGAAAGGGTCTAGGGTCCCTTTGGTGGCAAACCTATGGCACGCGTGCCACAGGTGGCACGCGGAGCCATATCGGTGGGCACATGAGCTCAGCTGCGGCGCACATATGCCCGCTGGCCAGCTGATTTTTGGGCCTTCTGGGCCCACTGGAAGTCAGCAAACAGGCCTGTGGGGGGTGGGGAAGGTTGTTTTCGCCCTCCCCAGGCTCCTAGAAAGGCTCTGGAGCCTGGGGAGGGCAAAAAACGGGCCTACCGTGCCCACCAGGCTGTCACATGCCAAAAGCAGGGGAAGTGTGAGGGGGGGGTTGCGCACACATGCGTGGGGGGGGGGCACATAGAATTGGGGGGGGGGGCATACGGGCGCACGACACCCCCCCGCGCTTCCCCTGCGATGGCAAAAAGGTTAGCCATCACTGGTCTAGAGTTTCCTGCCTGAGCAAGGGGTTGGACTAGAAGACCTTCAAAGTCCCTTCCCACCCTGTTGTTCTGTCATTGTTTCCTTTTTGGGAACTTTGCCAGGGCTCTGGAATCGGAAGCATTGGGCCGAAATGCGTTCTTTTCTCTCAATTACTCTTTCAGCTTCAGGAGCCCCTTGTTGAGGTGGTGGTTGAACGCTCTCAAGCATGGGGAGATGTGCTGCATCCCTCTCGGGAGGTGGACTTGGCGGAGAGCTCCCAGGAAGAGCCATCCAAGAATATCCCATCAGGTAAAGAAAGGTTCCTACATTCTGTCAGAGTTTGTTGCACACACACACAAGCAGACTATTAAGCAGGATACAAATGTCTTTATATACATAACAACACATAAGGCATACAATGCCCTTGTAGGTTTTTCCACGTTGTAGAGAAGAGACATAGCAAGAACAAACCCAGCACAAAATGGAGGAGGCAAAATGGAGGAGAGAGAAGGTAGTGCCCTCAAGCTTATATACAGAACAGTTAAGCCACGCCCAGGCTCCAAACTGTCCCTTATGGCCCCATACAACAAATACTATGTTTCAGTTACCAAATAGCCCTCATTGGCTGATCTATTGCTATGCCCTATTCCAGTTCATGAATATACAGTATTTTTTGGAGTATAAGATGCACCTTTTTCCCCCCTAAAAGGAGGTGAAAATTTGGGTATGTCTTATACACTGAATGTAGCCCTGCCCACCCACTGGTCCCCACCCTTTGGCCCCTGCCTCCCAGCAATTTACCTCCTTGCAGCAAGCAGCCTGAAGAAACAGCCCATTTCAGCTTCAACACAGCCTAATTAGCACAAGTTGATTGTCTGTTGGATGAGCCTCCTACTCTCAGCTGTTTTGCATGGGCCTCTGCTGCTTGCTGCAAGGAGGTAAATTGCTGGGAGCAGATTTTTTTTTCTTGTGCTAATCAAGCTATGCTGAAAACGAAAATGAAAGTAAAGCAGGCTGTTTGCTGTTTGCTGCAATGAGGCAAAATTGCTGGGAGGCAGAGGTAGATTTCTTGTTTTCCTCACCAAAAAAGGTAGGTGTGTCTTATACTCCTAAAATATAGTACTCTGACACATTCATACTACATACTACAATTGACTTGACTTACAACACTGTTCGACTGCTCAAAGTTACAATGGCACTGAAAAAAAAGACTTATGCCTGTTTTTCACACTTACGACTGTTGCAGTGTCTGCCGAGCCGGTAGTGATGATGATATGACGTCACCGAACCGGTTCTGCACCCCCCCATCCCTGCGTTATTCTTACCTTTTATTTGGCCCCACCCCCAATCTATTGCTGCCTCCTGAGTCCCAGCTGATGGGCTATAAGGAAAAACTGTTTAAACTCTTGCTGTGGGGCTTCAAAGAGCCGCCCTACAGCTGATCAGTGGTAAAAGGCAGTTTGGTGGTAGAACAGTGCCTGCAAAAATATATGGGTTGACCAGTGCCTGCAAAAATACATGAGTAGACCAGTGCCTGCAAAAATAAATGGGTAGACCAGTGCCTGCAAAAATACATGAGTAGACCAGTGCCTGCAAAAATAAATGGGTAGACCAGTGCCTGCAAAAATAAATGGGTAGACCAGTGCCTGCAAAAATACATGAGTAGACCGGTACAGCTCTGCAAACAGTTAAAAGCCTGGTAGACCAGTACCTCTGCTAAATCCTAAAGAATTGTCACATGACCATCAAGCCACGCTCACAAAATAAGCCACGCCCACAGAACCAGTAGTAAAAAAATTTAGAACCCACCCCTGGTCTGCATAGTCCCTAATGCTTGGCAACTGGCATGTACTTACGACAGTTGCAGTCTCCCAGGGTCATGTGATCCCCTTCGGTGATCTTCTGACCAGCAGAGTCAATAGGGAAACCAGGTTCACTTCACCATGTTACTAACTCAACAACTGTGGTGATCCACTTAACAATTGTGGCAAAAAGAAAGGTCATAAAATGAGGCGAAGTTCATGTAACAACTGTCTCGCTTAGTAACGGAAATGTTGGGCTCCGTTGTGGTCGCAAGTCAAGGACTACCGGTTTCTGAGCGACTGTTATTTTATTACCTTGTTTTGCGAAAGGACCTTAGGCCTGAGTGCAAAACTAGTTTTGTGTGTGGGGTTTTTTTGATGTTTCTAAAACATGTATGTTCTCTTTTATCTCACTCTCCGCAGAGAATGAAAAGTTACAGACGGCACCTATGGAAATAGCTCCTCTTTATAGTGGAGCAGAAACAGTAGTTATCCTCCCAGCTCAGGTAGGACTTTTCCCTCTCCCAACAAATTAGAATGACTCAAGAGGCATCCAATTTCATCAAGATGGGCACAGCCAACTTCTTTCAATTTATTAGCTCCCCTCTAATATTTGGAGCATGAGCAAACTTCCTGTAGGAGTCCACACAAAGCTGCATTATGACTTCTTAATTGATGCCATTTTATAATCCTTCCTGTGATCCATTTCCCGATGAATTCATTCATTGGGAATGAATGAATCTTCACTGATCGGTTGAATAAGGACTGTGTTGATCCCTGAGGGACAACATAAGCCACCAGTTAACATTTTGAAGAGGACTCAGCAAACCTCTTTACAGGATGGATCTGAAGCTCTTATTTAATGATGCACCCCTGGCTGTGGTATCAGTTGATCAAGAGGAATCTTGGAGTTACATCCCTCCGATGTATTTGATGTAATATCAAATGTTTTGTGCAGTCAGTAGAATCAATACAACATTTACCAATCAGTAGCTTGAGTTCTCCTGTTAAGAATCGCAAAATTTATCTGTAGGATGTGATTATTTATCTAGCACACAGGTGTCAAACTCATGTCCCGGTGGCGTCACATGACGTATCAGGACTTTTTCCCCCTTCGCTAAACAGGGTGTGGGTGTGGCCAGCGTGTGACGCATCCAGCCAGTGATGAAATTTGAACCAGTGTGCTACTGGTTTGCTGGCCGTGCATGCAGTGTGCACCAAACACGTGACAAACATGCGTGCATGCACAGTGCACAACAAATATGCTGCATGCAAGCAGTATGCACAAAAAGGAGACTTGGGAAGGTAAGTAGAACAGCGAGGGGGGTTTCAGCTGTGCCACGCGATTTGGAGTCACTAGAAAGCAGGATTTTCTGCTTTCTAGCAATTTAAAATCACGCGGCACAGCTGATCGTCGGAAATACCAGTTCAGAGGAACCGGTAGCTTTTTTTTACTACTGGTTCGCTCAAACCGGTAGTTTTTATCGCTACCGGTTCCCCCGAACCGGTAGCATTTCACCACTGCATCCAGCCCATGGGCCGGGAGTTTGACAGCCCTGATCTAGCACAAGGAGAAACTCTGGTATTGGAACTTGTCCATTAAAAAAGTATATATAAATACTTCCAGTAACTCTTCACTAATAGGGGAATGTTCTCTTCCTGTTCCAGGTTCCCCCGATTTTTGACGATGTAGCTGTATTTTTCTCTGGGGAAGAATGGGCTCTGTTGGATTTCAACCAAAGAAATCTATACAGGGAGGTCATGCTGGAAAATGCTAGGAATCTGGCTACCTTGGGTAAGGATTTTTCTTTATTTTATGTTACGATAGATGGGGATGATATTTTCTACTACAAAGTAGGCAGGAAACCCTACACCACTTCAGGCAAATCGAACAGCTTCTTAAAAACTTTGAGTGTTGGGCATTCACAACTTCTGGAGGCAAGTGGTTCCACTGATTAATTGTTCTGTCAGGAAATTTCTCCTTAGTTCTAAGTTATTTCTTTCCTTGATTAATTTCCACCCATTAATTCTTCTCCTACCTTCAAGCGCTTTGAAGAATAGTTTGATGCTTTGTTCCAAAGGTGCTTTTTCAAGAGGCAGCTGAACTTTCTGTTTTTTTTCTTTCTGGTGGGGAATGGAAGGCCACCATCCAGCCAGAGCTGAAGAAGCTTCTTGGATGAGAAGCAAAACGTCTTCAAAGAAAAACCAGAAAGTCCAGTTGCCTCTTGAAAAGCACCTGTGGGACAACCATGACCTGGATGACTGAGAATCTCTATAGACAGTTTGACCCCTTCTTCTTTGTGGCAGCCCTTTAGATATTGGAACATGCATGTTCTGTCTCCGTCTCACACACACGCACAAACAGTCAGTCAGGGGTTAAATAAAACTTGCAGACAATAAATTCCTTCGATAACAGGATTGGCAGCAACCCAGTAGCTGCTTCCCAAGAACTTTACTCACAGAGGGAGGTGTTCCTCCTCTGTCAGATAAACCAAAACAAATACACAAAGTCAAAGAATTATCAAGTCCAGTCCGTATTAAATCCAAGGCAGGCAGATAACGTAGTTTCAGAGATACAATGTGACTCGCTAGTTGTTTAGTTTTGTCCGTCACAGAGCCTGAATGGCCACCACACCCCCTTTTATCCCCTGTGGGGTGTGGTCCAGTGACTCAGCTTAATCTCTGGCACGCCTCCTTTTCTGCTGCGTGCGCTTGTCTCTCCGACACTGGCGTGGATCCAGCCAAGACTTATCTCCGTCACTGTCTGACTGCGACTGCTCAGAGATACCTGGCTCCTGGCCAATCTCTTCTCCCTCGGAAGAACCTGAGGCATTGCCAGAGAGGAAGGTCCTGGAGAGGTAGGCCTGGCCAACTCCTCTCCTTCACCTTCGGAGTCTTCTCCCTCTGATAAGACAGGCTCGAGGGTCGGAGTCACAACAATGCTGTCATGTCACGCCTAATCCTTTTTTATTAAACTAGACATACCCAGGCTCATTTTCCCCAAACCAATTCTGTACAACTTTTATCCAGAGCATGCAATTTTATCCAAAATAGATGAAATTTTAATTTCCAAGTCGATTTTCCTGTAGAGCAATGGCATCCACCTCTTGTTTTTAATCTAAATTTAACTGGACAGCTTGTCCTTTTTTTCCTGCTTGAAACCAAATATTAAGAACAATAAACACTGGACTGCATGGGAGAGAAAATGGAACCATCGCTTGTCAACTGCTTAGATTTCCAACAGTAATCCCCAGCCCCACTAATTGGAAGATACACTGATAGAAGTAACATAAATGTTTCAGGGTAGTTGAGTGGCATGAGGCAGAAGGGACCTTGAAAGGGAAGGACTGGAAGATTTAAGAACAGGAATGGGGTAATAGAGTGGTATGGTGGCCTAGAGGTAGAGCTCTCGCCTCACAATCAGGAGGCTGTGAGTTCAATCCTAGGTAACGGCAGAGATTTCTCTCTCTGGACACAAAGAGATAATATCTGCTGCGAACTCTGCATTGGCGACAGGAAGGGCATCCGGCCAGTAAAACACTCAGCTACATTCAGTTGCACCGACTGCAAGGGATTATGGGATCATAAAAAGACAAAAAATAAAAAAAAATGGGGTAATAGAGAAATACTAGATAAAGAGGCAGCTAATGGGGGCTTGATTCCTAACAGCACTCTCAAGTTGTGCTTTAAATTTCTCATTGACTTTTTCTTTTTTTTGGTTCAGCAGGTGATGGACGGGAGAACGAGAATTGGGAAGAGACAGCTTTCCAAACAGTCAAAACTGAAATTGGGGAAGAGACATTTCAAAATCAGCAAGGGCCACAATGGCCAGAGGCAAAGCGGTTAAATGGTGACCTGCAAAACTCCTCTGCTTCTCAAAACCCGGATGTCCATCTTTTCCTGATCCAAGAAGATCACGGAGAAAAGGGAATGGGCTTCCCATTTGGAGAAATAATTAGAGAGGAATCCGATGTATGTGAACACCCCAGCATTTATAGGAAAGAGACGCAAGGCGAATGCCTGGAAGATGGGAAAAGTTTCATCCCTCTTGCTTTTCACCGAAGCTTCCATGTGGAAGGGAAACCATATCAATGCATGGAATGCGGCAGCAGCTTCAACAACAGCAGCCATTTTATTTCCCATCAGAGGACCCACTCGGGGGAGAAACCGTACAAATGCCTGGACTGTGGAAAGAGCTTCAGTGAAAATAGCTCCCTGACTTCCCATAAAAGGATCCATTCAGGCGAGAAACCGTATAAATGTGTGGATTGCGGAAAGAGCTTCAGTCAGAGCGGGCAGCTGACGTCACATAAAAGGATCCACACGGGAGAAAAGCCCTATAAATGCGCGGAATGTGGCAAGAACTTCAGTCAGAATGGCCAGCTTACTTCCCATAAAAGGATCCATTCTGGAGAGAAACCATACAAATGCACGGAATGCGGGAAGAGCTTCAGCCAGAGTGGCCACCTTACTTTTCATAAAAGGATCCACACTGGAGAGAAACCCTATAAATGTATAGAGTGTGGAAAGAGCTTCACCATAAGCAGTCACCTTACTTCCCATAAAAGGATCCACACGGGGGAGAAACCCTATAAGTGCACGGAGTGTGGAAAAACCTGCAGTACCAACAGTGATCTTACTTTGCATAAAAGGATCCATTCAGGGGAGAAACCCTATAAATGCATGGAATGTGGGAAAGACTTCAGTCAGCGAAGTAATCTTATTTCCCATAAAAGTATACACTCGGGGGAGAAACCCTATAAATGTATGGAGTGTGGGAAGAGCTTTAATCAGCGCAGTAATCTTATTTCTCATAAGAGGATCCACTCGGGAGAGAAACCCTACAAATGCATGGAATGTGGCAAGAGTTTCACTTGGAACTGTCAACTGACTTCTCATAAAAAGATTCATCCAGGGGATCACCAAATAAACGTCTTGACTGTCGAAAGAGCTTCGTGGACTCCAGTTCTGAGCTGATGGACACCATGTCGAGTTGGATACGAATGCATGACAGACTTCAAGAAAGAATTGCATCTGCCAAGTTGAAGGATAAAGGGGAAGTCAGTAGCTGTTCTGCCCCAGCTACGGACCCAAAGAACACAGCACACACGAAGTCTCTACCAACCTTAGTTTACTAAATTAAATCAGTCTTTTTCAAACAAAGGCTGTTAATTAACTTTCTTAACAGCCTACAAGAATCCAAAGAATAAATAATTGTAATCTTACTATGGTTGGCAGAAAGCCCAGAAGCAATTTGCAGAGAACTAAGATCCAGACACGAAGGAGAGTGAACGAAGTTGTTCCCTGCAAATTGCCTCAGTCATCGTCCTTCCTTTAATAGGCTAAGGGAGTGGCCAATTAGCCCCAAGCCTTACTCTTGAGGAGACCTCCTCCAGAAGAGCCACTCCTGCCTTTTGGCAGCTCTGCGCGCCCATGCATCAAGAAGAGGCTCCTCCTCTTCTTCCTCTTTACTTATGGGAGCTTCTGGAGGTTCTGAAGGCTGAATCTCCGCCTCTGGCATCACATCATCTCCAGCCTCCTCATTGTCTGACTCATGTGCCAGCTGCACAGGCTGCTGGTGCAGCACTATATCAGCCTCCTTGCTGTCGGAATCAGCTACTAGCTGCACAGGCTGCTGACGGGCCACAACAGTAGCAGAATAGTAGTCAAGTAGTCAAGGTGTGCCTATTAATAGAGACACACTGAAAAATCCTTGAAAAAGGGGTGTCTATTAATAATACTGAGATGCCAAGCATGTATTCATGTGGTAGTGTCCTTGGATTCTTTCCTGACTAGGTAACATTTATTCATGCACAAAACAGCCAACTATTGTGTATGCCGTGGGATCCTTCGGTGACACCAGGTGGTTTTTTAAAAAAAAAAAACATACGCCCAAATTACCAAATGGGAAAGTGACTTTTCCCCTCCAAATAATATGAAATGAATTATGTTTGACAGAGTTAGGGGGTAACAAAAAGCCAGGCCACCAAAGGACACGGCTGGACACCATCAAAGCTGTCACTAGCCAGAACAGCGAACAACTCAAAGAAGAAGAGTCCATAGACTCGTCAAGAGTCGGACGTGACAGAATGGATAAAATCATCGTCATTAGCATTTTGCCTTACATTGAGCTCCTGAGAAGCTTCTGTTGAACATGAAGGAATATAACAACAACAACAACCATTTTATAGTCATTGTACTTGTATACACAATATATCCATACAACGAAATTCACTTAACACCCAAAGACCAGTTCCAACACACATAACAATCCCCAAACACACCCCACCAGCCACAAATTCCCCACTCCTAAACCACCCAAACATCCACACAACAGACCAAATAATGCTGTCCAACAGCTCACTGATGGTGGCCCTTTCGTTCATTGTTGAGTGCAATTATAGCTCTGGGATAAAAACCAGGGGTGAAATCTAAAAATTTTCGCTACTGGTTTTCTGGGCATGGCTTAATTAGTGGGCGTGGCTTGTTGGTCAGGTGGGCATGGCCAGGTCGATGTCACTTCTTTGCCCTTTTTTAACCTACACAACACAACACAACACAACTGGCTCACCCACAATATAAAAGCAGCTGTGCTAGACCCAAAATGGCCCCTGGAACAAGCAGGAACCTTACACAGCCACAAAAAGTCCAAAAAACCAACTTTCACACTTTACACACACAACACAACACAACTGGCTCACACAATGTAAAAGCAGCTGTGCTAGACCCAAAATAGCCCCAGCAACAAGCAGGAACCTCACACAGCCACAAAAAGTCCAAAAAACCAACTTTCACACTTTACACACACAAAATTCCACATACAGCTTTGTGAGATTTTGTATGTGTAGTTAGAGTGAAACCCTACAGAAACACATAAAATCTCAGAAAGCTGCACAAATATTTTATTTTTATTTTTAAATAAAAGCAGCTAAATTTAAAACTTCCTAAACTTTAAATGGCTAGGTCTAAAAAAAGAACAACTAAAAAAAAAACCCAATTAACTATTTTTTTTAAAGCTCCCAAAGGGGAAAAAAACTTACCGGGACAAGGCAGGCAGGCAGGCAGGCAGATAGAGCTGCTCACCGATGAGCTTGATTGCAGGCAGGGAAATTCAGTTGCTTGCTGATGCAATGGATTGCAGGGATTACAGCAAGCGAAGGAAAGCAGGCGTTGCGACCAGCAGCTAAGGTAAGCAAGCTGAAAGCTGGGCGGGGAAGGGATTTTTGCTACCGATTCTCCAACCTGCCCGCCGCCATCGCTACCTACTCGCCCGAGCTGGTCCAAACCGGGAGCATTTCACCCCTGATAAAAACTATTCAGAAAACGTGTGGTCCGAGTTTTATTTGTTCTATATCTTCTGCCAGAAGGCAACAGTCCAAAAAGATTGTAAGCAGGATGGGAAGAGTCTCTCACAATGTTATGCAGCTTCCTCAAAACAGCGAGATTCGAAGATGTCATCCAGGGCTGGTAGCTGGAGTCCGATGATATTCTGAGCAGTTTTAATGATTCTCTGTAGAGCTTTTTTATCCGCTACGGAACTGCTTCCATATCATGCAAGTGACTGCCGACATAATACATTTGTCGATTAGGCAGCAATTCTTCCAACTACGTAGACCTCTACCAGTAGACTTTGTGGACTGTGGCTTACAGTTGCTGCTGTCCTTTTCTCTTGATGTTTTGCTTTTTTTTCTCTACGGGCTGAACTGGGATTTTGTCCTTTCCCCCCCCTTTTGTTATCCACTTGCATGTAGTCCTCAGATAAGTAAGGTTGTAGAACACAGCGTCACATGACAGCAGAGTTTAGGGTCAGCAATTTTGGCATTCCTGGTTGCTGCCACTAAATAAATCACCCTGGCTCGTTAAGAATGTCACATGGTCACTGTGACGTCCCAGGAATCCGGCAAAGAAGGTAGCAAATGAGGGGTCCTTGGTGCTCTCAGAGCTTGGTTGTTTTTTTTGCAGACGTTTCCTTATACCCAATAAAAGGTTCATACAGATGAGTTGCCTTATGTGTGGGGAACAGAATATTGACTCAATTTCTTTCTTATAAAAAGTCCATATGGGGGAACCTGCATAGAGCTTCATGCTACATTGCGAAAGAGCCTTACAACAATCAATGTCGTTTCCATAAAATGACCTTCATAGAAATAACACAATACACAAATATATTACAAGTGGAAAGAGATTCAGGGGCTCCAGGTCTGAGCTGATTTATCACATGCAGAGAGAGATATGATTGATTTGGAAAAAAAATTACCTGTACTTTTTGGAATATAAGACACACTTTTTGCCCCCCTAAAAGAGGGTGGAAATGTTGGTGCATCTTATATACTGATTTTTGGCCTTCCAAAACCCACCCTGCGGGTCCTCTTTTTGTCAAAAACAGGCCCGTTTTTTGCAAAAACAGGACGCACAGAAGATTTGGGAGGCCTGCAGAGTGCTCCTGAGAGGAAATGCAGGAAACTCAAACTGACAGGAGGGAAGTTCAAAAGTAATGTCAGAAAGTATTATTTCACAGAAAGAGTATAGTGGAAGCTTGGAGCCGACTTCCAGTGGAGATACGGATCAATCATCAATAATTTGAGTTCAAACATGCTTGGGATAAATATATTTCCAACAAAAATTAAAGTAGAAATAAAACAAACAATAATGAAATAATGAAAACAAAAACAAAGAACTCAAAAGGGCAGACTTGCGTCTTTCTGCTGTCCGTGTTTTTCTACAGGTAGTCCTCAACATATGACCACAATTGAGGCCAAAATTTACCTTGTTAAGTGAGAAATTTATTTAGTGAGTTTTGCCCCATTTTACAACTTTTCTTGCCAGAATTAAGTGAATCACTGCAGTTATTAAAATTGGTAACCTGGTTGTTAAGTGAATCTGGCTTCCCCATTGACTTTGCTCATCAGAATGTGGCAAAAGATAATCACATGACCCTGGGACAAGGCAACCGTCATAAATGTGAGACATCAAGCATCTGAATGTAAACCACGTGACCAGGGGGAAGCTGCAACAGTCGTAACTCTGAAAAATGTCACTTTTTTCAGTGATGTTATAACTTTGAATGGTCACTAAGTGAACTGTTGTAAGTTGAGGACTACCTGTATTTCTAAGAAGGGGTAAATAGGTAAGGTGGATGGGCAGTATTGAGATGATGAGGAAGAGGTTTGAAGATCTACAGTAGACAGCATACTAGACAGCATTCTAAAAAGCAGAGACATCACCCTGCCAACAAAAGTGCGTATAGTCAAGGCTATGGTTTTCCCAGTTGCAATGGATGGCTGTGAAAGGTGGACCATAAGGAAGGCTGAGTGCCAAAGAATTGAGGCCTTTGAACTCTGGTGCTGGAGAAGATTCCTACGAGTCCCTTGGATTGCAAGGCGATCAAACCGGTCAGTCCTAGAGGAGATCAACCCTGACTGCTCTTTAGAAGGCCAGATCCTGAAGATGAAACTCAAATCCTTTGGCCGCCTAATGAGAAGGAAGGACTCCCTGGAGAGGAGCCTAATGCTGGGAAAGATTGAGGGCAAAAGAAAAATCATGCGATCATCAGAGGCTTTTCTCTTTAAACTTTTAAAAGCATTTTGCCGAAAAAACGCTTTTAAAAGTAAAAAAAAAAAAGCCTTGAAGATCATGCGGCTCAGCTGGGATCGTCAGAGCCTTTTAAAAGCATTTTTTTTACAACCCAGTCACATTATCTCCCACCAAGCCACGCCCACAGAACCGGTAGTAACAAATTTTACATTTCACCACTGGAACAAACCAGTCGGCCCTAGAGGAGATCAACCCTGACTGCTCTTTCGAAGGCCAGATCCTGAAGATGAAACTCAAATACTTTGGCCACCTAATGAGAAGGAAGGACTCCCTGGAGAAGAGCCTAATGCTGGGAAAGATCGAGGGCAAAAGAAGAAGAACAAGGGAAGAAGGGATGGAGTCACTGAAGCAGTCGGCGTGAGTTTAAATGGACTCCATAGGATGGTAGAGGACAGGAAGGCCTGGAGGAACGTTGTCCATAGAAAATAGAAAATAGAAATAGAATAGATGGAAGGGATCTGGGGGTTGAAGTCCACAAGTCTTAAAGCTGCCAAATTGGAAGACCTCTGGCTTAGCGCATCGTGTTAGTGCAAGCAAGCAAGCAATCACTTTCCTGCAAAGAGGCTCCCCCAACCCAGGACAGCCTGCACCAAAGAGCCCGGAGGACCCCGCGCCAGCACCGTCAAAGGAAAATCCCAGGCCCGAGGGTGCCCTTTCTAGGAAGCGCCACTCTCTCTCTCTCTTTAACCCTTTCTTGGCAGAGCAGGGGGAGATCTGGGCGGCTTGCGAGGCCGCTGCTCTCCAGCCTCCGAGAAATCGGGAGCGCGGGATCCTCCCGTTTGCGCGCCTGGCTTTGGAGATCGGCGTGCCGGATTGAGAGGGGGTAAACCTGGAGTTTGCGCTCGTTTCCTTTTCCCTCGGGATGCCAGGCGAAGCAGCTTTCCTTTTGCAAACCCTCCCCCCTTTTGCAAATGGGTTGATCGCCTTGCAGCCTTAGAGCAAAAAGGGGTGGGGGCGTGGGGGGTGCTTTTGTCCTGGAAAACCCGGACAGTAAGGGCGGGGCGGGGGTAGAGGTGGGCAAGGAGATCCAGGGAGGTGGGAGCAAAGGTAGAGCCTCCAGCTCTGCTGGGCTGCTTCCCTTGCAGACCCTCTACTGCAGGGGTGGGTTCTACATTTTTTTTACTACCGGTTCTGTGGGCGTGGCTTATTTTATGGGCGTGGCTTGATGGCCATGTGATAATTATTTAGGATTTAGTAGAGGTACTGGTCTACCAGGCTTTTAACTGCTTGCAGAGCTGTACTGATCTACCCATTTATTTTTGCAGACACTGGTCTACCCATTTATTTTTGCAGGCACCGGTCTACTCATGTATTTTTGCAGGCACCGGTCTACTCATGTATTTTTGCAGGCACCGGTCCACCCATTTATTTTTGCAGGCACTGATCTACTCATGTATTTTTGCAGGCACTGGTCTACCCATGTATTTTTGCAGGCACTGATCTACTCATTTATTTTTGCAGGCACCGGTCTACTCATTTATTTTTGCAGGCACCGATCTACTCATGTATTTTTGCAGGCACCGGTCCACCCATTTATTTTTGCAGGCACCGGTCCACCCATTTATTTTTGCAAGCACTGGTCTACCCATTTATTTTTGCAGGCACTGGTCTACTCATGTATTTTTGCAGGCACTGATCTACTCATGTATTATTGCAGGCACCAGTCTACCCATTTATTTTTGCAGGCACTGGTCTACCCATTTATTTTTGCAGGCACTGGTCTACTCATGTATTTTTGCAGACACCGGTCTACTCATGTATTTTTGCAGGCACCGGTCCACCCATTTATTTTTGCAGGCACTGATCTACTCATGTATTTTTGCAGGCACTGGTCTACCCATGTATTTTTGCAGGCACTGATCTACTCATTTATTTTTGCAGGCACCGGTCTACTCATTTATTTTTGCAGGCACCGATCTACTCATGTATTTTTGCAGGCACCGGTCCACCCATTTATTTTTGCAGGCACCGGTCCACCCATTTATTTTTGCAAGCACTGGTCTACCCATTTATTTTTGCAGGCACTGGTCTACTCATGTATTTTTGCAGGCACTGATCTACTCATGTATTATTGCAGGCACCAGTCTACCCATTTATTTTTGCAGGCACTGGTCTACCCATTTATTTTTGCAGGCACTGATCTACTCATGTATTTTTGCAGGCACTGATCTACTCATGTATTTTTGCAGGCACTGGTCTACTCATTTGTTTTCTTTTAACACTGATCAGCTGTAGGGCAGCCCTTTGAAGCCCCACCCAAGAGTTTAAACAGTTTTTTTCCCTCTAGTCATCAGCTGGGACTCAGGAGGCAGCAATAGATTGGGGGTGGGGCCAAATAAAGGTAAGAATAACACGGGGGGGGGGGACAGAACCGGTTCAGTGACGTCATATCGTCACCGCTACCGGCTCGGCAGAACCGGGAGGAACCCACCACTGCTCCACTGCCTCCGATCTGCGAATGCAGCAGAACAGAATAACAGACTTGGAAGGGACCTTGGAGGTCTTCTAGTCCAGCCCTCTGCTCAGGCAGGAAGCCCTATGGTACCATTTCAGACAAATGTCCCAAAGGTGCTTTTTCAGGAAGCAACTAGGTTTTCTTGTTTTGTTTTGTTTTTCTTTGAAGACGTTTTCACTTCTCATTCAAGAAGCTTCTTCAGCTCTAACAGGATGGTGGGGAATTGAAGGATTTCTATTCCTTGCAGACAGCTGGTCATTTGCATCCTTTGAGAGAGTTATTGTTATTACCCTGACTGCTCCTTAGAAGGTGAGATCCTGAAGATGAAACAGAAATACTTTGGCCACTTAATGAGAAGGAAGAACTCACTGGAGAAGAGCCTAAAGCTGAGAAAGATTGAGGGCAAAAGAAGAAGGGATGGAGTCACTGAAGCAGTGGACATGAGCTTAAATGGACTCCAGAGGATAGTAGAGGACAGGAAGGAACGTTGTCCATGGGGTCGCGATGGGATGGACACGACTTCGCAACTAACAACAAGAGTTATTGAGGTCACTTGAAGGTTTATCTGTGTCCTCAGGGTCACCTGAGTAGTGCTGAGTACAGGAACCATTAACGACCCTCAAAAGATGCAAATGACCAGCTGTCTGCAAGGAATATAAATCCTTCCATTCCCCACCATCCTGTTAGAGCTGAAGAAGCTTCTTGGCTGAGAAGCGAAAGGTCTTCAAAGAAAAAACAAGAAAGTCCAGTTGCCTCCTGAATGTTCTGCCCCAGCTCCGGATTCCCAAGGATTGTGACACACACCAACGGTCCTTATCAAAGTTATAAAAAGTGGTGAAGAACTGAAACGAGACGCTTCAGCCGAAGTCCCCCTGAGGATTTTACCTAGCATGGTGACAAAACGTTCAAAGGCTAAACAGTAAGCTCGGAGAACAAGCCACCACCAACGTAAAAAGATTGTCATGTGTAAAACTGCGAAATGTGCATCTGATAAAGAAACTCCCAATTGCTGCAGGTGGATTAATGAGAAAAATTCTGAAGGATTTCTGAGCAGCCCCGTTAATGCCTTTTTTTGAAATGAGTTTTGTTTCCTTTTTCCCTTAGCTCGGTTGCTGAAAAGACTTCTGGTTGTGTGTAAAGTTTCCAGTTTTCCAGGAAGAAAAATTCCTTGTCTCCCAAGATGGCGCAGGGGAGTTCTTCCTGCCATCCGGCTCCAATCAATGAAACATACTTTGCAGATCGGGAAAGTCCTTTGAATTTGACCAGAGCAGCATTTAAGCACAGAAGGAAAATAGACACACAACACACAGCAAGGAAAGGAGAAAGAAGAGGCCCCAGTGTTGTACTGAACGAAACTGCTGCGAAATTCATGGAAAAAAACAATCAATACACCCTGGAAGGGGAAACTACCAGTGGGGTTCTACAAACTTACTTTTTCAAGGAATTCTGCTGCCAAGAGACTGACGGGCCCCGAGAACTTTGTAGCCGACTCCACCATATTTATCGTCAACAGCTAAAGTTAGAAACGCACACAAAGGCTCAGATACTGGACCTTCTGGTCCTGGAGCAGTTCCTGGCTGTCCTTCCTCCAGAGATGACAAGCTGGGTCCGGGAGTGTGGAGCTGAGACCTGTTCCCAGGCAGTGGCCCTGGCCGAAGGCTTTCTCCTGAGCGAAGCAGAGGAGAAGAAGCTGAAGGTGAGACAGGATCTTTCAAAAATATGTAATTGTGGGAAATAGGTAAAGGTAAAGGTTCTCGCATATATGTGCTAGTCGTTCCCGATTCTAGGGGGCGGTGCTCATCTTCGTTTCAAAGCCGAAGGGCCAGCGCTGTCGGAAGACGTCTCCGTGGTCATGTGACCGGCATGACTAAATGCCAAAGGTGCACGGAACACTGTTACCTTCCCACCAAAAGTGGTCCCTATTTTTCTACTTGCATATTTATTACGTGCTTTCAAACTGCTAGGTTGGCAGAAGCTGGGACAAGTAAAACGGGAGCTCACCCCGTTAGATGGCACTAGGGATTCGAACCGCTGAACTGCCAACCTTTTGATCGACAAGTCTTAGCCACTGAGCCACCGCGTCCCTTTGTGGGAAATAATGTTACTCAATTTTTAAATGCTTCCCTTCTACAACTAATATTATTAGGAGGAGATTTAATTTCCACTTTGGATATTCTGTTTGTTTGTTGTGTAAAAAGCACTGGGCGGTAATTTTTTTTTTTGTTAATTTGATTTATATGCCACCCTTCTCCGGAGACTCAGGGCGGCTTACAATGTGCTAAGCAATAGCCTTCATCCTTTTTTTGTATATTTATACAAAGTCAGCTTATTGCCCCCACAAACTGGGTCCTCATTTCACCTACCTTAGAAAGGATGGAAGGCTGAGTCAACCTTGAGCCTTGGCGAGATTCGAACCTGCAGTAATTGCAGGCATCTGGTCTTAATAACCAGCTTAATAACAGGGTGCCTTAGACCACTGTACTACCCACGCTCTTGGTAATGCACTCTTATACTTCTTTTTTATTATTTCAGACACAGGAGCCCTTCGTTGAGATGGCCGTTGAACACTGTAATAAATATCCTCCGCAGGAGCTGGTCTTTGGTGGGATCTCCCAGGAGAAACCATTTCTGGACCCATCTGCAGGTAAAGGAAGGTGTCAGGGTTCCAAGTAACACCCCCAACGAAAGAAGACTCGGAGGCTAGAAGTTCCTCAAAGTTCCATTTTATTACAGATGTCATATTGGCACATCTGGGAAAACCCGAATCTGAAAGCTTCCAGGTTTTCCCCACCCCAAAGTCCAAGTCCCTGCCCAGCACCCACATCTCCATCACATGGCCCAATCAGTGCACTGTCCCAACTGGAGATGCCTCCCAGCCGCATCCTTCCAGGTGCAGGGCAAGATGTCCTTGACTCTCTGAGAAAAGAATGTTATTATGACTATCTGTCTCCCCTACTCCATACAATCCCCCCTTCCAGTTTCCCACAGCACTAAATGTGGCAGGTCTGAAGATCCAATGCAAAAGATGGCTTCCAGGCCAGACAGATTCTTCTGATATAAGGTCCTAAAGAATCTGTACTATCTGAGCTATTAGTGAGTCTGTTTTTCCAATAATGCAGGTAGTCCTCAACTTACAAGAGTTCATTTAGCGACCATTCAAAGTTATGTCACTGAAAAACATCTGATCATTTTTCACACCTATGACCGTTACAGCAGTCCCATGGTCAGGTGATCAAAATTTGGATGCTTGGCACTGAGGCTGGCACTATGATCCCCGTTTTGCGATCATCCCCTCCAACAAACAAAATCAATGGGGGAGCCAGATTCACTTAACAACCTGTGTTACTAACTTAACAACTGCAGCCATTCACTTAACAGCTGGGTCTAGAAAGGTTGTAAAATGGGGAAGAGTTCACTTAACAAATGTCTTCCTTAACAAATGTCTCACTTAGCAACAGAAGTTTTGGGCTCGACTGTGGTTGTAAGTTGAGGACTACCTGTACTTTAGCTCTATAGGTAAGAAGGCCATTGTATTCTGTTTTATGGTTTATTATTTTATATATATTCCACCTTTATGATTTTTAGAAATAACTAAGTCGCTGAACATATTCAACACACCTTCCTCCTCCTATTTTCCCTGCAACAACCCTGTGAGGAGGGTTGGAGTGTGAGAGAGTAATTAACCCAAAGTCACCCAGCTAGCGTTCATGGCTAAGCCAGGACTAGAACTCATGGTCTCCCAATTTCTAGCCTGGCGCCTTAACCACTCAACCAGACAGACTCTGTGATAGAGATTTTTAAAATATGTAATTACCTTTTCTATCTCTTTCTCAGCAAATGGTACAACAGTGATGCTACCTATGGAAACGTCTCTTCACGATAGTGGAACAGAAACAGTGGTTGTACTTCCAACTCAGGGAGGAGTAAGATCTTCTAGCACCAAGGTGATTTCTTCAAAGAGAATCCTACTCCTTCCTTAATGGTTCAAATCTTCTTTCTGGTGCCATCTCCTTTATTTTATTAGCTTCCTCTAGCTTGCTTTTGTAAGAGACGCAGGTGGCTAAGACGCTGAGCTTGTCGATCGAAAGGTAGGCAGTTCAGCGGTTCGAATCCCTAGTACCACCTAACGGGGTGAGCTCCCGTTACTTGTCCCAGCTTCTGCCAACCTAGCAGTTCGAAAGCATGTAAAAAATGCGAGTAGAAAAATAGGGACCACCTTTTGGTGGGAAGGTAGCAGCGTTCCATGTGCCTTTGGCGTTGAGTCATGCCGGCCACATGACCACGGAGACATCTTCGGACAGTGCTGGTTCTTAAGCTTTGAAATGGAGATGAGCACCGCCCCCTAGAGTCAGGAACGACTAGCACATATGTGCGAGGGGAACCTTTACCTTTACCTAACTTGCTTTTTGGATCATGAGAAGCTTCCAGTATTCTGATGGGAAAACAAGTAGGTACCAATAACGGGGAATATTTGTAGCTCAGGGTTGAAATGAGGGGTCCTTGGTGCACTCTGAGCTTGCTTGTTTCCTTGCAGATGTTTCATTACCCAGACTAGCCATTAGGGTTGTTAAATCATCTGCAGAGCTATGGCACTCCTGCTACTACCTGGAGGATGTCTCCCAACAACTTTGCATAGGTCTTCAGTGGAACACCTATGTATAGGTGTTGACTAGTTCACTTGTCATGCAGGGCTCTCTGACCAATTGAAGAAGCTACCTTCTAGATTAAGGGTCCCCACCCTCGGTCCATGGACTGGCACCGGGCTGCAGCATACCAGCAACTGGGCCACGCAAACAAATGAAGTCCCATCCGCGGGATGCAGGTGTTGTGGCCTGCTGGCGGACAGCAGAGCTGGCAGCAGAGACAGACAGTGATGAGGTTGGGGAGGAACTTGGGCCAGACCTGGGGGCTGGGTAAGCTCGGACAAGAGCTCTGTGTCAGGCAGAGAGGGAGATAGGCAGCAGTGAGGCAGAGGAACAGCTGGAGCCCGTTCCCAGTGTGCGCATGCGCAGAGCTGCCAGAAGACAAGAACAACTCAGAAAGCAGGGTCAACTTTGGAGTAAAGCCGTACTTTGGAGGTGATTGGCCCCTCCCATAGGAAACAAAAGAGGAGCGAACGGGGAGGGGGCTTTTGCAGGAAACAATTCATTCGTTTGGTAGTTTCAAGAGTGGAAAGTTCTGTTTGTGACTCTAAGAGACTCTGTGCCAAGTTTGGCCTTACTCTGCATTTGGAAATCAAGTTACGTGGTAGCTTGCCAAACGAGATAAATATTGTTGATAAATATTCCTTTGAAAAACTGTTTGGACAAACCTTGCTGACTGTGAATGAAAGTAATTCACAGTCGTGTAAATAAAAAGAGGTTTTGCCGGGACCAATTCCTGCTTCCTGCTTTTTAAGGGAGCCTAGGTCAGAACAGTAGGTAGCCCACGAAACCACACTTCCTCCGGTCCACAGAAAAAATGTTCTCCACGGAACTGGTCCCTGGTGCCCGAAAGGTTGGGGAACCACTGTTGTAGATGGGTAAGAATCCTGATCCAAGGTCTTGCCATCAGTTGATTCCTAAGCAATGCAGCCACCAAACGGGTTTGAAAGTTCTGCAGAATCATTGGTGTGGTGGTTTTTTTTTTTTTTTATTTGAGAAAGACAACTTGTAATGTTCCTGGAATTATTAATTAATTGGGAACGTTTTCTTTCTGTGTTAGGAACCCATAACCTTTGAGGATGTAGCTGTGTTTTTCTCCAACGGAGAGTGGGCCATGTTGAATTTCGACCAAAAATCTCTCTACAAGGAGGTGATGCTGGAAAATGCAAGCCATGTGGTCTCCTTAGGTAAGGAATTCTCGTTCCTCTGGGCTCACGTAGTATTGGAACATATTATCTACTCAAAAGTAACCAGCTGATGTATTTATTAAAGGAAATTCCCATCTGGTTTTTCTCTCTATGGAAGAGGAGAGTATTCATACATTTATTGCTTGTAAAAAGGTAAAAGTTTCCCTCGCATAAATGTGCTAGTTGTTCCTGACTCTAGGGGGCGGTGCTCATCTCCGTTTCAAAGCCAAAGAGTCAGTGCTGTCTGAGGACGTCTCCATGGTCATGTGACCGGCATGACTAAAAGCCAAAGGCACACGGAACGCTGTTACCTTCCCGCCAAAGGTGGTCCCTGTTTTTCTACTTGCATTTTTTACGTGCTTTCGAAGCTGGGACAAGTAACGGGAGCTCACCCCGTTATGCAGCACTAGGGATTTGAACCACTGAACTGCCAAACTTTTGATCAACAAGCTCAATGTCATAGCCACTGAACCACCGCATCCCACTCTTATTGCTTGTAGCTAAAATCTTAATGCCGTTTCTCTAGAGATACCCTGCATTTGTACCTTAACCATAAAATGTTCTTTCTTTGTTCATTTTCTTCCCAGCAGGTGATGGACAACAGACTGAGAGTTATACAAAACAAGCTGTAGAGCCTTCAAAATCAGTTGAAACTGAAATCAGAGGAGAGATATTTGAAAATCTGTGGGGACCACAAAGTTCCAAAGGAACCCAGTTGAACAGAGACATGGAAAAATCCCTCCTCTCTCCACATGCCTGCAGGGACAAGGATAAAAAGTGTCATTTGAACCTCCCTCTTGCTTTACGCCAAGATTTTGAGCTTAGAGAGAAAAGGTATAAATGCACGGAGTGTGGGAAAAGCTTCAGCAAGAACAGCAACCTGAATGCCCATAAAAGGATCCACACGGTAGAAAAACCGTATAAATGCACGGAATGTGGGAAAAGCTTCCGCCGGAATAATAATCTTACCTCCCATAAAAGGATCCATTCTGGAGAGAAACCGTATCAATGCACGGAGTGCGGGAAGAGCTTCCGTAAGAACAGTCACCTTACATCTCATAAAACAATCCACACTGGGCTGAAGCCGTATAAGTGCGCGGAGTGTGGGAAGAGCTTCAGCATGAACAGTTACCTTACCTCCCATAAAAGGATCCACACTGGGGAAAAACCGTACCAATGCACCGAGTGCGGGAAGAGCTTCAATGGCTTGACTTCCTTTACCACTCATAAAAGGCTCCATTCGGGTGAAAAACCATATAAATGCACGGAATGTGGAAAGAGTTGCAACACCAGCAGTGATCTCACTTACCACAAAAGGATCCATTCAGGGGAGAAGCCGTATAAATGCCTGGAGTGCGGCAAAACCTTCCGTATTAGCTCTTCCCTTACCTGCCACAGAAGGATCCATACAGGGGAGAAACCATATCAGTGCCCGGAATGTGGAAAGCGCTTCATCATGAGTTCTTCCCTTACGTGCCACAGGAGGACCCACACTGGGGAGAAACCGTATAAATGTTTAGAGTGTGGGAAAAGTTTCAGTCAGAATGGTCACCTCACTTCTCATAAGAGGGTTCACGCAGGGGAAAAAGTTCAGTAGTGAAAGGTCTTCTCTTACTCCTATTCCCTTACACCCGAGAAAAAGAGATGCATTATGTGTGGGAAACAGTATCAGTTCAAGAGACAACTGGATTTTCTGTTTTTATCTTTGACGACATTTCGCTTCTCAGAGCTGAAGAAGCTTCTTGGATGAGAAGTGAAACGTCTTCAAAGAAAAACCAGGAAGTCCAGTTGCCTCTTGAAAAAATACCATATTTTTCGGAGTATAAGACACACTTTTCCCCCCTAAAAGGGGGTGAAAATTTGGTTGCGTCTTATACACCGAATGTAGCCAAAAACGCAAGGCACAGAGGAGACGATGGTCAATGGCAGTCCCCGCAGCCTGGAACAGCTGATTGGGGCTCTTCCGGGAGACCAATCCACCCACCAGTCAGCTGCTCGTGCTGAATCAGGCTGCAATAATGTGCTGAAGCTGACCTGACTGTTCGCTATTTGCTGGAAGGGCTGTCAGAGTTTGCAGCAGCAAGCAAAACACAAGCAGAGGAGAGTTTCAGTTTTAGTTTCAGAGAGCAGCACAGCATGCAGCTTCAGAACAATTGACCTAAGCCACGGCCAGGCTCCTTGCTGTCTACTGCCTTGTTGCTCACACAGCAAATACTGTTTCAGTTTCCAAACAGTCTCACACACTGACAGGACTCTAGCTAGATGAATACCCATGGATGCTGGTAGGCAGAGGCAGATTTTTTTTTTCTTATTTTCCTCCCCCAAAACTAAGGTGCGTCTTATACTCCAAAAAATACGGTACCTTTGGGACTCGATACAGCTTCATGTAGCATTGAAGAATCTTTTCAAGAAGCCTTTCTTTGAACAATCAATCTTATAAAATGACCTTTATAGAGAGAAGCATACAAATGTATTACATGTGGGGAAAAAAATTCAGGGACTCCAGTTCTGAACTGATTAGATATCACTGGATGACTGATTTTTTTTTTTTTTTAAGATTATTCCCGTGTACATTGAAGGAACAAGATGGGAAAGGAACAGATGGATGGTGGGTAGAAAGTATTGAGGAGAAATGAGAGGGAAGAAGTTCAAAGACTACAACAATAGTAGAGATATGGTGAGAATCTCTCCCTTATTGGAAGATTGTTCCTTGCACTTATTGGGTTGAGGGCGTGGTGTGGCTTGGTGGGCGTGGTGTGGCAGGGGAAGGATACTGCAAAATCCCCATTCCCACCCCACTCCTGGGGGAAGGATACTGCAAAATCCCCATTCCCACCCCACTCGTGGGGGAAGGATACTGCAAAATCCCCATTCCCACCCCACTCTTAGGGCCAGTTAGAGGTGGTATTTGCCGGTTCGCCAAACTACTCAAAATTTCCGCTACCAGTTCTCCAGAACCAGTCAACCTGCTGAATAGCACCTCTGGTTGTTACCCTCTCATGGTCCCTTCCAACTCCTGTTCTGTTCTATTTTGCTCGTGCTCTGCTCTTAAAAACTTCCAGTGTTGGAGCATTCACAACTTCTGTTCCACTGATCAATTGTTCTAATCTAACCGTTCAGGAAATTTCTCCTTAGTTCTAGGTTGGCTTTCTCCTTGATTAGTTTCCACCCATTGCTTCTTGTCTTGCCCTCGGGTGCTTTGGAGAATAGCTTGACTCCCTCTTCTTTGGGGCAGCCCCTGAGATACTGGAGCACTGCTGTCTTATCACCCCTGGTCCTTCTTTTCATTAAACTAGATATACCCTGAAGATCCCTTCCAACTCTGTTATTCTGTTATTCTTAAAATCTGTGAAATGATGCAGAAAAGCTATTGGTTCCCCCCCCCTTCCTGAAGCCCCTCCAGTCTGCCATCTCTGTTCTCATTCCAAGGCCCACCTCATCCTATCCCCATGTTCCTCCTGCCAGTGCACCCAGGAACCACTAGGTGGGTGAGCTCGCTCTCCCCAATTTCCTCGGACACCCCTCAGACCGTCATGTCCCTCACTTATGGGTCATTACCCTCTCATGTACGCTTGCTCAGCCCTGGTTTCTTGGATAAGCATCACACTGTGTGAATTTGGCCAAATTGACACAACATGCCAATGCACGCGAGCAAAAGGCTTGAGTTACACCTGGAGTAATGTACACCTGAAGTTTAAAAAGGCTCTTAAAATGCTTCTTGTTGCAGGACGTTTTACAAAGCTGGAAGAAATGTGTTACTGTTCAGTACGTACATGATGGTTGCACCGGATTAGGAAATATATTGATAATCAAGTTGTTATATTGCTGATCTTAGCTCACTATGTATTACATTTTTATTGTTTTGTCTGGACTGTACACCTGTAAGTGGATATGAAATAAAAATTGATGTTAGTGCCAGCCCATTCAAGTTTTCTGAATTTGTGCAAGATGTTTATATATTTATAAATATTTTTTTTTACACAGGTTTGTGTAGATTCAAGCCACACTCCCCTGCCTTCTTAGATTTCACTCAAGGCTTTCAGCTGTTTTTAGCTATTTTACAGTGGGTAAAGTTATGTACAGTTGGTACATATTTTTTTTAAGCTTCTGCTTTCAGAAAGAAAACACCAGCCAGCGGTCATACCGGTAGTCCTTAAATTACGACCATTTGTTTAGTGACTACTCACAAGTTTCAATGGCACTGAAAAAAAATGACTTACGACCATGTTTCAAGTTATGACCGTTGCAGAATTCCCACAGTTACATGACCAAAATTCAGATGTTTGGCATCTGCCTCATACTTACGGAAGGCAGGAGGCAGCTAAGATTCGATGGGGGAGAAACTTTGGAGATCAGAGAAGGCAGGAGGCAGCTAGGATTCGATGGGGAGGACAAACTTTGGAGATCGTGGAAGGCAGGAGGCAGCTAGGACTCAATAAGGGGAGAAACTTTGGAGATCGTGGAAGGCAGGAGGCAGCTAGGATTAGATGGGGGAGAAACTTTGGAGATTGGAGAAGGCAGGAGGCAGGGAGGATTTGATGGGGGAGAAACTGCTAAGATTGGAGAAGGCAGGAATGCAGGAGAAAGCTAGGATGTGATCTCCACAGTTTTTCCCTCATCGAGTCCTAGCTGCCTCCTGCCTTCAGTGCCTTCTCCGATCTTTGCAGTTTCTACCCGCATCGGGGCCTAGCTACCTCCCCCCCCCCCACATTATGGGCCTGAAAAGCCTCCTGCACCAACCTGGAAGCCAAAATGGGGGCCCAGGGTGCATGCGAAGAGGGGGGCGCATTTGCAGGGAACATGCATGCATGCGCAGGGCGCATGCGCGGGGGGCACTCACATTGCATTTTGGGGGTTGTGGCACACGCACGTGCATTCATGCGTGTGCATGCGTGCTTTGGCCACTCGGCACCAAAAAGGTTAACCATCGCTGACCTAGAGCTAAGGAGGAATTTCCTAACAGAACAATTAACCAAGACAAATTCCTTGTTTGTCCAATCACACTTGGCCAATAAAAAATGCTACTCTATTCTATTCTAACCAGTGGAAAGACTTGTCTCAGGAAGTTGTGGGTTAGAGTTAGGGAGCTAGCAGATTACTTTCAATCTACTCTGAAGATTCCTCTGAAAATTCCTCTTAAGTCCCCAATCTTTCCAGCTTGGCGGCCCCGGCACTCCCATTTGTGCGAGTGGTGTGTGTGTGTGTGTGTGCCCTCCACTTGCACAAATGGAACTTTCAGTGTTGGAGCGCTCACAACTTCTGGAGGCAATTTGTTCCACTGATTAATTGTTCTGTCAGGAAATTTCTCCTTAGTTCTAGGTTGCTTCTCTCCTCGATTTGTTTCCATCCATTGCTTCTTGTCTTGCCTTCAGGTGCTTTGGAGAATAGCTTGATTCCCTCTTCTTTGTGGCAGCCCCTGAGATATTTGAACATTGCTGTCATGTCACCCCTGGTCCTTCTTTTCATTAAACTAGACATACCCTGAGCAGGGGATGGGACTAGAAGACCTCCAAGGTTCTTTGGCAAAGAAGCTTCCCTCTCCCCAACCCAGAACAGGCTGCACCAAAGAGCTTTTTGCCTGGAGAGACCCCAGGTTAGGACCTTCAAGGGAGGGCAGGAAGTGACAGCTACCCCCTACTTAAGGTGGTTCTTCTAGGAAGCAGCATTCTCTCCCTTTAACCCAGAGGTTTTCAAACTAGGCAGCTTTAAGACTTGTGGACTTCAACTCTCATAATTCTGTCTACTCAAACAATGACACTATATGCCAAGGAAGTTTGGCAACCCCTAACCTATACTAATAATGCAGAGTAATTTGTATGCATTACTGGCATAAAACAGGACACTTCTATAAAATAAAGTTATTTTTCCAATTTCTGTTAATCCATTTGTTATTCCTTTGAACAAGATAAACTAAACCATCAATCCTTGTGCCATCGTGGCGCAGTGGTTAGAATGCAGTATTGCAGGCTCTACCCACTGCCAGGAGTTTGATCCTGACAGGTTCAAGGTTGACTCAGCCTTCCTTCCTTTTGAGGTCTGTAAAATGAGGACCCAGATTGTTAGGGGCAATATGTTGACTCTGTAAAGCACTTAGAGAGGGATGTAAAGCACTGCAAAGTGGTATATCGGTGCTATTGCTATTAGGATAACATTTAATATTTTTAATGGCAAAGAACTATTACTGAAAGACATAGCAAAGATGTAGATAGAACAGGGGTGAAATCTACTTACCTTCCTTACCAGTTCGGACTTCACTCGTGCGCACAGACCCTCTGCGCATGCACAAAACCTTCTGCGTATGTGCAGAGGGTAAAAAACACATTACTTCCTGGTTAAAACCAGGAAGTAATGACACCCGGGCGGGTGGGCGGAGCCATTGCTACCGGTTCTCCGAACCACCTGCCGCAATCGCTACCGTATCGCCCGATCCGGTCCGAACCGGGAGCATTTCACCCCTGAAATAGAAGGTTTAGGATTTATTTATTTATTTATTTATTTATTTATTTATTTATTAAATTTCTATACCGCCCTTCTCCAAATAGGACTCAGGGCGGTGCACAGCCTAAGTAAAAACAGAGCATACAAAATTTAAAAAAACAGTATTAAAATAATTAAATATTTTGGCTGTAAATTAAAACAACCCAATTTAAAATCAATTTAAAATTTAGCTCAAGCCAGCCCAGCTAGTTGAAATAAATAGGTTTTCAGCGCCCGACGAAAAATCCGGAGGTCTGTTATTATACGTAACTCTGGGGGAAGGTTGTTCCAGAGGGTGGGCGCCATCACAGAGAAGGCTCTCCCCCTGGGGGTCGCCAGCCGACATTGTCTGGCGGACAGCACCCTGAGGAGGCCCACTCTGTGCGAGCGTACTGGCCGGTGGGAGGCTATTGGTGGCAGAAGGCGGTCTCGTAAGTACCCTGGCCCTAAGCCATGGAGCGCTTTAAAGGTGGTCACCAACACCTTGAAGCGCACCCGGAAGACCACCGGGAGCCAGTGCAGCTCGCGCAGGAGAGGTGTCACATGGGAGCGCCTCGTCGTCCCCATAATCCCCCGCGCGGCCGCGTTCTGGACCAGCTGGAGCCTCCGGGTGCACCCCAGGGGGAGCCCCATGTAGAGAGCGTTGCAGTAGTCCAGGCGGGAAGTGACTAGTGCCTGAGTGACTGTGCGTAGAGAGTCCCGATCTAGAAAGGGGTGCAACTGGCGTATCAGGCGAACCTGATAAAAAGCCCCCCTGGCCACGGCCGTCAAATGATCTTCTAGAGACAGCCGTGCGTCCAGGAGGACGCCCAAGTTGCGAGCCCTCTCCGTGGGGGCGAATGATTCGCCCCCAATAGCCAGCGATGGCGTCAGCTGGCTATATCGGGACGCTGGAAGCCACAGCCACTCGGTCTTGGAGGGGTTGAGTCGGAGCCTGTTTCTCCCCATCCAGGCCCGCACGGCCTCCAGGCACTGGGACATCACTTCAAGGGCATCGTTGGGGTAGCCTGGGGTGGAGATGTACAGCAGATGTCATCAGCGTACTGATGGAACTCCACCCCGAAGCCACGGATGATCTCACCCAGCGGATTGATAATGACTTGGACTCAAAATACTTGTAAGACCTTCATGCTTATAAAGTTAAACATGGACAGTATTTGTGTGCAAAACAATTTTATATTAGCCTGTTTTTAATAGATAAAAGGATTAAAGTGTGCTGTCATCATTCCGAGTAATGAACTCAGGTAAGTCAGGACTCTGATGCTTGGTTCGGGTTCAAAAGCCGGATGCGTCACACGCTGACCACGCCCGGTTTAGCGAAGTGGGAAAAAGTTGTGATACATCATGTGATGACTCTGTGACGACACAAATTTGACACCCCTGGTTTACGCCATGTGTCGGAACTGCTGTGTTTATATACTTCTTTTCCGGTTTTGACTGAAATAAGTTATTTTTATTAAACTGATTTATAAATACCTCTCTGATAGTGCAATTCTCAGCCATTTGGCTGGTCTAAGAATAGTCTTGAAATCTGAATAAGGTAGTCCTTGATTTACAATCATTCATTTAGTGACTGTTCAAAGTTACAACGGCACTGGAAAAAGTGACTTATGACCATTTTTTCACACTTACAACCATGGCAGCATCCCCATGGTAACGTGGTCAAAATTCAGATGCTTGGCAACTGGTTCATATTTATTTTATTTATTTATTTATTTTATTAGATTTATATACCGCCCTACTCCCGAAGGACCATATTTATGATGGTTGCAGTGTCCCTGGGTCATAATCACTTTTTGCGACTTTCTGAGAAGCAAAGTGTCAGGGTTCCGACCAATGCCCTAATAAAAGCAGGAGCCTCAGGCCAAATTTCAAGAAAATCCAACTGTTTATTTCAAGAAAATTTCAAGAAAATCCAGCTGAACCAAGTGAAGCCAGCTCTGACTTCATCCAGTTCGCGCCTTGCCTCTGACTCTGTTTCCCTCTCCCTCCAGGGTGTGTCATCAGTCACATTCCCCAACGAAGCAATTTCACGGGTCATGGAAGTCACTCCCTCCGGCTGTTGCATGTCTCTGTGGAGATGGCCTTTGCTTCAGCAGGTTAGGATGTATTTTGTTTTGACGGAGGTGCGAATTCCTCGGTGCAGGTGTGAGGTGCGATTTCCCATCCTCCTGCCTATGGCAACTCGGGAGCAGGTCAGGAAAGCTTCGCGAGTTGACACAAAGTCAATGGGGAAGCCCGATTCACTTAACAACCATGTTACTAAGTTAACAACTTCAATGATTCACTTAAGAACAATGGCAAAATAAGTCATAAAATGGGGCTAAAATCACTTAGCAACTGTTTCACTTAGCAACATAAATTTGGGGCACAATTGTGGTTGTAAGTTGTAAGCTGTAATGCAATTGAAAAAGATCCAAAAATAGATGCTTGCTGCGACAGGCAAAAATAAACCTATGCCACTTCTTCACCAACAACACTTGCTGATATAGAACATAGTCCTTTTTGAGACCAAATTCAAAATGCTGGTTTTGACTACAATTTAGGATTTGTTTATCTGAAGGCGTGACTTCTCCTATATATATATCAACCTAGATTTCAGGTTATCCAATGAGACCCTCCTCCAGCTGCCATCAGGGTCCATCAATCACCAAAAAAGTTGAGAGGGATGGGTGCAAAGTTGAGTTTGGAAAAATCCTTTAATACCTTGTTGCTACTAAAATGACTGCACACAGGGGGACATTTGAAGGCCACTCGCTTTTCTTCAATCTGGGGTCCTTTCTCCAACAGGATATGCCTTCCAGACTCTTACTAATGTATACAGCTATCAGATTGATTGACAAGGAGAACTGTTTCCTACAAACAGCATTGGACTCTTAGTATGGCTGTAGTTTTAAGCGCGAGCCAAACTGGAGGTATAGTTTAGAGCAAGGGAACAAATCAGATAATAAAACATTAAGGAGGTGTGTTTTTTTTAATGATTGACATGCTTACTTTTTTCCTGTTATTTGTTCTTTTGTATTCAGATCAGGCCTCAAGATAATAATGTAGCACTTGGGCATGAAGATGCAGCCCAAAAGGCCAGCACTGGAGGACAAGATGGAGAAGACCTGAACAGCCACCATGTACTTCCCCTTAGTGCTCAGGTAGGTGGGCAAGAAGGAGATCCAGACACTGCAGAAGACCAGCATGCTGAAGGTGATCAGCTTGGCTTCGTTGAAGGCCCCAGGCAGCTTCCTGGCCAGAAAAGCCACCGTGAAACAGACGGCAGCCAGAAAGCCCATGTAAGCAAGGGCGCTGTAAAACATGATGACAGAGCCTTCATTGCACTTCAGGACAATCTGTTCAGGCTGGGAGTGCATGTCAGAATCAGGAAATGGAGGAGAAACCGCCAACCAGATGATACAGATGAGAGCTTGGAGACCAGAGCAAGAAAAAACAATAGAGTTGGCCAAACTCTTTCCCAACCATCTCTTGATTTTGTTTCCCGGTTTTGTGGCCAGGAAGGCCAGTACCACCATTAATGTTTTGGCCAAAACTGAAGAAACAGCAACTGTGAAAATAATGCTAAACATGGTTTGTTGGAGAAGGCAGGTAACTTTCTTTGGTTGGCCAATGAACAGGAAGGAAGTCAAGAAGGAAAACAGGAGGGAGATGAGGAGGATGTAGGAGAGATCCCGGTTATTCGCCTTAACGATTGGAGTTTGTAGAAATTTAATGAAGATTCCTAACACAAAACCGGTGATTAATGATAAGAATAAAGCCAAGGAAGCCAGGATGATGCCCAAATATTCTTCATAAGACAGGAACGTTATAATCTTAGGGATACATTGATATCGACCTTTGTTTGGATGCTGATCTTCTGGACATCTGTGGCAATCACTTGCATCTAAGAAGTAGTTGATGAATGGTTTAAGAATCACTGGCATCAATTCTATGTCTCCATAAATTAAAATAGTTAGCATAACAGCCAGTGGTGGGATTCAAATAATTTAACAACCGGTTATCTGCCCTAATGATTTCTTCCAACAACCAGTTTACCAAACTGCTCAGAAAGTTAACAACCAGTTCTCCCAAAGTGGTGCGAACTGGATGAATCCCACCACTGATAACAGCCATAAAAACCATTAATGTAATTCAGAATAAAGCAGTAATAGCACTTAGACTTATCTACCGTTTCACATTACAGTGCTTTACAGCCCTCTTCAAGCACTTTACAGAATCAACATATTGCCCCCAACAATCTGGGTCCTCATTTTACTGATCTTGGAAGAATGGAAGGCCGACTCAACCTTGAGCCAGTGAGAATCGAACTTCTGGCAGTCGGCAGAATTAGCCTGCAATACTGCCTTCTAACCACTGTGCCACCAGAGCTCTTATTAATCCTATGGAATACATACTGTGATCAATGCATTATGTCTTCTGTTTTTTTTAAAAAGTATGATGTCAGGTTACGATGTCGTCTCAAATAAATTGCATTTCCAAACAAATAGTCTTTGATGAAATCTTTCATTTATTGAGCACAACAATCTGTCCCCGAGTCCATCGTAGTCAGCACTGACCTTCTGACCCCAAACCCTCCTTTTCCATTCCCCAATTCTCTGCGTCTCATTGGCATTTCCAAGTCACTCTCCCCATATCTACTACTTCAGCTCACAGGAATGTCCTCCCTCCCATCCCATCTCCTAGGAGATAGTATCTTCAGGGAAAATAAGTAGGTGAAGAGTCAAGCGTCCTCTTCTCTTCCTTATGTCAGCACTGGAGTGAATATAGCCTGGAGTGCTGACATATGATAAGTTAAAGCAAATGAACTGCTTAATTTAAGCAATAGTATTGACTGAATTTCATCCGAGTTCTATTGCCTCTCTAAGATGTCCCTGGTGTAATGATGCAGAACTCACATCCTGGGCTCAGAGTAAACCTTGGAAGAAAATGTTGTTGAGACATGGAGAACTAAGCAGGAAATTAAATTTCATCTCCCTGCACCATCTCAACTCCCATTGTTATAAGCCACTGTGAGTCTGGAAAGATTTAGCAGCATACCATCTTAACAAATGAATCCTAATCTTACTGGCTCTTAGAAAACTTTGCTAAATGATACTTTAATTGGTTGTTCATCTTTTTTAAAATCAGGTATAAAACTTCAGGTCAGTGGTGAAATCCGAACCGGTTTGCTATCGGTTCGCTGGCCATGCATGCGCGCTGTGTGCCAAATGCGCACTGCATGCGCATGCGCAGTGTGCACCAAAAGGAGGCTTGAGAAGTTAAGTAGAAGCGAGGAGGGGGATCAGCTGTGGCGGCAGTTTAACTTCGCTAGAAAGCAGGATTTCCTGCTTTCTAGCAAAGCTAAACCCCGCTGCACAGCTGATCCCGCCCTGCTGTTCTACTTACCTTCTCAAGCCTCCTTTTGGCATGTGCTGTGCGTGAGGGGGGATCAGCTGTGGCATGCAATTTAGCTTTGCTAGAATGCAGGATTTCCTACTTTCTAGTAAAGCTAAACCCCGCGCCACAGCTAATCGTCGGAATTTTTTTTAACTACCGGTTCGTCCGAATCGGTAGCTTTTTAAACCGCTGGTTCAAATGAACCGGTAGCTAACTACCGGTTCGCTCTAACCAGTAGCTTTTTTAACTACAGGTTCGACCGAACCACTAGCTTTTTCTTTACTACTGGTTCGCCTGAACCGGTAGTTTTTATCACTACTGGTTCTCCTGAACGGAGCGAACTGGTAGCATTTCACCCCTGCTTCAGGTGTCAAATAGCTTCAAAATATGGATCCCGTGGTTTCTAAAATTTGTGTTAAGGGTATATCATACCCAAGTAATATGCTATAGAAATTAGATACAGGTAGTCCTTGACTTATTCTAATATGCTGTTAGAATTGAGCCCAAAATTTATGTTGCCAAGTGAGAAATTTTTGCAGGGATTTTTGCTACCGGTTCTCCGAACCACCTGCCGCCATCGCTACTGGATCGGGCGATCCAGTCCAAACCAGGACCATTTCACCCCTGCTCTGGAATGACATCCATCCCTCCACCCCAGATTCATAGGGTCCACAACCTGCCCTTCCTCAGACAAGCCCTGGAGAGGAGTGGTTTATTTAAGGTAATGTTATTTTTCTGAAAGCCTGATTTTTTTCTTTTTTCTTTAATACTCTTTTTACATTGTTTAGTTATATTGCCTTGAAATTATATTGGAGGATGCCCAGAGTTGTGTTAGAGCCAAGCAGCGTATAAATAGACAAATGAATAAATTAATCTCAATTTTCATCTAGGATTACAGGGTGACAGAGTTCCCTTTTTCAGTAACAGGGCTCAGAATGAGTGGCAGGCCCACAGTCACTAGTGAGCATCTCTGGATGTTGAAGGAGAATCCCCTCACACACACACACCTTTGGGGTTACCCACCTTCCTGAGTGGAGATGGTTCCTTCTGCACACAAGGAGCAAGCATAGCAGCAAGGGGCCTTTCCTTCCAAAACCACCTTAGCCTGTCCAGGCTGACAGCTTTTAGTACATCTGGACTGAGGAAGGACCTAAAACAAGGTAGATGAAATAGTGTTAGGTGCTGATCATGGAAATTTCGAAGAGAAAAGGAAGACTCAATAACTTAATTTTCCACCCAAAATTAAGTTATTGAGGTCTTCACCCTTTAGTCTATATGTATTACAAATGGTTCCATTAGTTCCTACCTGGTTAAACCGCTTGGTCCAGATTCTGACATTCTGGTAAAGAGTGAATTTCATCTCATCAAATCCCCTTTGTCTGTCTATCTTCCCAAACTTGACTGCTCCAAGAGACCGGTTGGGAAACACTATCCATCTCATGATGTCATACGCCGCAACCAGTTCCCCCTTTTCATCTAAATAGACGCCATCTATGGAAGTATTGTAAAAGTGGACATTTCTTAGGAAAGAGTGAAGCTGGAATGGTGGGAAAAATAATGTCAGTGTTCAGCAACAGGAGACCCATTGAGATTGTTCAGCTCTGTCCCCTTGACGTTTTAATCTTCAAAGATAACAAACTTGCATGTCTGGGAAAAGAAATGGCTTGCTAATTTTTCCTCTTTGGAGAAACTGAAACAAATGTGAGCACTAAGATTTCCTCTGTTAGGCATAATTGGAATGAATGATCCCACGGTTAATTTTTAGGCAGGAGTTTTAAGCATTTTAAATATTAGAACATTTTGGATTTTCTGTTGAAAGCATCTTTAGAAATTTAGGATCATTTCCACTTCCACCTAGTAAACAAAGGAACTTTAAATATAGTCCCTGGTAGATAAGCATTGGTAGAATGAGATAAGGTAGAGAAGGATAGTGTTCTCACTCAGCTCCCCAAACACGACATTAACTCTAAAGTTAACTCAAAGTTTCCTTTATTAGGAGCACTAGCAGCCCCGGCAAAAAGTTTCTCTCTCACCGCTGGCTAACAAGTCTGTCCGGCTGGAAAACAAATAGTCATCTCCATCCCCTGTCTTTTATCCCCAGAACTAGGATGGGGCTTTGCTAGCAGTGGTGGCTGCTGCGCATCCATGCATCAGGCACTGGACCCAGCTATTCCTCCTCTTCCTCATCAGCCACCTCCAGACCTGGGGGCTGTTGACTCTCCATCTGAGGGCTGACGGATAGCCCAGGCTCTACCTCTGTCTGTCTCTCTCTCTCTGCCAGCTCCATTCTCTCTTCTCCCTTGGAGCTCTCAGTTGCCATGATGCTGACTCTGACTTCCATGCCGCCTCCTCCTCCTCTGATTTGGCTGTTGGAGGGGCCGGCGGCCGACAGGCCACAACAGATAGACTTCCCTTCTTGTTCCCAATTATTCTTTTGACCACTCTCCCAATAAGTCATGCAGCTAGCTCAGTCCAATAAATTTGTGTCGCTATCTGCCCAATTGTAACAAAACTGAACCACGAAGTAATTGGAAGTCAGTTTCTTCAATAGCAACCAGAGAAGGGATGAACTAGACAAGACTCTTAATCATAAGACTGTGGAGTTGGAAAAGATCACAAAGTTGACCTTATCCAAACCTGTGAATGTGCAGGATAACCAATCCTCAAGAAGTGGCTTTCCAGCCTCTTCTCAAAAACCTTCTGAGATGAACAACGGACAACTTCCATGAATAGACTGTTGTATGTTACAATTAGGAAGTTCTTCTTTGTTCTTTAACAACATCCAGGTAACTGTAATTTAAAACCTATTTTTCTAGTCCTAATTCCTATGGCCATGGAGAATAGTTCCAAATCATCTTCCTTATGACACATTTGTGAACACTGAGATAATATCTCCCTTCAGTTGTCTTTTCTCCAGACTGGGGATTCCAGGTTCCTTCACCAAGTCCTTCTTTGTCATATCCTCAAATCTCCCTTATCTTTGTCACCTCCTCTGAATCTATTTTCACCTATCCTTTTGGAGATGTATGTCCAGGACTCTGCAAACTCCAGATGTAGTTTCACCAGTGCAGTGTAGAAAAGAACAGCTGTTGGATGTGATGGAGCAGGGGTGAAATCCAGCAGGTTCTGACAGGTTCTGGAGAACCGGTAGCGGAAATTTTGAGCAGTTCGGAGAACTGGTAGCGGAAATTTTGAGCAGTTCGGAGAACCAGTAGCGGAAATTTTGAGTAGTTTGGAAAACCGGTAAATACCACCTCTGGCTGGTCCCAGAGTGGGTGGGAATGAAGATTTTGCAATATCGTTCCCCCAGGAGTGGGGAGGGAATGGGAATTTTGCAGTATCCTTCCCCTGCCATGCCCACCAAGCCACGGCCACCAAGCCACACCACACCCACCAAGCCACGCCCACAGAACTGGTAGTAAAAAAAAATGGATTTCACCACTGGGATAGGGATCAGTCTTCTATCAACAGAGAATATGGAATGGATCAGGGAGAAATGCTTTCCGAGCCCACCAAGCTCATCATAAACCAGAATACTGATTATTTTTTCAGCAAGAGATGAGAAGGAAAAATCAATACCTGCCATGACCGAATCCTCAATGGAGCTTGCCTGCCATTGTGGACTCTTGTCTTTTGTCTGGATCTTGATAAATGTGCAGCATTTAAGGAATGTGCCAGAGCCTGGAGGATGCTGTAAATGTTGTAGCTGTCTAGAGACAGGTTTTTATCAATCAACTCTTTAGGCAGAGACTCCAGGTTTTCCTTCTCTTGACACCGTTTCCTTCCTCTCCTTGATAGCCCATGCCTTGAATATAAGCAGTTAAATGCATTCGTCTGAAAATGGCTCAAAACCCTTAAGACTGCCCGTGTCGCCTCATAGTTCACCTCTTTTTTTCTGTGGATTAAGAAGGAAAAGAAGCTATGTGTTTGTGGGGCAAGCAAAATCTCAAGGTCTAAATTCAAGGAAAGATCCCATGAAGCGGTGGTCACCCAGACTTTACTCACAATGGGCTTGATGAATTTTTCAATTATAGCTTGCATAAGCCATATTGTGCCATAGAAAAAACGATATTCTCCATAATAAATCAGCACACTGACTTTGTTCCAAAGACGGAATAATTCAAATTCAAAGCTGATTCTTTCTTTGGTTAAAACTGGGGAGCGGTATATGAAAACTGGACAAATTGCATTCTGAACGAGCACTGGGACAAAGGTCCTGATGAATCTCTCTCCATTTTCAGAGTCTGGAGTAACGAGACCGATCCAATTCCATCCGAAATTCAGGAGCATCTTGGCAATCCCTTGGTAGAAATGTTCTTCTTTGGGGACCATCCGGTACATGAATGGGAACTGATTTTTCTCATTGAAAGTCTGAGAAACAAAACCATAGCTGACCTAAGAGGAAGGGATAAGACAGGTCTTTGCCTTGGTCCCTGGTTTCCACGACAACCCTCAGACAGGGGTGGGCTGCTGGCGGTTCGCAGGGTTTAGGGAGAACTTCTAGCTAAGATTCTGTGCAGTTTGGAGAACCTGCAAATCCCACTCCTGGCTGGCCCTGCCCACCCTGTCCCCCCCCTCCCAGGAGTTCCCAAGCAGCCCATTTTGGATGCAGGTAAGTGCAAGGCATGTGTAGAGGCTTGGGGAGTACGAAAAACAGGCCCGTTTGGGGCCTCCAGAAGCCCTCATGAGCCTGGGGAGGCCGTTTTCATCCTCCCAGAGACTTGAGGAAAGCCTCCGGAGTCCGGGGAGAGCAAAAATACCCCCTCCCACCGTGGCGCAGGAGGCCGACTAGGCCACACCCACCATGGCCACGTCCACCCAACAACTGGGCAGAGAACCTTTTGCTAAAATCTTTGAAGCCTACCCCTGCCCTCAGATATATGCTTGCCTGCATTAAGGAGTCAACAAATGATTTCTTGACCTCATGATACATAGGGGTTGGGATCTTGCAGGAACCTTGGGTGAAAGCTTGTATCCAAGAAACAAAAGACTGACACCTCCTAGCAAGACACATTCCCCTCCCTTTTTCTTCTTAGCTGCAAGCAGGATTGCAACATCCAATATTTTAAATAGTAATTTAATGAAAAATTACAACTAAAAGATAAAAACTAATACAAAAAAATAGAAATTGCAGAAAACAAAGAATAGAAAGAAAAAAGAAAAAAAATAAGAATATGGTAAAGAAAAAGGAATATATAAATATAACTCCCTACTTCATCACAAGTATAAACAATTTTAGTAATTTATCACCTTCTCATAAAATACAAATTATCTTTTTTTCCCATATTCCATCACTTGTCTATAAACAAACACTTAAAGCCTTGATGTTTAGTCTTGATCAGCAAAAGTCCATTAAGGGTTACCAGAGATAACAACATATCTCTTTTAATCAAATAAGCCAACTTTATATTCCTTCCTTTTATTTAAAAAATCCAAATTTTAATTATGATCGGAGAAGATAAGGCACTGTTAATAAAATGAACCAAAAAAGCCTCACTTAATTTAACCTACACAATTGGAAATATTGCTTCTTAGCATCAAGAACTCCATAACCTGTAGTATCTTTAATAAAATGGGATTAAATGTATTGTATTTTACTTTTATAATAATGTATTGTATTACAGCCCTCTCTGAGTGATTTACAGAGTCAGCATATTGCCCCCTACAATCTGGATCCTCATTTTACTGACATCGGAAGAATGAAAGGCTGAGTCAATTTTGAGCTGGTGAGAATCAAATTGCCAAACTGCAATCAGCCGGCAGTCAGCAGAAGTAGCCTGCAGTACTACATTCTAACCACTGCACCACCATGGCTCTTCATATGTTCCTTTTAAAAAATTTTTAAAAAACATTAGGTTATAGAATAAAATATAAAAATACAAAAGCAAATAGTAGGACACAGATTGGAGAAGGGAAAAAAGTGAGGAGGGGAGGAAGAAAACAAAACGAAACATTGACTTCCAACTCCCTTAGTTGCAGTAGAATAAAGTATTAACATCCAACCTCAACTTTTTATTTTTCCATAATAATATAAACTAGCCATTTCTATAACAACAAATCAATCTAATGAGTAAAACCCAAAATCCAAGTTTCATTTTTTTCCACCTCAAGCACAAAGTCCAGAAGTCCATGTAGCAACAAAAGTATTTTTTTTCTTCGATCAAAACGATCAATTTCACCAACTCCTTCAACTTCTGTAGCCATTCGTCCATGGTGGGAATTGAAATGTCCTTCAATTTTTGTGCATACAATAGTCATTCTGCCGCCAACATATATAAGATCAAAATTCCAATTTTTTTCCCCCAAGTCTTTTTCCATTAAACCCAAAAGAAAAGTTTTTGGTTTCATCTTTATCCTTGTTTTAACAATTTTCTGTATTAAAATATGAATAGAATAGAATAACAGAGTTGGAAGGGACCTTGGAGGTCTTCTAGTCCAACCCCCTGCTTACACAGGAAACCCTACATCGCTTCAGACAAATGGTTATCCAACATCCTCTTAAAAACTTCCAGTGTTGGAGCATTCGCAACTTCTGGAGGCAAGTTGTTCCACTGATTAATTGTTCTCACTGTCAGGAAATTTCTCCTTAGTTCTAAGTTGCTTCTCTCCTTGATTAGTTGAATCTTACTCCAAAATTTCTTTGCTTTATCACATGTCCACCATAAATGATAAAAGATCCCTTCTTTACTTTTACATTTCCAACATTCATTTGAAATACTTTTTATACATTCTAGATAACTTATCCAGTGTTAAATACCATCTTATAAACATTTTCTTTTAAATGATAGTTTAGTGTGAATTTTAAACCTTTCATTCACATTTTTTTCCCATTGTTCAAGCATCACCTTATGTCCATAGTTCCTTGCCCATTGAGTCATGCAATTTTTTATATGTTCACTTTACATGTTCAAAACCTATTTCAGACCAATAAACATGCTTTTTCCAGCTAGACATTATAGTCATACCTGCGGGATTTTGTAGATTTCTGACATGGTTGAAATCTGCTTAGAAGTATCAGAATGAGTGCCTTCGATGATTGCAAGTAAACTGTTCTGCCTCCCACAGTGGTAGTTTGGAATATTGGTCTGTCCAGTTGAGAGGAGGTCTGCCATGGCTTCGGAAGTACTCCTCGCATCAAAATAATTGTCCAATAAATTGTAACCCAGGGTGATGTTGGCCAATAGTTGAGGATTATGGTTGATCTCATAGACAGTAAAAAGGTAGGACAGGATGTTCCAGTACAATAGTTGCCCTTTGCTGCAATAAAATATTTGCATCAGATCAGCTTTTTTTCTAACTCTCTATTCAGTAATACACTACCGATCAAATTTTTCATTACCGAACACCAAAATCTTTTCTTGACATGTGCTTAGATTTCGTCTTGGATCTCAAGGGCCACTTCCACCTCAGAAGCATTATGGTGAAACATTGAAGTAAGGGCTGAGGATTTTATTAAATAGTGGACTATATATATACTTCTATATTAACAAAACTTTCTGGATTGCATTAGTAAGTGCACACAAAATGTACAGATTCTGGCATGACCAATCTCTAAATGTAGAGGTCTCTTCTGAGGGGGTGGGGGGGGAGAGATAAATAACTTCTAAGGATATTTATCCCCAGTGGCAACAATTACCACAAGAAACAACAGTATATAGTACATAAAGTATATATATTTATTGAATCCAAGTGTGGATGCAGTTGTTCCTTTAGAATTAGAATAACAGAGTTGGAGGGGATCTTGGAGGTCTTCTAGTCCAACTCTTTGCTCAGACAGGAAACCCTATACCATTTTAGACAAATGGTTGTCCAATCTTTTCTTAAATACTTCCAGTGTTGGAGCATCCACAACTTCTGGAGGCAAGTTGTTCCACTGATTAATTGTTCCAACTGTCAGGAAATTTCTCCTTAGTTCTAAGTTGCTTCTCTCCTTGATGAGTTTCCATCCATTGCTTCTTGTCCTGCCTTCAAGTGCTTTGGAGAATAGGTTGACTCCCTCTTCTTTGTGGCAACCCCTGAGATATTGGAATACCACTGTCATGTCACCCCTAGCCCTTCTTTTCATTAAACTAGACATACCCAATTCCAGCAACTGTTCTTTATATGTCTTAGCCTCCAGTTCCCTAATTTAATACATTTCTCAATTCTAGGTAGGATGACTAATCAGAAATACACTTTGTTGATCACTAATGTCTCAACCAATAGAAGCAGAAAGATTATCAGAATAGAGTAGAGTAGAGTAGAGTAGAGTAGAGTAGAGTAGAATAGAATAGAATAGAATAGAATAGAATAGAATAGAATAGAATAGAATAGAATAGAATAGAATAGGAATAGTCCAGCCCCCTGCTGAAGCAGAACCTATACGGTCTCAGACAAGTGACTTTCCAGTCTCTTCTTAAAAACCTCCAATGATGGAGTGCCCACAATTTCTGAAGGCAAGCTATTTCACTGGTTAATTGTCCTTTGATCAGTTTCCAACCATTATTTCTTGTCCTGCTCTCTGGTGCTTTGGCGAATAATTTGACCCCCTCTCCTTTGTGGCAGCCCCTCAAATACTGGAATATTACTATCATATCACCCTTCATTATTCTATTCTTTAGACTAGCCAAACCCAAAATCTGCAGCCGTTCTTCATATGGTTTAGTCTCCAGACCTTTGATCATCTTAGTTGCTCTTCTCTGAACTTTTTCCAAAGTCTCAACATCTTTTTTGTAGTATGGTGACCAAAATTGGTTGCAGTATTCCAGGTGTGGTCTTACTAGGATTTTGTAAAGTGGCACTAATACTTCACGTGATCTTGATACTATGCCTCTGTTTATACAACCCAGGATTGTATTAGCATTTTTGGCGGCTGCTGCACATTGCTGGCTCATATTCAAGTGATCATCTACGTAAGAGATATTTTTGTAATCATACTTGTATTTGCCGCAAAAGAAATTGCAAGCTCCTTTCTGTGTCTTTTTATATTTTCTTTCTGCCCTTCTGTCTTTTCTTTTTCTTCTTTGAGATATAAAAAGGAAAATCAGATAAAAAGATCTTTGCTCAATTATCGTCTTATTCTGGATTGTTCACTGAGAGTAATAAAAATCTGGTTCAAGGATACAGTATGCACAACAGTCTCACATACTACCTTGGTTTCTTTGGATAAATGCTGAAAATATCTAAAGTGAATGACAGCAACTCCTGAATGAGAGGCAGCAAGGCCTGGAGAAATATTTTATATTTCCTTCTCTCTAAAGACAGTAAAAAGCAGCAACTGGTAAGATCAATTTTTCTCCATGAGTAAGACAGAAAATGCTGTCCTTGACGGACAGAGTCATCAGGGGCTCATGAAAGCTGAATCACATTTAATAATATTACATTCATTTCTGTCAAACGACTTACTTTGCAAGTTTGGTGGAAGGAGATTGTTGGAACACAAATGGGTGAAACATGACAGGGGTTGCAGGGAGAATCCCACCAATATGGAAGTCTCCCGATCGATAATAACTCCGGAACCCTTCCTGATCTGTGATGAAATTCAATGGGCATTTCATCTTTGGCTTCCTGCTGGCTGCATTGGGCAGAAGCAACAGGAGGAAGAAAAGAGAACATAATGTTCCAGCTCCACCTTTGAAAATCTCTTCCCTTCTTGCTGAACTAAAGGTCATATCAGGAACTGAATTTGGCCAATGTTTCAACACTAGCAAAGAGGATTATATTAATTCTTACATTGGCATTATCTCTATCCCTGCCCTAAATCTCAGCCTAAGCTGAGGTCCATGGTACACAACGATTTTATTTTGGCATTAGCCTGTCCAGGCATGATAGGGCAAGGTGTTATATCAGGCTGAGCACAGCGCTGATGGAAGATTACCTTTGGGTTTCGGGCAAATCACTGTGTCTTGATAATTATAAGGTTAGGATACATTTTCTGTCTCCATTTTTCTGGAAGCAGGTGCAGGTAGGATGAAAAAGTCTCTAACAAGTTCCCTATGGTGAATATAAACTTGAGCTATCTTTAGCAGTGTGAAGGACTAGGAAAAACTCTTAAAAGATGAATATGTAATATACCATTATCATACAACAGGGACTCTGTATGGGTTCATACTTCTAAACATGGATTAAATAAACAATGTCTTCTGCTAATTCATACTTCTCCATTTGGACCGTCTAAACTGGAAGGACCAATGGATACCTTGAGGTGGTTGTCCAGGTCCAAGTGTTACATAGGACCAGATGTTCACATTAAAACACCCTGATTTTCATCTGGTGGTTCATTCCTTCATGAGTTTCATCAAGGATGTTTTGGGAAAGCCTTTTAACTTCTTAACGTCATGGCCAACTCTTTGTCACCCATGATTTACTGCATGCCAGGCCCCCATTTTCCACTGTCTTCTGGAATTTGCCCAAATTCATGTTCATTGCACCCATGACACTGTCTAACCATCTCATACAGAGGGATAGAATCAAGATCACATGAGGTGTTAATGCCACTTTATAATGCCTTGGTAAGACCACATTTGAAATATGGCATCCAGTTTTGGCTGCCATGATATAAAAAAAGAGGTTGAGACTTTAGAAAGAGCGCAGAGAAGAGCAACAAAGATGATTAGGGGACTGGAAGCTAAAACGTATGAAAAACGGTAACATACAAATTGTGTATGTTAAGTTGAATGAAAAGAAGGACTAAGGGTGGCATGATAGCAGTATTCCAATATCTAAGGTGCTGCCACAAAGGAGAGGTCAACCTGTTTTCCAAAGCACCTGAACGTAAGAGAAGCAGCAATGGATGGAAACTAATCAAGGAGAGAAGCAACCTAGAATTAAGGAGAAATTTCATGACAGTTAGAATTGTTAATGGAACGACTTGACTCCAAAAGTTGTTGGGAGGTTTTAAAGAAGAGAGTGAACAACCATTTGTCAGAAATGGAATAGGGTTTCCTGCCTGAGTAGGGGGTTGGACTAGAAGACCTCCAAGGTTCCTTCCAACTCGTTATTCTGCCCTCTTCTCCATTTTTTTTTTATTTGATTTATATGCCGCCCTTCTCCGAAGACTCAGGGCAGCTTACAATGTGCTCAGCAATTTATTTATTTATTTATTTTATTTTATTAAATTTCTATACCGCCCTTCTCCCGAAGGACTCAGGGCGGTGAACAGCCACAAGATAAAACACATAAATACAAAAATTTAAAATGAATTAAAAATGAATTAAATAATTTGGCTGAACTTAAAATACCCCATAATTTAAAACAAATTAAAATTTACATTTAAAAAGGGGAGAAGGTTTAGGCCAGGCCAGCTTGATGGAATAAGAAAGTCTTCCCTCTTTCCCAACATTCTTCACTGACTCCTCTCTTCTCATTAGGTGGTCAAAATATGTGACCTACATTTCCGTTTAGCCCTGAAAAAATACAAACACCCCCACACACATTATGAATAGTGAGGGATGCCTTCCCCCCAACAAACTGAAGCCCATAACAGCGGAACCCCAAGTTTTAGCCACCTTAAGCGCTTCTGCCAAACCAGTTGAATTGAATTGAATTGAATAGTCGACAGAATTTGAAAGGGGGGGGGAAGAGAGAGGGAAAACAGGGAAAGAGGCCCAAAAACGGATGGAGGAAAGGTCGCCATTTAAAGAAATTATTAACTCTTTTTGACTGGGGCGAAGACAAACCCACAGAGAAGGCGACCCGCGCGCGCGCTTGCGCGCTGCAGTAGCATTGAGCTCGTTCTCTCAAAAAAGAGCGGCATTCTGGAGTCACGTGACCTCTCAAACTACCCCCCCCTCCACCTCCGCCTCTTTAGCCGTTATTGTGACATTCCGAACAAACGTTGGAAAGGGCGGAGCTAATATTTACCTCCCGCCTGTGAGGAACACCTGAGGTAAAACGCCATCGTCTTCCCTTTCTCGTAAAATTGCCTTATCGCTGAACGTTTTCTGCCTCGAAGTCCTTTGAAGACTTCGATTTGAAGTCCGTACTGAAGATTGAAGCGCTTCCACTGTATTGAAGATACTAAGAAACAGTTTTATTTGAGGGGCCACCACTGGTCTGAGGTAATAAAGTATGGTGGCCCTGACACCTGGTGAAAAGCTGTGGCAGAGCCAAATTGAGGTCCTGAAAGAAAGAAAATTACACTAGCACTGATACTATCTAGTTTGAGTAACAAAGCCTTTGGAAGAAAACAACCAATTTCAGTGAGCACCAAGGCTCTCTCAAGAAAATTAAAGAATATTGAAGGAAAACCTGATCCTAAATGGGAAAAAATTAAGTTCTTGAAAGCATTACCTCAGAAAATGCAAAATGGTAAAGGAAACCCGGATCTTAAATGATAAAAAGATTAGGTTCTAGAAAAGTTTACCTCAGAAAATGTGAAATAGCAGAGAACAGTGGTTCATCTAAACCTCTTTGAATGAAAGGAGCAAAAAGAGAAGGCAGATTAAAATTGGAACGCCAATAGGAAGGTTAATAAAAAGATGGCACACAAAGGCCCATGAGGAGAATTATCTCTTTTGTGAGGGGATAAATAGAGAACAAAGGATCCTTCCTCCTACAGTGTGAAATGCAGCCAAAAATGATAAGAGCATCAGGTCATGATGCAGGAGAAGGGACGAAGGAAAGATAAAGTAAGTGCAAATTCACTTCCAGAGAAACTGTAGATATAGGAAAGAGAGGGAGGGGGGAAACTTAATTATCTGGGGAACATAAGTGAAAGAAAAAAGATTCAGCTGCTGTTGAATCTAAGATACAGGTAGTCCTCAACTTACAACAGTTCATTTAGCGACCATTCAAAGTTATAATGGCACTGAGAAAAGTGATTTATGGCCGTTTTTTACAATTACAACTGTTGCAGCATCTCCATGGTCACTGACCAAAATTCAGATTGTTGGCAACTGACTCAAGCTGCCAAGCGTCTCAATTTTGATCACATGACTCTGAGGATTCCACAATGGTCGTGTGAGAAACTGTCATAAATCACTTAGTATAGTGCCATTGTAACTTTCAACGGTCATTAAATGAACTGTTGTAAATCAAGGACTATCTGTATACAGCCCTGCAATGGCTAATGCCCAAAGGTTGTTTCAAATCCACATCCAGCCATGGAAGCTTCTTGGGGCACTCTGGGCCAGTACTTTTCTCTCAGCGCAGCCTACCTTGCAGGGTTATTGTGGAGAAGATAGAGAGGGTCCATTGAGTTCCTGGAATATAAATCTAATGAACACACATATACAAATAGAGAAGGGCTGTTTTATTTTTTGAATTGTCTTAGCTGGTAGAAAACAATTCCGGTTTTGGAATGTATCTTAGTTAACTTTTTAAATTAAGCAATCAAAGTTGTTATTTTTCAATTAAGGAAGCATAAAGTGATTCATTTTATGACAACATTCCCAGAGTATTTTGTTGGCAATGCAACAATTGTTGAAATGAATACAATAAAATTTGTGAAGGTACAATGCAATGCTGCATTTAAGTTTAGATAGAAGTGATGTAGACGTAAAAATGATCAGATGGCTAGTTTCTTAAATGTGTATGAAATGAGTCTGCTTCTTGGTTTGTGCTCATTTGTGCTGTCGTTGAAATTCTAAGTGCCTTAATAAATGCTACTTTCTGAAAGTTGTACAATCAGTTGGAAAAATGAGAACGTGCAACTCAACAAGCTATCAAATGTAGTCTATTATTATCCCACCCAAATCATTCTAGGCTGAAGGCTGGCATTCTTAATGAACTTTTACAAGTCTTAAAGTTGCCAAGTTTGGAGACCCCTGATCTAGATTGTGAAATCTTGTTTTTAAAGTAACCCTTTAGTACATTGACTGGAATGGTTGTTGGTTGTTGGGTTTTTTGGCCTGGGTGTCCTCATTTCTAGAGACATCCACAAGAAGATCAACTGGGGAGGGGAAATGATGACAACATTGTACCACAAAGTGCAACTCTTTTTTATTGGTGTTGTGACATTGCATGCATCTACAAAAGAGAAGAATTCTGTGGCATCCTAAGGAGTTTACTCCAACAGCAGGATTCAAAGGAATGTGTCTTAAGTGTATGTTGTTTTTTTTAAATGCCAAACTTCCCTGGAAAAGAAACAGTCCTTGGAGAAGTTTGATTACATACAATACTTAAAAGATTCAAATCTTCCCATAACACTAACAGACTACAGATAGTCCTCAACTTACAACAGTTCATTCAGTGACCGAAGTTACAACGGCTCCGAAACAAGTGACTTATGACCATTTTTCACACTTATGGCCATTGAAACATCCCCACGGTCACATGATTTATATTCAGATGCTTGACAACTGACTCACATTTATGATGGTTGCAGTGTCCAGGTTCGTGTGTTTCAATACATATACTGTACATACACATACGGGGTGGGATTCAAATGGTTCGGACTGGTTCGGGTGAACCGGATGCTAATTTTACATCTGGTTCGCCGAACCAGTAGTTGCAAGGACTGGCTGGCCCCTCCCATCCCATCCCTCCCCTTCCAGGAGTCGCCACGCAGCCTGTTTTGGATGCCAGGTAAATGCAGCGCCTGCACGGAGACTCTGGGAGGGTGAAAAATGGGTCTCCCAGAAGTTCCGGAAGTCTGGAAACGGGCCCATTTCAGGCCTCCAGAGGGCCTCCAGCCTCCAGAGCCTGGGTAGGGCAAAAAACGGGCCTCCCAGAAGTTCCGGAAGTAGCCTGTGGGAGGCCGTTTTCACCCTCCCAGAGGCTCAAGGAAAGCCTCCAGAGCTTGGGGAGGGCAAAAATGCTCCCTGCCATTATGCTGGATGCTGAGTAGGCCACACCCACCATGGCCACGCCCACCCAGCAACGGGGCAGATAACCGGTTGCTAAAATTTTTGAATTCCACCCCTGTACACATACATACATACACACACATATATACATAAACACATACATATACATTATATACGTTAATCATTTTATAAAATATTTAGAAAAAGTACATATTTATTTCTATATTTTTTCTATTTAAAATAAAGAAAACACAAAAGCATACTTTGTACCATGTACTAATCACAACTCTTACTATGTGTTTATATCACACAAATTATTAACATTTAACACAATGAACTTATGAAAATAAGAATGAAAATTTAGAAGCAAAACTGGTATATTCAAACCAAATTTTTGGAATCCTCCACTGGATGAAAAAATGCTTAGACAAATAATGGGGATCATTATGAAGCAGATCCAATTCAAGGTTTCAAACATAAGAATTAACTTGCTATTTTCAGATTAGGATTCCTCCATTATGATACTTTGCCTCTTAAAAATCTATTAATTCCTAGACTGATAAGTAGGTGGGTGCTATACTTCCCAAGAGAAATGGAAATAACCTTTATTGTTTCTCAATTACTTATAATTCATTATGATCCAAAATACATTATTTCACAACAATCCATCAATAAGCTCTTGCCTACTGTATATAATCCAACAGGATCATGTAGTTGGGCATCTCATCGTTCTGTCTTGAGCCCAATATTCTTCAACATCTGTGTAAATGAGCTAGAAGAGAGTTCAGAAGAGAAATGTATCACATTTGCATATGACATCAAGCTGGGGAAAATTGCTAATATTTTGGAAGATCGACTTGAGCATTGGGCCCTATCCAATAAGGGGCAGTTCTAAGTGTTTCAGTGTATACAAACGAAGGTAATCATGCTGGTATTTTTCCCCACATACTTCAGATATTTGTATAGTGCCTTCAGACTGAGTGTTTTTTAAGAAAAGGAAGCTGCTGAAGCTCAATCCATAGTCCATATACACACTGCGGGGAATTTTAAATAAAATGATTGCTGTGGGTGAAGTTTATTCCTCAGTATATAAGCACCTACAGAGACTATCCCATGTCTGCCTTTTTATGAGAAGTAAGATTATCACTCTTCCCACAAACCAGGCATTTGTAAGGTTTCTCCCCTGTGGATTCTTTTATGGGAAGTAAAATTACTACTCATACTGAAACTTTTTCCACATTCCAGGCATATACCACATTCAGTGCATTTATATGGTTTCTTTCCTGTATGAATCCTTTCATGGGAATTAAAGGAACTCAAGCCATTGAACCTTTTTTCCACATTCTAGACACTGATACAGTTTTTCCCCCGAGTGGATCTGCTTATGGAAAATCAAACGGCTGCTCCACCTGAAATTCTTTCCACACTCTAAGCATTTGTACAGTTTTTCCCTGAGTGGATCCTTTTATGGGAAGTAAGGTTTCTGCTCATACTGAAGCTCTTTCCACATTCCACACATTTATATGGTTTTTCCCCCGTATGGATCCTTTTATGAGAATTCAGCGAACTCTTCTGACTGAAGTTCTTTCCACATTCTAAGCATTTGTATGGTTTCTCTCCTGTGTGGATCCTTTTATGGGAAGTAAGAGAGCTACTCGTGCGAAAGCTCTTCCCACATACCATACATTTATATGGTTTTTCCCCTGAGTGGATTCTTTTATGGGAATTAAAGGAACTCAGGCTACTAAAGCTTTTCTCACATTCCAGACATTTGTAGGGTTTCTCTCCTGTGTGGACCCTTTTATGAGAGGTAAGGTGACCACTCTTAGTGAAGATCTTTCCACATTCCATACATTTATATGGATTTTCCCCCATATGGATCCTTTTATGAGAATTCATCGAACTACTCTGACTGAAGTTCTTTCCACACTCTAAGCATTTGTATGGTTTCTCTCCTGTGTGGATCCTTTTATGGGAAGTAAGAGAGCTACTTGCGCAAAAGCTCTTTCCACATACCATACATTTATACGGTTTTTCCCCTGAGTGGATTCTTTTATGGGATTTAAAGGAACTCAGGTCACTAAGGCTTTTCCCACATTCCAGACATTTATAGGGTTTCTCTCCTGTGTGGATCCTTTTATGAGAGCTAAGATGACCACTCTTACTGAAGTTCTTTCCACATTCCATACATTTATATGGTTTCTCTCCGGTATGGGTCCTCTTGTGGGATGTAAGATTACTGCTCATTCTGAAGCTCTTTCCACAGTCCAGGCATTTATATGGTTTCTCTCCTGAGTGAATCCTTTTATGGAAAGTAAATGGACTCAAACCACTATAGCTTTTTCCACATTCCAAGCATTTATATGGTTTTTCTCCTGAATGGATCCTCTTATGTGAAGTAAGGCAACAATTCCACCGAAAGCTTTTTCCACACTCGGTGCAGTTATAAGGTTTTTCTCCAATATGGATATTTTGAGGTAATTTATGAGGAAAGCTCCAGTCGCAACTTTCCCCATATTCTGTACATTCATAATGCTTCTCTTTATTTTGGATTTTACAATATTCACACAAATCTGATTTATCTCTGAATATTTTGCCACACTTTGTACAAGTTTTTTCTTTCTCATCTTGGGCCAGAAAGATGTGGATTTCTGCACTTTGAGAAGTAGGGGATTTCTCCATCCAATTGCTGAACTGGCTTTCTTCTCTTATTTCTGGTCCCTGCTGTTTTCCAAATTTCCTTTTCCCAGTTTTTATTTTGGTTTTTCTGGAAATCTCCACAGCTTGTTTTTTATAATCCTCATTCTCCTGTCCATCACCTGTTTTGGATATAAAACAGAAACATTCATTGTATTTGGTTAATGCACAAACTGAGGGTGCCATCAGATTTCAAATCCATCTAGATGCAACTTTTTATTTTCTCCCCCTTCCTTTTCTTCCATTATTATGGACCATGTGGTGGAATCATGAATGAGACACTACTTTACAGGAGCTTCCCTCCTTTCTGTCATCCAGTTATCCAGAATGTGAGCTTTTCTTTGACATCTAGGTAGTTGATGCACAATGTTCTATAGTATTCTTGTCCCTTGTGAATTTAGTGTTGGCATGATACTTGGGAAAGCTGTTATCACAGCTCTACTGCTCTTTATTAATCAATTCCAAGGCAGCAATAGGCACTCTTGAAATTTGCCTTGATACAATAATGGACCATTAATAAAGGAGAATGTTTGTAGCTCAGGGTTGACGTGAGGGGTCCTTGGTGCTCTCTGAGCTTGCTTGTTTTTTTGCAGACGTCATGCAGGAAGAAAAGTTGTTCTTTGGTCAAAGTATGCAAGCTCAGAGAGCACCAAGGACCCCTCATGTCAACCCTGAGCTACAAATATTCTCCTTTATTAGTACTTCATATGGGCATCAAACACTTCAGACATCATGCAAATGGGAAAAATTTGTGTGCAAACAACTCTCACCAAAGAACAACTTTTCTTCCTGCATGACGTCTGCAAAAAAAACAAGCACGCACAGAGAGCACCAAGGACACAGTAATGGACTGGATGAGGACAAAGAAATCGAAATTAAAGTAAGAGGAAGGAACCGTTGATAAAGAAAAATCTGAATGTACAAGGAAAATTAAAATCTAAACAGGAATTGAACTCCCAAGGGGTACAAGTGGACTGGTGGACATATCTACAGATCCAATCTAAATACAAAAAAGACAGAGATAGGAAAGGTATTAACGGTGAGTTACAAGAATTAGACAAAATTTTGATGAGCCAAGAAAAAGGCATGATTTCGAAAACTTATAAATTGTTGATGAGAATAGAGATAGGTGATGAGATAATTAAGGATACAATGACTGCCTGGGGGAAAAACTTTGGATATTCAATTCATTTAGAGAAATGGCAAGAGATTTGGTGGGAGAATATGAAATTAGTAGTCTCTACGGCATACAAAGAAAACATCTAAAAGAAGATATACAGATGGCATCTTCCCCCCGATAGACTAGCTAAAATGTTCACTGGACAATCTGCGGAATGCTGGAAATGTGGGTGTGAGCGTGGCACCTATTACCATCAGTGGTGGACGTGCCCGAAAGCAGTAGAATTCTGGGGGAAAATAAAAAAAATGGCTGAATGAGATTTTAAATCAAAAGATCGAATGGCAACCAGAGACATGCCTGCTCGGCTCCAAACCGGAAAGTATTAAAAGAGACTTATGGTATCTTGCACTACACATCATCACAGCGGCGAGATTGGCGTACGCTCAACTTTGAAAAAGTCAAAATATCCCAACAGAAGAAGCTATTATAAAGAAGATTTTAGACTGTGCAGAAGCAGATAAATTGACCAAAAAATTAAAAGACAGAGATCAAACACAAATATGTTTATCTTGGGAAAAATTCTATAGGTGGCTAGAGAAGAGGAAAATATAACCCAAATTAGATGAGGAATTATATTTATTGAGAAATTTATATTATACAAGTAAAGTGAGGTCGGATAGACCTAATTGTTTTATAAAGATATGCAAGATGTTCTGTCTTCTCCAGATAATATATACAGTACCGAATACTAGGTTATTAAGGTACTGCTTATAGGTATGCTAGTTTTGTTTGTTGTTGTTGTGTTATCTTGTATGTTTTGTTTATTATTTATATAATGTGTTGTTCTTCTTTTGTTTTTAATGGAAAATGTAAATAAAGCTTATTAAAAAAAAATAAAGAAAAATCTGGATTTTGGAACTGAACATATCTGGGATAAGATTGCATTCTCTTTTAAAAAGTAGCTACCTACCCAGCCTTGGAGTCCTCTTTCTTCCACAGCTGTCTCTGGATCTGCAGGTAGCAGCTATAACCAAGAAGGTCTTATGGAAAATGGCAGGGTCATTTCACTAAGTTTTCAAACATTTTGAGAATCCAGCCAAACAGAGTCCAGCCCAATTTCTACCAATTTGATCCCTAGTAATGCTGATATTTTTCAAATTCCATCAGTTTAGAAATAAAAGAGAAGAATGAAAGGAGCTTCTAAGGTAATATGCAAACCAAGGGAAGCAACACCAGAAATCTACTGGGAGGGTGCTCTTTCCTTTCTCTAAGGACACTATGCCTAAAGACAGGTTTTAGCCCTTTCTACCACAGGGAGGAACAGTGCAGTTAAAAGATATTTTCTTCCACTGGAAAACAGAATAAACCAGCATTTGCTGTAAAAAGCAAATATATTGTTTAGTTTGGATTTACTCTCCCCAGCTTTCTGAACCTAGAACAGAGAGGATCAGGTAACAATAACAGAGTTGGAAGGGACCTTGGAGGTCATCTAGTCCAACCCCCTGCTCATGCAGGAGACCTGTACTAGGGATTCGAACTGCTGACCTTTCTGATCGATAAGCTCAGTGTCTTAGCCACTGAGCCACCTAGTCAGGCTAAGGATCACTTACTTATGGAGGCTAGGTTCTCAGAAATTTCCATCATGATCTCTCTGTAGAGGGTTCTTTGATCCAAGTCCAGCAGAGCCCACTCTTCCTTAGAGAAAAATACAGCTACCTCTTCAAAAGATATGGGATTCTGTAGCAGAAAGGAAACATTCCCAATTAATGAACAGGGACAGGAAGGATTTGCACGTATTCTTTTTAAAGAACAAACACTATGCAGCAGAGAGTTTGTTTTCTTGTTAATATATAAGACCAGAAAGTACTGTAAGTTCTCTGTCAGATTTTTCAGGTCATACAGCCTGCTAATTGAAACAGGATCGAGAAGCAACAGTCTACTGTAAAAGTTAGCTGCATCAATTTTCATTCATTCTTTGTATCTCATGGAACCCCATCAATTTCTCACAGTAATCTAGGGTTCGAGAAAGAACTGTTTGGAAAACCCTGCTGTTTTACTGAATAAATGTTGCTGATTCTGCAGAATTTGGCAGCAAATCCAACATCTTATGGAAACAACTGATGAGATAGGCCTTGGGTGCACCATCAATCACAGTTGGCATCCCTTCCTGGAAAGTGGCTTACTCAACAAGGAGTTGGGAGATTCCTGTTTGACATTTTAAACTGTGGCTTATATTGTCCCTTAGGGATCAACATAATTCCTCATTCTGCGCCTAAATATTGAAAAGGAAGACGTCTTTGTGAGGTGCCATCAAATAGGTTGTCATGAGATCACTGGAGCTGTGCCTGTTCTAAAAAAAATTGGATTAGATTGATACTAATGCAGTGGAAGAAATTCACTCTGGAAAAAAGGTTTCAGACAATTTTGGGGACAGTCTTAGAATACAGAAGAAGGAAGGCATTCTTTTCCTACCTGAGTTTGAAGCCCAACAGCTGTTCCTGCTCCACCATAAAGAAGAGATGTTTCTAAAGATACCATCAATGTTGCTTTGTTCTCTGCCAGGAAGACAAAAGTTGAGGAAATACATATTTTAAAAATTAACAATACATTTTGGAGCATAGCAATAAACCTTGGCCATTCCTCCACATACAGCAATGGAGTGCAACTAAATTTCCTAAAAGAAAGTAGTTCAGACAGGCAAAGTCCCAAAGAGACCCAGCCTGCTGATATACCTGCTGATATGCTCTGAGATGGAGTCTCCTGGAATATCACCCCAACAGGTTCCTTAAGGGGGCGTGATGAATCCACCCTTTTGGAGGGTTCAGCAGCCATCTCCCTGTAAGCCCCTTGAATCTGAAGCAGCAGCCAAGAGAAAAAAGGGAGAATACGTTACTATTGTTTATTCCCCAATTCCACTTTCCTCTAGAACAGGGGTGTCAATCTGGCCCGTGGGACCGGCCTGGAAATAGCAAAAGACCGGCCTACGCTGCCCTGTTTTCAGCCTGGATGGCCTCCTGCAGCACTTTGCTGGTCCGCACCCTATTTTGGCTGGCAGAGTGCTACAGGAGGCTGTCCAAGCCCCAAAACGGGGCACGGGGGGTGGGGGGGCTCATGCGGCTCCCCTGCACCAGCAGGGTGCTGGAGGTGTCCATCCTGTCTCCACCCCCCACATGGCCGGCCTGTAGAGGAAAACTCCAATGCTGATCCGGCCCTCGAAGAAATCCAGTTTGACACTCCTGCTCTAGAAACACACGAATCTTTCCAAAGAGGAAAACAAATTTTATCTATGGCAGTAGCACCCACAAGGAAAACATTCATGAATTCAATAACACTGGTCTTCATGCCTTGACCCTTTTGAATAGCCTTGCTCAGGAGTCTCCAACTTTTTCGGCTTTGTGGACCTGTGGCAGAGGGCGGGGAAGAGGGGATAGTTCCATGCAAGCAGCGGGCGTGTGCACTCACACGCAAAACCCCATTTGTGCAAGCAGCAGGTGCACAAATGGAGCTTCACGCGCGAGTGCCCGCCACTTTTGCAAATAGAGCTTCTCGCGCACGTTCACCTGCTGTTTGTGCAGCCCAGTTCCGAATGGCCTCAGGGGCTGGGGACCCCTAGTGTTGCTGATATCTTCTTACCTGCAATTCTCTCTGCTTTTTTTCCTCTGCCTGGCTCAGGAGGAAACCTTCTGCAAGGGCCACCGCCTGAGAACAAGTCTCTGCTCCACACTCCCGAACCCAGCTCTCAATTTCTGGGGATAGGATGGCCAGGAACTGCTCAAGAACCACCAGGTCCAGCATCTGAGCTTTTGTGTGCTTCTCCGGTTTCAGCCATTGACAATAAAGGTGGTGAAGTCGGCTGCAAACTTCTCTGGGCCCCTCAGCCTCCTGGTAGCAAAACTCTCTGAAATGGAGATGTTGTACCTCCCAACTGGTAGTTCCTTCTTCCAGGGCTTTGTGCTTGGTTCTTTCCCGGAATTTCCCACTAGTCCCAACTAGGACAATATGGGACCTTTCTTCTTTCCCTGCTTTGTCATGTGACACCATTTTTCTCTGTGCTGAAATGCACAGAGATGAAATTGAAGGCTCTGTTAGATTTAGAAAGCAATGGTCATTTCTGGGAGAAAGACTACAACTTGAACCACTTTAAATGATGGGCTGTCTTAGTCTCCAGAGAACAGGAAACTTTGCCCGCAGCGGAAGGAAGGGAATCTGTTTCCATAAAGGATAGTGGGGTGGAGGGGAAATTAAGTCAGAAAAAAAAGAAGTATACAAGCATCCACTTAGAATAACACTACAGGCAGGGGTGAACCACAGCAGGGGGACGAAAGAGCTTCATTTATCTGGGAACCTGAAATGACTCTTGATTTAAATCATATGGTAAAAAGCACCCAAAGAAGAAAGAACAACATCAGCAGAAAAAAACCAAACAAACTCAACCCTCGCCTGTTTTTGGAAATGGTTCAAGAGGGAACACGCATGCACGCGCGCACACACACACACACACGAGAGAGAGAGAGAGAGAGAGAAAGGGAGAAAAAGGGAGAGAGAGAGAGAGATGAGAGACAGAGAGAGCTGCCTGCCGTTTCCTGCTGTAGTTGGGGAGAGAGAGAGAGAGAGAGATTCAGCTCCATCTGCTCCTTATGGCGCTGTACTGTAACAGCCTGACAGTCACTCCTTTTGCAAGGCAAGGTTTATTTTGGTATCCAGAGACAGAAAGAACATGGCCAAATTTCCGTACAGTTAATTCTCTGGGTGTGGAGGGTGGGGAGTGGAGGAGAGGGAGGGAGGAAGAGAGAGAGAGAGAAAGAAAAAGAAAGAAAGAGGAAGGAATTTTTGGATTTCACCACTGGTTTGTATGGAGGATGGGGGTGGGTGGGAATGCGCGGCCCTCTGGGATGAGAACAGGGCAGGAGAAGGCTCTGATGTTCGCTTGGGTGGCAGAGGGAAACTCAAAAGTGTTGGGGGCTTCAGAAAGGGCAGAATGTGCTTCAAAATGATGACCTCCGACCGACCTGTGCGCTCCCACAGAGAGGGCCTCCTCGGGGTGCCATCAGCCAAACAATGTAGGCTGGTGACCCCCAGGGGGAGGGCCTTCTCTGTGGGGGCACCTACCCTCTGGAATCAGCTGCCCCCAGAGATAAGGAGAATCCAAGACCTCGGTGCCTTCCGCCGTGCCCTTAAAACTTTCTTTTTTCAGCAAGCCGGGGTGGCTTAATATATTTTTAAATATTTTTAATTGATTTGTTATTTTAAATTGGGGCCAAATTAATATATATCTTTTTAATTGTTTTTAATGTTTGTATTGTATGTTTTTATCTGGCTGTACACCGCCCTGAATCCCTCGGGAGAAGGTGTGGTATATAAATTCGAAATAAAATAAAAATAAAATAAAATAAAATATACAGCTCCTGGTTCTAACAGTGAGTGATGTCAGGTTGGCCACGCCTACCCGGTCACATGACCACCAAGCCACGCCCACAGAACCAGTAGCAAACATTTTTACATTTCACCCCTGCAATGAATACTGGGGTGCAGTTCCCCTTCCTCTTGTTCTCAAAGGAATTTGTCTCCATGTAGGTAGTCCTCGACTTACAACAGTTCATTTAGTGACTGTTCAAAATTACAACGGCACTGAAAAAAGTGACTTATGACCATTTTTCACACTTATCACCGGTGCAGTATCCCCATGGTCTTGTGATCAAAAATCAGATGCTTAGCAACTGACTCATGGTGCATGATGGGTGCAGTGGCCTGGAGTAACGTGATCCTCTTTTGTGACTTTCTTAACAAGCAAAGTCAATCGGGAAGCCAGATTCGCTGAACAATTGTGTCACTAGCTTAATAACCGCAGTGATCCACTTAACAACGCTGGTACCAATGGTCATAAGATGGGGTAAAATTCACTTAACATATGTTTCACTTGGCAACCAAAATTTGGGGCTCAATTCTGGTTGTAAGTCAAGGACTATTTGTATTGAAGTCACCGATCTTCAGGTTCTTTGGGGTCCCTGCCACTCTGAAAGCAATTGGGAGATTTCCGCAACCCAAGATCCTCTGAGCTTGCAGGTATTTCACTGACTTAGCTCTCTCTGCACCTAACATCAAAAACATCATCAAAAAAGCACAATAAAGAATGTTCTTACTGCACCAACTCCAAAAGCTCAGACTGCCCAAGGAACTGCTGATATAGTTTTACAAATGAATTATTGAGTCTGTCATTTGCACCTCTATAAGTATGTGGTTTGGCACAGCAACCAAACAAGACAGACACAGACTTCAATGGATAGTTAGGACTGCAGAAAAAACAATTGCAACCAGCCTGCCTTCCATTGAGGACCTGTATGCCGCATGAGCCAGAAAGAGGGCTGTGAAAATATCTACAGACCCCTCACATCCTGGACATAAATCCTTCAAGATGATGGGCATTGCACACCAAAACAACCGGACACAAAAACAGTGCCCCCCCCCCAAGGCCATCACTCTGCTAAACAACTAATTCCCACAATACCTTAGGATGTCAAATCACCTAGTAGGGCTGTGTTACCTATTATCCTTCTCATTTTTTCATCTTTCCTATTACCTGTTTCCTTAGTTCCATAGGACTATAACTTTGTTGTTTGCATCTCATGGTTTATGTTGTTTGCCTTTATTTAGCATCCTATGACTGTCACCGAGTGTTGTAGCTTATGATTTACAATGATTGTATCTTATGATGATGATCATGATTTATCACTTGTTGCTTTTATGTATGGACTGGAGACAAAGTCTTTGTGTGTCCAATCACGCTTGGCCAATAAAAAATTCCATTCAAAATGGATTCTTTGAGTAGGAGCACCAGCAAGTTCTCTAGCATCTAGAAACGAAACAGGAAGCAGTCACAGGCTGGCTCAGGAGCTGGAAGAGAACCAACTTTTTCAAAAGGGAACTGTTTTTTCTCTGAAGATGTTTTGCTTCTCATCCAAGACCCTTCTTCAGTTGACAAACGAAATGTCTCCAAAGAAAAACCAGAAAGTCCAGTTGCCTCTTGAAAAAAACACCTTTCCAAGAAGCTTCTTGGATGAGAAGCGAAACGTTTTCAGAAAGAAAGAAAGAAAGAAAGAAAGAAAGAAAGAAAGAAAGAAAGAAAGAAAGAAAGAAAGAAAGAAAGAAAGAAAGAAAGAAAGAAAGAAAGAAAGAAAGAAGGAAAGAAATTCCACTTGCCTCTTGAAAAACCTACTTTAGGTTTAGGTTTAGGTTTAGGTTTATTAAATTTGTATACTGCCCTTCTCTCGAAGGACTCAGGGCGGTGAACAGCCAAGATTAAAATACGTACTGTGGATGGTAGGAAATATAATAAGGCAAGGAAAGGTTACATGGGTAAGCAAAAGACATGACTTATGTATTTACTAATTTATCGTTAAAGACTATTATATATATATATACACTAAGAATGATATGAGAACACAATTCTTTATACCATGTAACTGGTTTGCAAAGATTATCTATATATGTACAATATGTAAATTGTATTTATTTCTTTTTCCATATTATGTAACCGGATGGACAAAAATTGTATTATTATAATTTCTTAATAATAAAACATTAAAAAAAAATAAAAAAAAATACATACAATATAAAAATTAAAATAAATTAAAACAGAATTAAATCAAATTGGCTTCCCAAAATTTAAAACCCTTTGCCCATAAAATAACCCATTAAAATTTTAAGCCAGCCCGGCTTGCTGAAATAGGAAGGTCTTCAAAGCTCGACGGAAAGTACGGAGGTCCAAGATCAGTCGTATTCCTGGGGGTAGCTCGTTCCAGAGGGCGGGTGCCCCCACAGAGAAGGCTCTCCCCCTGGGGGTCGTCAGTCGACATTGCTTGGCCGACGGCACCCTGAAGAGACCCTCTCTGTGGGAGCGGATTGACCGGTAGGAGGTTATCGGTGGCAGAAGATGGTCTCGTAAATACCCGGGCCCTAAGCCATGGAGCGCTTTAAAGATGAGAACCAATACCTTGAAGCGCACCCGGAAGACCACTGGGAGCCAGTGCAGCTCGCGCAGGAGAGGTTTGGGACAACCATGACCTGGAGGATTGAGAATCTCCATAGACATTTAACCAACCTGAAGATTTTAACCAAGGAGCCGAGTAGGGAAGGGGTTCGTAAGCCTTGCAGGTTCGTCTGGGCTGTGCAATTGCGCAGGAATTGCTAAGGAAAGAATCCAGCGGAGCGGACCCAAACCGAGTCCCGCTTCGCCATTCCGCTCTCCTGCGTCTCCTGGCCCCCCATCCCAACCATCGTTGCCTGTTGATGTTTCCAGAATAAAAACAGCAGCAACAGCAGCGTCCACCCGTCCCACTCCCCACCTTCCACCAGCCCTATGGTAAATCTGCAGGCAATGGCTGTCCATCTTAAACCAGCTGCTTGCCAAAGGAAAAAGCAAAGGAACGGGGGCAAACCTTGAATGGGGGTCCAAGCTCCACGCTTCCCCTCCTCCAATTTGGAAGAAGGATCTTGACGAGGCTCCTCGCAGCCAATGAAGGCGCCGCCGGGGCTTCCTAGCAGGGGATACTCAGCCTCCCACGCGGGGCTCCCTGTCTTGCGAGGACCGCCGCCGCTGCAGCCTTGATTCCAGGTCCCTCTAAGGATTCGACTCCTGCAAGATGGTTCCCTGGGCAAACGTTCTCTCGTGCATTTGCAGCCGGAAGGAGCCGAGGAAGTTGTTTGCGAAGTCGCGCCACCTAGCGGATCCTGCAGGCGATGCCCGAAGGAGGGACCGGTGAAGTGGGTGGGTTGGAGGAAGGAAAGCTGCAGATGTTGAGGGATGACAGGAGGCGAGAGGTGGGACAGCCGTTTCTATCAGAATAGAGCTGGGAGGGACCTTGGAAGTCTTCTGGTGACTAATCCAACCCCTTGCTCAAGCAGGAGAGCCTAATCCATTTTCAGACAGATGGCTACCTAGTCTTTTCTTAAAAACCTCAGGTGATAAACATCTTCATGTATGCTCTGTTTTATCTCGGCTGTTCACCGCCCTGAGTCCTGCTGGAGAAGGGCGGTATACAAATCAAATCAAATAAAAATAAATGAAATAAATAAATAAAAACAAGGAAGTCCAGATCCAAAGCTGCTTTTTCAAGAGGCAACTGGACTTTCTGGTTTTTCTTGGAAGACTTTTCGCTTGTCATCCAAGAAGCTTCTTCAGCTCTGACTTCAAGAAACGTCTTCCAAGAAGAACCAGAAAGTCCAGTTGCCTCTTGAAAAAGGCACCTTTGGGACAACCATGACCTGGAGGACTGAGAATCTCCGTAGACCTCCAGTGATGAAGCACCTACAACCTCTGAAGGCAACTTCTGAAGATGCTCAAGGGGTACCTTAAGCAGATTTTCTGGTCCACTGGGGATTTTTGGAAATATCTCCCACTCTCCCCCATCTCCTTTAAAGAAAACCCAGTCCAGTGGCAAGATAAAAGTTTGATGAGAGGAGCTCTTTTATTTGGAAAGCTGATTCTGGGATAAAACAGGAAATGTTTTATAAAACTCATCAACATATCTGTTCTCTTTCTTTTTCCAGCAGGAAAAAAATAAGGAAAAGGGAGGCAGGAGACATTTGGGGAATGGGCAGCTACATTGGAAGAAGGAGAAAAGTAAAGCTAAAACTGGGGATGAGGGTAGGATGGGAGAAAGAGGGGAGAAGAGAAAAAAACTCTCAGTTTTAAGGAAAATAAGTTACATTTCAGCAAACTGGCATAGCTAGGATAAGTCCCCTACCTTCAAGCTGAATTAGGATAAAATATAACATTAGGGTAATGTTTGATGAGATTCATAGTCGAGTCTGCAATCTTTTTTTACATGACACCGAATCTTTTATTTCTGAATGGGTTGCTTTTCTTAACAGTTATCAAGAAATTCCCCACCCCAGTTCACAGAGAATTAGTTCCCTTCCCATTATTGGATATGTAGGATATATGATTAAAAAGACAGTTGTCACCCCTGACACATCCCACTATACATACACTCAGAAACTCAATGTTCATTGAATATAATTAGATAGGTGGTCTAGATTCCAGATACTACACAGATGAAAATTGTTTTGTTTCCAAGACTGACTTGTACAGTAGTGATTTCAGGAACTTTTCTGTAATTTATTTATTTATTTATTTATTTATTTATTATTTATTTATTTATTTATTATATTTCTATACTGCCTTTCTCCCGTAGGACTCAAGGCAGTGTACAGTCAAGAAAAATATAGATACACAAACATCATAAAATTGCTAATTAAAATTATTATTATAACATAGTTTGGCCCAATTAAATAGAACCTAAAATTAGATAACATTTTAAAAACATTCACATGTTCATATGTTTAGCCCCGCTTGTTGGAACATCAGGGTTTTGAGGGCACGGCGGAAAGCACGGAGATCAGGGATATTTCGTATCTCAGGGGGCAGTTCATTCCAAAGGGTTGGAGCCCTCATATAGAAGGCCCTCCCCCTGGGAGTCGCCAATCAGCATAATTTGACTGACGGTACCCTGAGTAGTCCCTCCCTGTGAGAACGAACTGGTCGGTGGGAGGCTATTGGTGGCAAAAGACGGTCTCGTAGGTACCCAGGTCCTAAGCCATGGAGCGCTTTAAAGGTGATAACTGACACCTTGAATCGCACCCGGTAGACCACCAGGAGCCAGTGCAGCTCGCGTAGGAGAGGTGTTACATGGGCGTAATGAGCTGCGCCCATAATCACCCGCGCGGCTACATTCTGGACCAGTTGGAGCCTCCAGGTGCTTTTCAAGGGGAGCCCCATGTAGAGAGCATTACAGTAGTCCATACGGGAGGTAACTAGGGCATGAGTGACCGTGCGCAAGGCGTCCCAATCCAGAAAGGGACGCAACTGGCGGATCAGGCGAACCTGATAAAAGGCACCCCTGGCCATGGCCGTCAAATGATCTTTTAAAGATAGCCGTGAATCCAGGAGGACACCCAAGTTGCGGGCCCTCTCTGTGGGGAGCAAGATCTCATCCCCAATTGTCAGTGATGGTACCAGCTGACTATACCGGGACGCCGGAAGCCACAGCCATTCGGTCTTGGAGGGGTTGAATCTGAGCTTGTTTCTCCCCATCCAGATCCGCATGGCCTCCAGGCAATGGGACATCACAGAAAGGGCATCATTGGGGTGGTCTGGAGTGGAGATGTATAGCTGTGTGTCATCAACATACTGATGAACACTCACCCCGAAACCATGGATGATCTCACCTAGTGGTTTTACATAAATGTTGAACAGAAGGGGTGAGAGGACTGATCCTTACGGCACCCCACAAATAAGGTTTAATCTTTAAACCTGTCCAGCCATTTTATATTTTGTCTTCCCCTTCACCTCCTTTTTTTAGTCATGCCAGGTAGGGATTAGTCTGTTATTCATTCATGTAACATTTTGGCCTGCCTCAGAACTGGAGTCCCTAAGGTTTTCCACATCCAGTGCCTGTAAACCAGGGGTTCCCAATCCCTGGGCCATGGCCCATTATTGGGCTATGAGCTGCTCGGAACTGGGTGGAAGCGACAGATGAGCGCACGTGCGTTCACATCCCTACATGTGCGAGCAGCATGTGAGCATGCACGTTTGTCAGCTGCTCGTGTGAAACCATCCCCTCTCCCCGACCTCCCTGCTGGTCCACAAAGCCAGAAAGGTTGGGGAAACTCAGCTGTAAACAATTCCTCCCCAAATGGAACTTTTAATTGGCACTAAAACAACCCATAGTAATGCATCTCCGTACACTCCAAGCCAAGCCCGTGTATTGTTCCGCCCTCCTGTGGATCCTTTTCTGTGAAATAAAGAAACTCAATCTTCTTGCACCTTTGGCACTAAATGCATTTATGTGGTTTCTCCACCACGTGAGCTCTTTTATGGAAAATAAGGTACCGTATTTTTCAGAGTATAAGACGCTCTGGACTATAAGATGCACCTACCTTTTTTGGGGAGGAAAACAAGAAAAAAAAATCTGCCTCTGCCTCCCAGCAATTTGCCTCCTTGCAGCAAACAGCCCACTTCAATTTCGGCTTCAGCATAGCCTGATTAGCATAAGCAGTTGATTGTCGATTGGATCAGCCTCCCGAGGATCAGCTGTTTCAGGCTGCAGGGATTGCCATAGCCTATTGCTGCCTTCGTTTTCAGCCTCCGCACGCCCCATTTTCTGCCCGTTCCAGGCTGCGGGGATCAGAATGGGCAATAGGCAATGGCAATCCCTGCAGCCTGAAACAGCTGATGGTTGGGAGGCCAATCCAACCACAATCAGCTGCTTGTGCTAATCAGGCTGTGCTGAAACTGAAACGGACTGTTTGCTGCAATGACGCACCCAAATTTTCACCCTCTTTTGGGGGGGGGGTATGTCTTATACTCTGAAAAATACGGTAATTGATCATCCTGAAGATATTCCCAGGATCCGTTCATTTATGGGGATTCTCCCAAATGGGTTGTTTTCTTAGGAGCATGGTTACTTGTACTTGCTCTTTCCACATGCTGTTCGTTTACCTCCTTTTTCCCTTATGATGAACCTTTTATGAGATGTATGGTGACCGATCATAGTGATGTCTTTGCACACTCAGTGTATTTAAATGGTTCTCCGCTATGTGGATCTTTTTATGGGAAGTAAGGTTGCTGTACCACCTAAAACTTTTTCCACAGTTCATGCATTTGTATGGTTTCTCCCCTGTGTGGATCCTTATATGGGATGTAAGGTTACTGTTCTTGCGAAAGCTTTTTCCACAGTTCATGCATTTGTATGGTTTCTCCCCTGTGTGGATCCTTTTATGAGCATTCAGATTACTGCTCTTACTGAAACTTTTCCCACACTCCATGCATTTATATGATTTTTCTCTGGCATGGGTGCTTTGATGTAAAGTGAGAGCACAGCCCTGGCTATAATTTTTTCCTTGCTTTTTGTGTCCATATTGTTCCTTTTTGGTGAGGGTTTCACAGCATCCACAGAAATTGGACATATTCCTGAATACGTTTCCACACCTTATACAATTTTTCTTTTTCTGATGATCTTGGGGCAAGAAGACATGGATTTCTGCACATTGCAATGTTGATTTTTCCACCCTGTTGTTGAATTGGTTTTCCGTAGGCCTTTTTGGTTCCCATGGATTTTTGAAGAATCTTTCTTTAATTTTATTCTTGACTGTTTGCAATTTTTCCGCTGCTGGCTTCTTATCATTCTCAAAGTTCTGCTCATCACCTGCTTGAAAAAAAGAAAAGAAAAAGGCTGAGATGATTTAGGCAAAAAGTGACGGTGCTAAGAAGGATCAAGCTGCATTAGTTGCACATTTTATATGAATATTATCACACTTTCCCTTTTTGTTTTCATTTCTTTTGGGCCATATGGAATTTTTCTCGACTTCTGGTACTTTTTTAATGTGCTGTTGGAAACCTCTGTCATGTGGCTAGGGTAACCTATAGGTTGACACCAAAGCAGTTGGTGGACCATGACCTACTATACAAGTTTTCATTTTTTTGAAACCTTTCGGCCACAGTTTAAAGTGACCTTTAAAATGAAAGCAGCAGCTACATCTATTAGATCTTGGATCAAATAGGTAGTAGGTTATACCTCCTAGTCACGCTGAGAGGAGATACCAATTGTTAGGAATTCCATCTCTCCTGCTAACATAGTGGGTCTCTCTAGGCTACAAAAACCCATCATTATAGTCAGAGAAACAGAAAGACAAAAGCTGCTCTTGTAACAACCTGCAAAATTGGATAGCCAGGACTGAAAATTGACCAGGAGGATACTCTGCTCTTTATAGAGACAGCATAAAATTTTTAGCCCTAGTACCAGAGCAAATGGAGGAATAATGCAGTTAAGGAAGTTTTACATCACTGTAGAAAAAGAACAGAAAGAAAAGAAATAAATTACTTCTGCCTAAATAATATAGCAAAAGCACTTAGACTTATATACCGCTTCACAATGCTTTACAGCCCTCTCTAAGTCAGCATATTGAGCCCCCAACAATTTGGGTCCTCAATTTACCAACCTTGGAAGGATGGAAGGCTGAGTCAACCTTGAGCTGATCAGGATTGAACTCCTGGCAGTTGGCAGAATTAGCTTGCGATACTGCATTCTAACCACTGTACCACCACAGCTCCTATACATTTCCCATTTGGACCCAGAGTAAAAAGGAACCCTTACATATGGAGGCCACAATCTTAGCATTTTCCAGCATGACTTCTGTGTACATAGTTTTTTGGTCAAAATCCAGCAGAGCCCATTCCTCCCCAGAGAAATTAATCGCTATATCCTCAAAAGAAACAGGATCCTGGAGAGGGAAGAAAATATTGCTATTAATATACAGTTCTAGGAACTATTCACAAATTCTGTTTTAATGAAGAAATCCTCCAGATCAGTTTTTATATAAGGAATACAAGTATCTTCCCTAGAGACATCTGCCACCAAAATTGATCAGAGTTCAAATCTGATTGATGACATAGCTGGGACAATATTTTATTAATTGAAGTTATCCTGCAGGCACAGACTCTGGATGAACTATTGAATAAATTTATTTATTTATTTATTTATTTTATTACATTTCTATACCGCCCTTCTCCCGAAGGACTCAGGGCGGTGAACAACCACAAGATAAAACACATAAATACAAAAATTTAAAATAAATTAAAAACGAATTAAATAATTTGGCTGAATTTAAAATACCCCATAATTTAAAAACAAATTAAAATTTAAAAAGGGGAGAAGATTTAGGCCAGGCCAGCTTGATGAAATAAAAAAGTCTTAGAATAAAGGCGCAAGTCTTTCCTGGAAGATGGTTTAATCAACATTTTTTTACAGTGCTATGTGACATTTTAAACCAAACTTGGCAGCTTTAAGACTTGTGGACTTCAACTCTCAGAATTGAAGTTGAAATCCGCAAGTCTTAAAGCTGCTAAGTTTGAAGACCTCTGTTTTAAACAGTGGCTTATGTTAGTCCTCAGAGATCAATTCGACACATTATTAAAGACTTATTAAAGGCTTACATGAAAATGTTGGGAGTTGTCCTTGAATGAATAACACATGATCGTATTAATAGGCAAACGGATGGGAAGCTGACCTAAAGCATGAGCTAAAAAACTGACTAGAATCTGACCTCACAGTGAGGAAAGTGGCTCTGGAAAAGCTCTTTGATTAAATCACATTTTGACTTTGGAAAGTAGAATCTTCTCCCTACCTCAGCTGGAGGTAAAACTGCTGTTTCTACTGCACCGCAAAGAAGAGATGTTTCCACAGGTAACAACAGTGCTGTCCTATTCTCTAAGAGTGAAACAAAAGGTGTAAAAAATACTTGTTTTTAAAACATCCTTTGTGCATTCTAGAGCAACACTATACACAAAGGCCATTCTGTCACACAATGGGCGATTAAGGCAGTTTAGCCAGAGAAATTCCATTTTGATGAAATCTCCATTGTTTTCAGTTGTGCCCCTTCAGGCCCCTTGTGCTCTGCCCTACGTACTTCTGGAAGGCTTGTATGGTTGCCATTATCAAAGAACTGTGAGAAGCAGCAGACTCAAAACTAACTCCCCTTACCTGCTGCAGGTAAATTAGCCAGGATGTTTTGCATACTAAGCTGCCAGCCTTTTTGGTTAAAGCAGGGGTATCAAACTGATTTCATTGAGGGCCACATCATGGTTGTGTTTGACTTCAGGGGGCGTGGCCAGGGTGGGTGTGGCCAGCTCGAGGTCACTTGTGTCGGGGGCACCTTGGGTGGCCTAGTACTAAGGTAGGACTTCCCTCAGACCCTCCTTCCATCTCATAATTTCTTTCCTTCCTTCCTTCCTTCCTTCCTTCCTTCCTTTTCTTCTTTTTCCTTCCCTCTTCATTCTTTTCCCTTCCTTGCTCTCTTCCCATCTTTCCTTTGTCTTTCCTCTTTCCCATTCTCCTTTCTTGTCCCTTCTTGGATATTCAAATGCAAAAGGGGAAACATTTCTCCTTTTGTTTTGTTTTTAGTTTGTTTTGCTAGCCCTCTGCCAGTGAAAATGGAGCTCGGGGGGGGGCACCCACTCCTGGGCCCCGTTTTCGGCCGCGATGACCTCCTGTAACCCTCTGCCAGTGAAAATGGAGCTTGGGGAGGGCGTACCCACCCCTGGGCCCCGTTTTCAGCTGCGATGACCTCCTGTAACCCTCTGCCAGTGAAAATGGAGCTCGGGGGGGGCGCACCCACCCCTGGACCCCGTTTTCGGCCGCAATGACCTCCTGCAGCCCTCTGCCAGTGAAAATGGAGCTCGGGGGGGGGCGCACCCACCCCTGGGCCCCGTTTTCAGCTGCGATGACCTCCTGTAACCCTCTGCCAGTGAAAATGGAGCTCGGGGGGGCGCACCCACCCCTGGACCCCGTTTTCGGCCGCGATGACCTCCTGTAACCCTCTGCCAGTGAAAATGGAGCTCGGGGGGGGGCGCACCCACCCCTGGGCCCCGTTTTCAGCTGCGATGACCTCCTGTAACCCTCTGCCAGTGAAAATGGAGCTTGGGGGGGGGGCGCACCCACCCCTGGACCCCGTTTTCGGCCGCGATGACCTCCTGCAGCCCTCTGCCAGTAAAAACAGAGTCTGGGGGGCACGCACAGCTGTCTCAAGTTCTGTTTTCGCTGGCAGAGGCACCGTGGGCTGGTGTTTTGAGGTTCCCAGGGCAGCCCCACAGGCCAGATCTAAGCACTCCACAGGCCGGATCTGGCCCATGGACCTTGAGTTTGACATCCCTGGATTAGAGACAGAAAGGCTACAGCACTATAGTAATGAAGATGTCAGCACTGAAACGAATGTAGTTTGAAGCATGAGCTCCATTTTCACTGGCAGGTAAATTTTCACCTGACAGAAGACACCTTCTGAAAGGGCAATCCTACACAGGCAGCCTTTGAAATCCGACCACAATGGTGCCCCAAATTGCTGTTGCTAAGTGAGACATTTGTTAATTTGCCCCATTTTATGACCTTTCTTGCCATAGTTGTTATGTGAATCACTGCAGGTGTTAAGTTAGTAATATGGTTGTTAAGTAAATCTGGTGCCCCCCTTGACTTTGCTTGTCAGAAGGTCGCAAAAGGTGATCACATGATCCCGGGACACTGCAATTGTCATAAATATGAGCCAGTTGCCAAGTGTCCGAATTTTGATTACGTGACCGTGGGGAAGGTACAATGGTCATAAGTGTGAACAATGGTCCTAAGTCACTTTTTGCAACGCTGTGGCAACTTCGGTCAATAAATCAACTGTTGTAACTTGAAGATTACCTGCACTAGGGATGTGAATAATTTACTGCCTATTGTCGGCTAACAATCATATGTCTTTGTTTTTACAAAGCAGAGACTCTGCTAATTTGTATAATTGGGGCTCTCAATTTGTGACTTGGATCCCAAGAACGAGCCTCTGTGTGCCTGTAGAGAATGAACAAGCTGTAATTACCTGCCTTGTTCGATAATTGGCTCCTTCGCACCAGGCAATTAAAACTCGGACCACATGTTTTCTGAATAGTTTTTATCCCCGAGCTATAATTGCACTCAACAATGAACTAAAGGGCCACCATCAGTGAGCTGTTGGACAGTATTACTTGGTCTGTTGTGTGGATGTTTGGGTGGTTTAGGGGTGGAGAATTGGAGTGGGTGGGAGTGTGTTTGGGGATTGTTATGTGTGTTGAACCTGGTTGGGTGTTAAGTGAATTTCGTTGTATGGGTATACTGTGTACAATGACAATAAAGTTATTTATTTATAATGATCCCAGCATTTGACTGGGCCATTCCACAGTTTGGCCAACAGGGCGGCGCTACTCCTTTACCTGAAGAAGTACTTAGAGGTGGGTCTTTCTGGGAGAGACCTCTAAAGGCCAGCTTCTGAGAGGAATAGGACACACTGCCCTTTGCTTTGGGATATTCAACAGCCATCTCCACGAAGGGTTCATGAACCTGAAGGGAAAACATTATATTACTGTCTCCAAATCCACACTGCTCCCGGGAAGAACTTGGATTTCCATATTTTATAGCAGAGCAGAGGTGGTATTCAGCCGGTTCAGACCAGTTCACCTGAACCGGAAGCGGAAATCACAGATGGGCCTGCCCACCCACCTTGGCGCTATACCGTCCTATTTAGGCACATTTTGAAGCCATGCACATATGTGCAAGCTACACGCGGAAGCACAACGCATGTGTGGAAGGCCCCGTGCACGCTCACATTTGCAAACCGGTAGGGAAAGTAAGTGAATACCACCCCTGTAGGAGAGTAATAGTATAATCTGCTTAGTGAGGAAATGAAATATTTTCCTGATTTTCTTAGCTCTAGAAGAACAGAACAGAACAGAACAGAACAGAACAATTTGTTATTGGCCAAGTGTGATTGGACAAACAAGGAATTTTTTTCTGGTGCACTAAGCTCACAGTGTACATATAAAGAGGAATTAATAGTTCATAGCAGGGTGGATTTGATTTAAATCGAGTTGATTTAAATCGAGTTGATTTAAATCATGATTTAAATCACTAGTAAAAAGGCAATTTTTTTAGAGCAACTGTCATCTCTGCTACTCCTTTGACCCACTGTTGACTTACCGATCATCCCAGTGTTGCAGAATATACAGCCTCCTGCTACATAACTAAGCTCCATTTCATGCTGAATAAACTAAATTATTTATGTATCTTAAATAGAAAACTATCTTACAATAGATTTTTACCCCAAAAGTTTTTTATTAAAATAAATTAGATAAAAATAAAAAAATCCAATTTAAATCAAAAAAATCCAATTTAAATCAAAAAATCTGATTTTTTTGATTTTTTAAAAAAAATCATTGATTTTTATCCACCCTGGTTCATAGTTCATAAATCATGGTTACAATCATCAATCATAAGTTACAAACAACAATTGATAAATCTTAAGAAACCAATAGAAGATATTAGGAGAGATGAGAAGTTGAGAAAAGATGGGAAGTGAGACTGTGCTGTGGGAATTAAATGTTCAGCAGAGTGATGGCACCGGTTGGGGTGGGGAATTATCTTTACATCTGGTTGTTTTGGCAGGCAATGCTTTATAGCAGCATTCTCTATAACCATGATGGTGAACCTATGGTGGCACGCAGAGCCCTCTCTGCGGGCACGTGAGCCATTGCCCCAGTTCAGCTCCGCCACGCATACATGTGTGTCTCCCGCCAGCCAACTGGTTTTCAGTGCCACACATGCATGGCAGGCAGGGTGCATGCAGGAGACGTGCGCGCATACGTGTGTGTGGGGGGGTCACATGAGCATGCATGGGGTGGGGCACACATGGGGTCACATGCACATGCACGGGGGTTCAGGGCGCAGGGGGAGTGTCACACACGCATTGCATTATGGGTCCGTGCGCATGTATGTGCTTTCAGCACTCAGTGCTGAAAAAGTTAGCCATCACTGGTCTATAAGGTAAAGGTAAAGGTTCCTCTCACTGTGCTAGTCGTTCCCAACTCTAGGGGGCAGTGCTCATCTTCATTTCAAAGCAGAGCCAGCGCTGTCCGAAAATGTCTCCGTGGTCATGTGGCCAGCATGACTCAACGCCAAAGGCACACGAAACGCTGTTACCTTCCTACCAAAGGTGGTCCCTATTTTTCTACTTGCATTTTTTACGTGTTTTCGAACTGCTAGGTTGGCAGAAGCTGGGACAAGTAATGGGAGCTCACCTTGTTATGTGGCACTAGGGATTTGAACTGCCGACCTTTCAATCGACCTCAGCGTCTTAGCCACTGAGCCACCATGTCCCCCAGTATTCTCTATAGGGAAGCCTTTAAGAATTTCATACCACTGGTTTGTGCTGTAACCACCTTGAATTACCTGGTGATATTCTCTCACCTGCATCTCTCCCTGCTTCTTCTCCTCTGCCTGGCTCAGGAGGAAACCTTCTGCGAGGGCCACTGCCTGGGAGCTGGTTTCTGCTCCGCACTCTCTCACCCAGTGCTCCATTTCTGGGGGCAGGATGGCCAGGAACTGCTCCAGGATCACCAGGTCCAACATCTGAGCTTTCGTGTGCTTCTCTGGCTTCAGCCATCGATGGTAAAGGCGATGAAGTTGGCTGCAAAGCTCTCGGGGTGCCTCAACCTCCTTACAGAAGAACTTGAAAGGGTGATGCTGTTCAATACAACTGATGGTTTCTTCTTCCAAGATGTTCCGCCTGGACTTTTCCCAGAATTTTCCACGCGTCCCAGCCAGAATTATAGGGGAGAGTTTTTCTTTTCTTTCCTCTGCTGTGTACCACGAGTTTATTCTTTCTCTGGGCTGAAATGCTGTTCCAAACAAATCCAGAGATTTCCCTATGTCTGCAAAGCAACTCCCTTTTATAGGAGGAGAAAAGGAAAAACAGCCCCCTTGAGCCATCTTTGGAGAAATCTGGCTTTTATCCTGAACCAATTAAAATCCTTGCTCAGTATGAAAGATGTTTTCAACTGCCAGGCTAAAAGGAAAAGGAAATAAACAGTTAAGGCAAATAAAGGAGAATATTTGTAGCTCAGGGTTGAAATGAGGGGTCCTTGGTGCTCTCCGAGCTTGCTTGTTTTCTTGCAGACGTTTCATTACCCAACTAGGTAACATCATCAGTGCTAGTAAAGCATGGGATTTGCTCTCAGTTTATATTCTAGCAGCTTGCCCTGTCAGTGTTGGTGGGGGTGGTCTTAGAGAGGCTTTGGTTGTTGGCTTCTTTGGTAGTTTTTTGATTGGGGTATTGTTTACTTCTTGATCTGATGTTAATCTTGGATTTAATCGATGCTGCTCTGGGTAGTGGAAAGGTGCTTGGGTCTTTTTGTTCCTTTTTTTTGCTGGTTGTTTGTCTATTGTTTCTACTGATGGCTGATTTGACAGAGTGCCAGGCTTCTAGAAATTCCCTGGCATTTTTGGACGTGCCTTGGTGTGTGTGTGTGTGTGTGTGTGTGTGTGTGTGTGTGTGTGTGTATACACACTCATATACATACCGGTACATACATTCATACATACATACATACATACATACAAAGCAGTATCTAAGGGGCTGCCACAAGAAAGAGGGGGTCAATATATTCTCCAAAGCACTTGAAGGCAGGACAAGAAGGAATGGATGGAAACCTAATCAAGGAGGGAAGCAACCTAGAACTAAGGAGAAATTTCCTGACAGTTAGAACAATCAGTGGAACAACTTGCCTCCGGAGGTTGTGAATGGTCCAACACTGGAAGTTTTTAAGAAGACATTGGACAATCATTTGTCTGAAATGGTATAGGGCTTCCTGCCTGAGCAGGGGGTTGGACTAGAAGTCCTCCAAGGTCCCTTCCAACAAATATCAACCTGCAGTCAGTAGACATGATGAACATTCTTTAATTTCACAACATATGGACAGACTTAATCATAGTTTCAATGGGGAAAATGTGACAATCCTAGACCAATCCAAATCCCAAAACACCAGGGAATTTCTAGAAGCCTGGCAGTCTGACAAATCAGCCATCAGTTAACAACATCTATCGAGTATGCAAAAGAGACAACCAACCAGCTCAAAAGGGAACACAAAGACCTCAGCACCTCTCCACTACCTAGATCAGCATAGATCAACTCCAACTTCTTCTGTCAAAGAAGCCAACAGCAAACAGGCCAACCAAAGAACCTCCAAGACACACACCCCAACACTGAGAGGAGAAGCCACTCAAATATAAACTGAGAGCAAACTTACTAGCACTGCTGATGTTACCTAATTTGAAACATCTGCAAGAAAACAAGCAAGCTCAGAGATCACCAAGGACCCTCTCAGGTAAGGAAAACCCAGAAAATATTGTCCAAGGAATTGAAGAACAAACCCTTATATTCAGACATGTTTATTCCCTTGGAAATTTGTTGTAAAAGATTATGTGGATAAAATTACAATTGCACACTTTTTGAGAGGAGACACCGAAGGATATGAGCGAAGTAGACATTTTAGCAGCAGAGGAAATTTTGAATGCCATGGATCTTCTTGGATGGTGCTTCTCACACCAACTTCTGGTTTGCACGGAATTTTTCCTGCAGCCCAGAACAAATGGCCTTGAAAATAAATTGCATTCCCATTCCAAAAACCTCATTTCTTGGTTGAGAAGAATAGAGGGCCCATACTCGGGGGAATGTTCTGTCTGCAGGACTGGTTCTCCAGCAATGAACCCTCCTAAGATTAGAAATGAGCTTAAATGGACTCCAGAGGATGGTAGAGGACAGGAAGACCTGGAGGAACATTGCCCATGGGGTCGCGATGGGTCGGACATGACTTCGCAACTAACGACAACAAAGATTAGCAAAAAAGCTGCAGGGGAAGCAATCCCAGATTGATTCAGAGACCGAAGAGAGCATGCCTGACACTTTTTCCCTGGCCATCTTTGCTACTACTGCTGATGACAACTGCAGGAAAAGGGCCAAGATAACCCAGGAAGGACTTCCAATCCCCCATCTGCACTAAATTGAGGGCGATGACTTCAACCTCTAAGAGAAATTCCTGCTAAAGAAAGTTACCCCCAAAGTGAACGTTTATCTTGCCTGATGTGACCAGAGGATGAAACAGATCGGTCCAGGCTTCCTCTCCCTCCACCTTCAGATTTCAAAACAGGGCCAGGCTTCAGCTTCCTCACAGTCAACACAAGCCTGACTGTTGCTTGCTGGCAAGAACAGATGCAGATTTGCACATGGGTCTCCTTTCTTGCAAGGGCTCCCCTCGCCCTCTTTGTGTGCTGGCATGTAGGAGGGGAACACCCCCAAGACAGTGCCAGGACCAGTAGGACATAATCAACTCAGAAAGGCAAAGGCCACAGGCATAGGAAAATGACCTTCCCAAAACAGAATACATGAACATCGGGGCCATTTAGGAACAAAAGAGGACCGAGGGAAATGGCACACACAAAAGACTCAGGACTTTTTTTTTTAAATTTGATTTATATGTTACCCTTCTCCGGAGACTCAGGGCGGCTTACAATGCGTTAAGCAATAGCCTTCATACTTTTGTATATTTATACAAAGTCAGCCTATTGCCCCCACAAAGTGGGTCCTCAATTTATTTTTATTTTATTTTATTTATTTTATTTTGAATTTGTGTACCGCCCTTCTCCCTGAGGACTCAGGGCGGTGAACAGCCAAGTAAAAACATCAAATACAAATATTAAAATACAATTAAAAATATATATAAATTTGGCCCCATTAATTAAAAACGATAAACAAAACACTTAAAAAATTAGGCCAGCCTGGCTTGCTGGAAAAGGAAGGTTTTAAGGGCACGGCGGAAGGCACCGAGGTCTGGGATTCTCCTTATCTCTGGGGGCAACTGATTCCAGAGGGTGGGAGCCCCCACAGAGAAGGCCCTCCCCCTGGGGGTCACCAGCCTGCACTGTTTGGCTGATGGCACCCCGAGGAGGCCCTCTCTGTGGGAGCGCACGGGTCGGTGGGAGGTCGTCTGTGGCAGCAGGCGGTCTCGAAGATAGCTAGGCCCTATGCCATGGAGCGCTTTAAAGGTGATAACCAACACCTTGAAGCGCACCGGGAAGACCACCGGGAGCCAGTGCAGCTCACGCAGGAGCAGTGTTACATGGGAGCGCCATGCTGCTCCCGTCACTACCCGCGCTGCTGCGTTCTGGACCAGCTGGAGTCTCCAGGTGCTCCTCAAGGGGAGCCCCATGTAGAGAGCGTTGCAGTAGTCAAGGCGAGAGGTGACGAGGGCATGAGTGACTGTGCACAGGGAATCCCGATCAAGAAAGGGCCGCAACTGGCGGATCAGGCGAAAGGATGGAAGGCTGAGTCAACCTTGAGCCTGGCAAGATTCCAATTTACTAACTGCAGACAGCTGGAGTTAAATTACAATGCATTAGTCATGCCAGGAAAGGAACTATCAAGACAGCAGAAACGAGGAGAGCAAAACAAAAGGAATGGCAGAGGATTAGCAAAAGGAAAAGATTTAATCAATAGCCCAAGCCATCTGATAAGAGTCAAGGGGGGGGTAAGGGCTTACCTGATAACAACATGATCAGTTTAAGGCTAGGAGCAAATAATAAGAACAGAAGGGAACAAAAAAACAGGAGACCAAATAACCCAGACACCACCCAGTGTCAAGTGGGGAAAAACTAGAATAAGAAAACACAGGGCAATCCATGAACACAGACACAAAGGGAAGACCCACAAAAGAAACAAAGAATTTCCTTTGTACAGAAAAGTAGAAGAATGCATGCTTACCTTGTAACGATGTCAGCTCACCCAGGAACGCTGGTCCGCGACTTCGCTCGGATCTGACTTCCTGAAAAATAAAGAAAACTTCCTTTCACGCAGCTCGCTCCTCTCGCGGTTTTGCGCGGCGCCGGGAAATTCGAATCCTCGGGGAGGGGAAACCTCTCCTCCCTTCTAACAGGCAGTTTATGGGTTAATGGGAGAGAGTGATTTTTCCTAGCCAGACTGCAAGTGGAGACTGTGGCTGGTTCCCTCCCTTTCAAAATCCTGTTGGAATCCTCTCCTGAAAAGAAAAAAAAAAATCCTGCTTCCAAGCGAGATCTCTGGGTATTATAATGCAAGGATCCACTAGATGGCGACATCTGCAAATACCTTGATTCACAGCTCCATCCAAAGAGGCCGGCAAGCATTATAATTAGAATAGAATAACAGAGTTGGAAGGATCCTTGTTGTAGGTCATCTAGTCCAATCCCCTGCTCAAGCAGGAGACCCTATACCACTGATGGCTAACCTTTTTGCCATTACATGCCAAAAGCAGGGGGAGCACGGGGGGGTCACGCGCATGCGTACCCACCCATAATTCAATGCACCCCACCCCCCATGTATGCACACGCGACCCTCCCCTGCGCTGCCCCCACTTTTGGCACCGTGGCCCCAGTAGGCCCATTTTTCGCCCTCCCCAGACTCCAGAGGTTTTCTTGGAGCCTGGGGAGGACGAAAACGGCCTTCCCCCTCCCTCCCAGAGGCCCTCTGAAGGCCGGAAACGGCATGTTTCCCGACTTCCAGTGGGACCAGAAAGCCCGAAAATCAGGTGGCTGGTGCACTCTTGTGCGCTGGAGCTAAGTTAGGGCAACGCTCGCGTGCCCACAGATATGGCTCTGCGTGCCATCTGTGGCACACGTGCCATAGGTTCACCATCACGGCCCTATACCATTTCTGGCAGATGTCTGTCCAATCTCTTCAAAGCTTCCAGTGATGAAGCACCCACAACTTTTGAAGTCAAGCTATTCCATTGTGTTGAATATTAATGAGGGAGAAGTTGTGACGTACGACTTCCCCCTCATTGGCCCAGGCTCCAAGGCAGGAGAGTGGGCCAATGCGAGTGGCTGAAGCGCTGGGCAGCTCTGGGGGTTTAAAAGGAGCTGCCAACATGGCTGCTGTGCTCTTTAAAACTAAGGAATAAACTATTTTACTGCACCATGCCGCGTCCTGCCTCCTCACTCTGACCCCACATCTTATATGGTTTGTCCACTGTGTGGATCGCTTTATGGCAAGTGAGGGAATTTGAATTAGTGAAGCATTTTCCACTTCTATTTCTCCCCTGTGTTGATATTCCTGTGATTAATGTGAATAAAATAGGAATCATACAGAGTCAGCTACATGAACTCTAAAGGACCCTCTCTATTCACATTATTATAAGATAGAAAAGTGCTTGCTTGGAGATTATATTAAAAATCAGCTAAACCCCATTAAGTGGTAATATATCTTCTGATGAGACCTAGCTGTCACAGAAGGACAGCCATATGGAAAACATCTGAGGGGCCTCACAAAGACAGGCACAGGAAACAGAGTCACTTATTACCTCTTATTACCCAAGGACAGCAGTAAATCTCCCATTAGCAACTACAAGCACTTAAGGAAAAGTTGTGTAGCTAAGATAATCTTATAAACTAAAAATAATGGTTTACTAATGGTTTAGTAATTAGGAAGTGTGTCAATTATCATATAAAAAGTGTATTTAACCATATATGGAAAATGCATGATCTTATGTTAACCATATATGGAAAATGCATGATCTCACCGAATCCTTTGTCTTGGAAACATATATAAACTGTCTATCAGAGCTCTTCTGTTGTTCAAAGATTCAGGTACAAATCTGGCTCTGATCCTTGCGCAATAAACTGACTCTGGCTGACCCAGGAATGTTGTTCAGTCTCAATTTTTCCACAACATGATGATTAAACATACTGCTGGTTCTAAAACTTTTCCCGCATTCCAAACATTGATATGGTTTCTCCCCAGTGTGGACCCTTTTATGGCGAATGAGGGAAGCTGGTGTAGTGAACACCTTTTCACATTCTGCACATTTTTATGGCTTCTCCTTGGTATGAAGCCTTTTATGGAAAGTCAGAGAACTTGAAACTCTGAAACTGTTTCCACACTTATTGCCTTTATATAATTTTTCCCCCGATGTGGATCTTTTTATGGTAAGTGAGGGAACCTGACAGAATGAAGCATTTTCCACATTCCTGACATTCAAATGTTTCTCTCCTGTGTGGATCCTTTTATGGGAAGTAAGGTGTTTTGCAGAACGGAAGCTCTTTCCAGATTGTTGGCGTTGAAATGGTTTTTCACCCGTGTGGCTTTCTTTGTGGGAAAAAAAGGGCCCTCAGAATCATTGTAGCTCTTTCCACACTCCTGGCATTGATATGGTTTCACTCCCATGTGGATTCTTTCATGTACAGTATAATTAGATTTTTGTCTGAAGCTCTGTTCTTGCATTGATATGGTTTCTCCCCGGTATGGATCCTTTTATGGCAAATGAGAGAACTTGACATAGCAAAGCATTCCCAGCACTCTGTGCATTTATACGGCTTCTCCCCAGTGTGGATCCTTTTATGGAAAGTGAGGGAACCTGATGCAGTGAAGCATTTCCCATGTTCCATACACTTAGATGGTTTTTCCCCAGTGTGGATTCTGCAATGGAAAATAAGGCTGGTTGCCAAATGGAAGCTCTTTCCACCTTCCTTGCATTTGTATGGTTTCTCCCCTGCGTGAATTCTTTTATGGTAAGTAAAGTGTCTTGAAGAGCAGAAATTTTCCCCACAGTCTTGGCATGTATAGGGTTTCTCCCCTGCGTGGATCCTTTTATGGGAAATAAGTTGTTTTGCAGAATAGAAGCTCTTTTCATCTGACATTTATGTGATTTCTCCCTTGTGTGGATCTTTTTATGTAGAGTATGATGATGTTTTTGTCTAAAGCTCTTTCCACAGTTCTGGCACTAATATGGTTTCTCCCCAGTGTGGATTCTGTTGTGGCAAGTGAGGTAGCCTCATGCAGCGAAGCATTTCCCACATTCCATACATTTATATGGTTTCTCCCCAGTGTGGATTCTTTTATGGGACGTCAGGCTGGTTGGAAAATGGAAGCTTTCCACATTCCTTGCATTCATATGGTTTTGCCCATGTGTGGATACTTTTATGATAAGTGAGGAATTTTGTGGAATGGAAGCTCTTTCCAGTCTTGGCATTGATACAATTTCCCCCGTGTGGATCTTTTCATGTTCAGTATAATATTTTTGTCTGAAGCTCTTTGCACAATACTTACAGAATAAGAGTTGGAAGGGACCTTGGAGGTCTTCTAGTCCAACTCCCTGCTTAGGCAGGAAACCCTACAGCACTTCATACAAATGGTTATCCAATCTCCTCTTTAAACTTCCAGTGTTGGACCATTCACAACATCTGGAGGCAAGTTGTTCCACTGATTAATTTTTCTAACTGTCAGGAAATTTCTTAGCTCTAAGTTGCTTCTCTCCTTGATTAGTTTCCACCCATTGCTTCTTGTCCTGCCCTCAGGTGCTTTGGAGAATAACTTGGCTCCCTCTTCTTTGTGGCAGCCCCTGAGATATTGGAATACTGCTATCATGTCACCCCTACTCCTTCTTTTCATCAAACTAGACATACCCAGTTCCTGTAACCGTTCGTGTTTTAGCCTCCAGTCCCAAATCATCTTTGTTGCTCTTCTCTGCACTCTTTCTAGAGTCTCCATATCTTTACATCATGGCGACCAAAACTGAATGCAATAATCCAAGTGTGGTCTTACCAAGGCATTATAAAGTGGTATTAACACTTCACGCAATCTTGATTCTATCCCTCTGTTTATGCAGCGTAGAACTGTGTTGGCTTTTTTGGCAGCTGCTGCACACTGCTGGCTTAAATGGTTGTCCGCTAGGACTCCAAGATCCCTCTCAGTTACTACTATTGAGCAAGGTACGACATATACTGTACCTGTGCATTTTGTTTTTCTTGCCTAAATGTAGAACCTTACTTTTTTCACCATTGAATTTCATTTTGTTAGATTACACCCAATGTTCAAGTCTTGCACTCATATGGTTTCTCCCCAATATGGATCATTTTATGGGCACCAAGGCTTTGTGGAAAACTGAAGTTCTTTCCACGTTCCTTACATTCGTACACTTTTTTTCCTGTGTGGATCCTTTTATGGGAAATATATTCGAATCCCTGAAGCTTTTTCCGCACTCCAGGCATTTACCATATTTTTTGCACTATAAGACGCACCTGACCATAAGATGCATCTAGGTTTAGAGGAGGAAAACAAGAAAAAAAATATTCTGAACCAAATGGTGTACTAATATATTTAATAAAATATAGCAGAATTGTATTTCAACCATGTAAAGTCAACAGCAGTATTAAGAACCATGATCACTGTCACTAACAAATGAGGAGAGACTTTAAGGTTCAAGCACTCTTCTACTTTTCTGGAAACCCCAAGAACTCATCATCGCTAGTGTCAGAATTTATGAAGCTCAGTTGCTAACAATCACTGATATCACTTTCTTCGCTATCTTCATATGTGATACTATCTTGAGTTCCATCTAAGGCATTGCTAATGCCAGATTTTTTGAATGACTGTGCAACAATTTTATTTATTTATTTATTGGTTCGATTTATATGCCGCCCTTCTCCGGAGTCTCAGGACAGCTTACAATGCGTTAAGCAATAGCCTTCATACTTTTGTATATACCTGCTTAGTAGGGCTTTTGCCCCCCCCCCCCCCAACGGTGTTCTTTTTTATACAAAGTCAGTTTATTGCCCCGACAATCCGGTTCCTCATTTCACCTACCTCGGAAGGATGGAAGGCTGAGTCAACCTTGAGCCTGGTGAGATTTGAACTTGCAGTAATTGCAGGCAGCTGGCAACTAAGTGCTACTTAACAGCACTTTAGTTCGCTGCACCACCAAGGATTTTGTCCTTCACCGAGTGTTTTCACATGATGTTTTAACCCATTCACAAACTTGAGTGATAGTGGGCCCCTTCATTCGTCCAGTAGGTGTCAGATCATGATTACCAGCAACCATACATTTGTTCCACTCTTCTTGCATAAAGACTTTAAATGCTTTGTTGATGGAAACATCAAGGGGTTGCAACTGGCTGGTAAGATCCCCAGGAATTAAAGCTAGATGAGTCTTTACTTCTTTAAAGCTCTTTTTATAGAGCACTAATAAAGCAGG